CCAGTGTTTAAGTTTGCGGCATAGTTTGCCTGTCAGGGAAATCTAGTTCTAATGTCAGTGTTCTTAATTTCATGTCATTTGAGGCCGATCAATTCTGTTTAGCCAAAGACAGGAAGTGACAAGCGGGGACGTCAAAACCTTACCTGTCGCACAGGTGGTGGCTGCTCAGTGGCCTAGCAGACAACGCTCTAATGTTTGAAGCGACTAGTCCTGGGTTCAGATCTTCGGTCTTTGAACTTCGTCGGTCTTATTGAGGCATACACGTCCAGAAGAGCGGCAAGTAAGTGAATACAGATGCCAAGAATATCACTGCTACCCATTAGACATCACTATTTTCCATGTAGTTTTCTACTTCTACGATGGTGGCCTTAGTGGACCTATAGTTCTTCGCTTTTGATATAATGATTACAAGGCTTCGAAACGCGAATAACGAACTCCCATGTTCATTATTGCTACCGAAGGCGGGTGCAGAATCTAGCGTTTATCTATACAGTTGATCAAAGTGTCACACACTCCAAGGGGATTCAGTAAAAGTGTATGAAATAATTTCGTTGATACACTGAAAACAATTCTTATGACATTGCTCGCACACCGTGATAGTGTTAGTGAACACGAATCACAACTATGAAACTATAGCGGACCAATTTTGTGACCAAGCAAGTTTGAACGTCTCAACGTCTGACAGTGGTGACTATTGGTGTTAAGTGTTTCTGTCCACATCACTTGATCCTCGCCTCTTGAACATTTCGTCGTGACGATGAATAATACCTGATGTAGACAGCAGTGAATAGAAAGCCAACGAATCACAGCGAAGAAAATTGACGCAGCTTCCAGTTACCCGTATTGTGATCGCAGCGACCTCCTGAAAATACATCCTCAAACCAGGGTCTATTCCGGGCAGCAAACTCGCCATAATGGTTTTAGTGGCTATGGAGCCATCAAGTTAGAACTTCTGGCAGACATCGTATTGGGGTCCTCGCGAACCCATTAAAGGGGGGTGGGTTGTTCCTGAAAATCACTCCCCAAAGGTAGTTGCCGAGGGTTCGGCGGCCTTTCGCAATGATACTCACCTTCGTAGTTTAAATGAACCTGTCGGGCCGAAGGTAAATGACCTGGCTCATTGCCATGTTGCGTCAAATTTTTGTAAGTCACTTCTTTCGATGCATAATAACTCAATCTGAAGAGTAAATTGGCTCCTACTCGTGATGGAGGCAAGTTCCTTATCTGGTAATTCAGTTGCTGGGAGCCTAACATTAAACTCATATATCATTAGAGAATTTAAAGATTCACGACTGTTAACGTTGAACGGCATGTAATTTGTAATTGCGTAGGAGTCTGAACCAAATCAAACGCTCACTTGTTCTCTTCATTTACATCCCCCATTATGGGTTTCTTTCCTACCAGGCATAACTAGGTAACCATGACTTAACACTTCACAACCTTAACAAAGTAGATGAGCTGACGTTATCGTTATCACGTTCCCTGTCTATAGTTTTACTCGTATGCAGGTACTAACTCTGGATTATTTGGTAATGCGGAAGAGTCTGGGCTTCAAGGCAGGAATAGGGGTACTTCATTTCGAAATGTCTTCTGAAACAATCCGTAATATCCAACGTGTAATATAGGGACAGGAATCTGTTCCTTAACAACTTTTCAACTGGAATGGATCACACTTAGTTATTTAAATGGCATTATTATTAAAGACAATCACACACGAATGGTTGGAATGTCAAAAAGTTGGTCTGAACTGTGACAAAGTTGCGGAGGCATTTGTGGTTTAACACATTTTCTCCACGTATGATATGTGCTTGACAGGGCATTTGACTCCTTGTGCTAGGCCAAACGTACGCAGTTTCACCTGGTTGGTCCTTGTTCCCTATGGGGAAGAACGAGGGGGGAGCCATGAATCAAAGAGCTGTTCAGTATGAATTAGAGAGATTTTAGCTGGCCGCCTAGTTGAATCTAACTCTCTGCCAACTACAGCTTTGCTCATTTGGGTCAAAGGTTACCAATAGAGATCGGATGAAGACCTTGATTCAAAACAAATGACATTGCATCTGTTTTTGCGGCAGTTTCATCAGTGTTTATTGATTCCTAAGTAAAACACTTCCTGGTCTCAATGATGGTAGTGCTCCGCACCATTAGCTGAGATCACTACAGCACTTCCTTTACCTTTTGACATATTGAAGAATGCAGTCCAAAACCCAGAATAATGTACCAAGGTGTCGATTACACCGAAGGATTTTATAGACTCTAGTGCGAAGACTAAAGAACACCTGTAAAGTTAGACAGAAACCCAATGATGATAATTGGTGAAGGATTCGCAGACGACAACCCTGTTCACGGCTTTTGATAGATTGCAGTGTAAAACAAGGCATATTTTGCTTTGCTTGACGATTGCCCCTCGTGAAGTTGAAGCGTTCGGGATGGTAGATAATACAAGACTTCATTTGATGAGTATCTCCCACGATTTTAGCACGGAAAAGTCGTTTTGTTGATGTCAGGAATTATCAGAAGAACTACGTCCTTCTGTGGTTGGCATCTGCTCTCTAGTTTAAGTAAGTCACCATAATGAAGCCACATAGCACTTTCGAAATGCAGTTGGAGTTTGCTCGATCCATTTCCCCACAGTTTACAAACGTTATTTGTTCAGAGATAAGAGACTTGGACACCCAACATCACATGCGTGGCAAATACGTGAATAAGACTTGTTGGCATTTCAGTGGGGTAGTGTTCCTGTGGTGCTCCCCTGAATGCTACGAACAAGGAGGCCGGCGGTGGCAGGATACCAGAGGAAATTTTATTCAGAAATGAAAATCAGGAGAAAGTCAGATCTAAAGTCCTTCTGACGAGTTGTATGAGGTTGTCGTGAAGCGCTCAGAAGAACTACAAGGACCCGCATGTTGTTTTACGCCATATAAGGATTTACTTTTAGTGAGAATTCTGGTGGAAGAAATCCCATGGTCTTTCAACAAGTATAGTTACGAACGGAGCATTCGCTGCCATCATCAAACCATCCTATCGAAGTAAATGAAGCCTTAGAGAACAAATTTCAGCGTGTTATTTCTTACTAAGGCCGTTTTTCAAACAACCACTGTATTGGATTCCAATTCCTCACTCACATACTTAGTCTTAGATAATTTGGAGCTGAGGCTGTGCATATAAGAGGTAACGGTAAGTAAAGCAGTAAGATCTAGGGTCCTGGCAGTAGCTTGAATTCATTAGACCATGAGTATGCTCCAAATTCATATGACTGATCTCTTGAGAGTAATTAAAAATTCATCGTTCTCAGGCGCAGAAAAACATTTACTTTTCATTCTTCAGCTTTTGACCACTAGTTGCCTATCTCTCTTGAACAAGTAACTGAGATTTTACGGGTTTTCCTATTGACCCTAAGCCTACAGTTACTGATGCCTACATTTCAAGGGAAAATATCTTTTGTATCATTTTCGACTACTAGAGTTATTCTGAACATATAAGAGAATCAAGAGCTTCTCATTGCAAACCGAGAGGATGGAGGATTTAGGTGTGTGTTGACCTCAGAAGATAGACACTCTAACCTTCGCGTTATGCGATTTAATTTATCAGCTTGACTACGCGAGATAGCCGTAGTTTGGCATACGTGTGTTGGTACTAAATGATGAACGAATGTGAGTTGAAAATCTGGGCTGCGGCAGTATTCAAATACATTTGAATTAGGATGTGAAGTCCTGGCTGACTAGCCAGTATGAATATAATCAAGTAAAAGTAAAGCGTTGCAAATTCACACGCCAGTCAGACAAAACCTTTAGGCATTGTAATTTATCTGCCAGTTATCGTTGTTGATTTATTTTATGGATCCATGTGGCAGTTTCAGTGAACCCAGAGATCCAGGAATACCGAGTGTGATGACTGAGGAATATCGGTCTTTTGAATGAATTTACTCGTGGTTTCGGAATGATTTTTTGCCAGTCAAGGTCTGATGGGTCCACTCCGAATGAATTACAGTTTGCGTTCCACTGCTTGGTAGTGCGGTAGAATTGCACCGTAAATCTCTGGGTTGAGTACCAAACACATTGGTGCCCTAGTTGTTGTTTCTTCGGTAAGTCTTACCAAGATGATCAGCTTCCTCCACCATACACCTCCGCTTACCCTTGTATAAGAGTTCACTGCTATAATCTGCTCACGTTTACTCCTGTAGTTTCGGATGAGAAGTGGCATTCAATTTATCTTGAGAGATATCGTCCTAGTAACTGTCAGCACCACTGATGTTCTGAGGTGCAGTTTTGTCATTTTTGCCTTCACTTACGTCAGGATCTTCGGAACTGAAAGTCAAAGACTTTCCAGCTAGGGGTCGTGAACCTCTGATAATTCAATCACTAGTGGTGGTCCTGAAAAGTTGCGGCATTTTCTTGGGTGTGTTTCTGCGTGGTAGCGTGAGATGTTTAGTAAGAGTAATATCGTAGGTCCTATCATGTATAATGCCTACATTTAGTCCTAAAACATGGACATATATCAGTCTTGACCAAGCAGAATTCTTAGCAGTCAATCATTAGACGTTGAGAGCCGCCTCAAACCACAGAATCAGTGGGTCCACTGCGAACATAATTCAAAACTCGTCACCCGAGCAATCCGTGACATCTCTGGCGCTCACCAAAGATAAGCCATAGAATACCAACATTCTATGTGGCAGCTGAACCAAGAAAGTGGACGGCTCGAGAGAAAAGTTAGGCCACCAGGTAAAATATAAAACCCACTCGAGGATTAGTTCAAGCAGTGTAATTCCGAAAAACTTGTCTGAGCGTATAACTACCTACCTATACCAAGGGAGTAATGCAATCATAAAAAGGGATCTAGAAAGTTTGCATTGACAGACGATGAACTAAAACGAGGAAATTTTGCACCGTCTACTGATTTCCTTTAAATTCCACTTCTTTTTAATAGTACTTGCTTCCAAGTATGAACATTTTCAGATCAAGTGTATGCGCTTCTCATGAAATAAACAATCAGGTTTCCTAAAGCGCGAAACCCTCGTAAGTACAGGAGAAAGTGGGAGAACAAGAAATAAAGCCTCAGAACTACACACAATGTATCAAAAACTATCAGTTTCCCACACTCTTGTTTTTGATGTTGGATGTTGGAAGCGGCTTTAAAGAAGGTAGCGTTACTTCGATCAAATCGGAATGGACGATGACTCTGATGCGTCGGATGACAGTGCGGCCGTCGGTAAGTTACTGTTTTGTACTTGAGGCAGAAAATTGTTATATACAGATCGAACAAATGAAAGGGATGAGTCATCTGACCTGAACTCATCTAGTGATGAGGAAGAACGAAACCGAGTGACGGAAAAGAATGTTTTTGGCAGCGATACCGGTATGATAACTTAATCTGACATTTTCGTAAAATTTTGAAAGACAGCGACGACGATATACAGCCCAAGAAACGACGCTTGAGGCCACCCCAGGTGAGGATTTTTTTTGTATTTCTTGCTATCAAGAGATGGACATATGTCCCACTTGACAGTTACTTAGAGTTAATCGAGAATGAGTGAAACTAATATAAATTGTAATTTCTTTAAGTATGTCACTTCATTTTCAAGTGAGGTCTATGTTTTCATATTTCATTCATTAGTCCGCTGAAGTGGTCCAACAGCTGTTGAATTTTTATACTTCAGTATATAGATTCAAAAAACTATCCCCTCAAAGATGTCAACTTAAGTGCTTCTCGGTTTCCAGATTAATCGAAAGCTGTTTCCAGTGATTCATCGGCTAGTCAGTTTGAGATTTTATCAGAAGTAAGACTGGAGGACTATACAGTAACTTGGTGATGAGAATACAAGGTTGCTTTCAATAAGAAACTAGATAGACAAATATCGAGCTTTCATTGTCACCGATTCTTCAAAATCCTAGTGCCATCTCCAGGCCATTCTGTAAAAGGCCTAAAAGATAGTATCTGATCATCAGAAAGTTAGTGGTTCTCGCCAGCTACTTCTCGTATTTCTGCAAGCGCTGATCAAAACGATGAGCAGTAGACTGAAAAGTGACTTATCCGTGACCGTGATCAGCAAACATCTGTATGGGCTAAAGAGATGCAGGAGACTTGCGATGGGCAACTGTATATCGTCTTTTAAATTTATCCAGAAAACAAGCAAAAATGTAAGTGGTTACTTAAACCACAGTGGTGAAGTATGATTTTGCGATTCACTCACGAGGGAGATAACTAAAACAAGGAGCTGAACACTTGGTGGAACAAGTCAACTGGCTTCCAAGTAGTCTTTGTTTAACTGCTATGTATCTGTATCTTGATTGGGAAGATGAGAGTGGATGTCCAGCTGCTTCAAAAGTGGGGAAAACTGTAAGTGACATGAGACGAGAATTGGTGTCTGGTTAGTACTGGAGATATTTACGGATAGGGGTCGAAGACCACTTGCTAGACTAATTGGTGTCAGCTGGCGTATGACTATCAGGTGTGATCCCGTCTGACTGGTCGCTGTCATTGGTTGTTCAAGAAGGTCTTGAAGAATGGAGAGTTGTGATATAAAGTGAGGGGAAAATCGTGTGAAAGATTCTAGGTTGAGATTGGGGTTATTGGTCTAGTCATTCGATTTCTAACTAGTGCGTCAAACGTCCTCAACCTTCGAATGTTTTGGTTGCCACGTAGTATCGTTGGCCGTTTTACAGAATGTATGGTGCATTACCTACTGACGAAGGTGCACATGGTTTTTGAGTGGATTTCGATTTTGAAGATTCAAGAATTTGTAGTTGTTGTACGCACAAGTACAGCTCTGTAATACTAGACCCATAGATATCAAGCGCGTTTGAAATTAGGTCCTTGGTGTGTTGATCTTGCCTTAACCCTCTACCGGCCATATCTTCGAACACAAGGACATTTACTGATAATAAGTCAACTGAATTTTAAACCAGAGTGAAAATCAACGTAGAACCTAGTCCACAAGTGCATCGGTTCAAGCTGCCACACTTCACAGTAGTATAGGAAGAACAAGACAAAAAGAGTGATATCAAAGTAGACAAAATTTTGTAAGAGAATAAGCGATTCCAAGGTGAAGGTTTTTGCAAATATTCAAGCTTTAAAAGACATTAAGGAGTGAATACTTCCACGCTATTGTGACCGATTTTTAATCTTGTCACTAGGAGTCCTCAATCACTGATTTCTTTCGTCTCGAGGACCCGAACTGGGCAGTCTGTATCTCTTCACACGATCAGATCAACAGTTATGGACTTCATCGACTGGTACCACGTCTTGGTCTGACCACCCTGAAACCTCTTCCAGCGAAATCCAACTTCCCCTAGCATGGTACGTCAAGGTTGGTGGTGACTTGAGGAGTTCATGTTCAAGCCTTCTCAGTCGATGAAGGCTCACAACCTCGCCTTTCTTGCTTCATATTCGTCACCTGATCTCTACATCGCTCATACGGTAATTCGACCAAATGTGAGCAACCCTGCGAAGACATCTGTGATGAAAATCTCTGTAACTGTTTCATATTTTCTGCTCTTAACGGTCATATCTCAATCGTATAACAGGGCGGAACAGCCTGCAGCACAGTACTCTCGTTCTTTAATAGATATCTTGCTATTTAGCGTCACAGATGGCACAGGTTGGCTGGTGCCAAATGGGTCATCTGCACCGGAGCTGAGATTTCGTCAGCAATCAACCCGTTTGGGCTGATGCAACTCCTAAAGTAATTGAAGTAGTCGACATTTCTCACCAATTCACTCCCTACCATTCGACTGGAAGTACTTGTAGCAAACCAGTCCTGGAGTATCATCTTACATTTGACAGGTGCCAGCGAAACGCATTCCAAACACTCAAATGTTTGCTTAACTCGTTCAGAAAACCCTGGATTTTGTCACAACCTAGTAAGACAATTTCGTCTGCATACTCCAAATCAACTAGATGACCACCAGGGAGTAGGTCAATCCCTGTAGTCAGACCTACCTAAGTTGATTTTCACTAGTACATCTGTAACAAAAATAAAAACGGTGACAGTTGTCACCCTTAGTTATCGTCAATTCTGAAGACAACTCCCTATAAGCCCTGGTGCGCTTGCGTGAGCTCGAGTAGAGAGCCTTGATTGGCGATAAATACTTTCCCAGTACTCCATTCACAATCAGACACTACCACAATACCTCATAGTCGATTGAGTCAGATACCGTATATAGGTCAGTAAGTATGACTAGGGTTACGCCCCGGTAACTGTTTGTGTTCCACAACCTTTCGGAGGGTAAAAGTATGATCGATGCACCCTTATCCAGGTCTGAAATCTGCATGGTGTTTTTGAGTTTGATGTTCCCGAGCTCCAGTTAGGCGTCGAATAACTGGAGCGTAGGATTTTTGACACCATTAGTCAAACCAATACCTCCATGGTTTTAACACGAAGATACCTCTTCTTTATAAACTGAGATGATCAGTGAAGTAGACCAATATTACAGCACTACTTCTGATTCCCCTACACTGCGTAGTCCCTCCATCACTTTAATTAACGGTTTTCTACCTACATCTTTAAAGGTTTCAGGTGGAGAACTTCAAGAAGAGTTGAAGGACCGACACCTACGTCCAATTTAAGTTGGAGCTGGGTGGATGTTGGGCAACCGGAGCATTTCTGTTGACCAGTTGCGCTGTTTCAAAGTGTTCTAGCTACCTGTCTTGGGATGATTATCAGCTTTCTGTCTTTTTCGGTGATGGTTCCGGTCACCATCGTCTTCTTCTTGTCAGTATCGTCAGTAAGCTTAAATAGTTATTGAGTGTTACCCAACTCTGTTACCTTCTCCATCTCTCTCGCTCTCGTCACCCACCACTGCTTGTAATCAGCGCGAAGATTCTTGGTCAATTTATGTTCAAGTTGCTTTCGCTCTTCGTGATGTCACAACCAACTGGAATCAGTACTGTCGCATCAATCGGTTCGGATGATGTCGCGGGAATCCAGTGACGTTTGGTAACCTTCGGGTTTAGGTTACTAATTGTGTTTATCGCTGTTCCTACAACAGGCTTAATGTCATGCCTGGTTTCCTCTGGATGAGCATTGCTGTCATGTATAGATAAGTGCGTAGCTATCTCTTCCCTAAATGGGAACTTGATGTTCTCATCTTCCTATCGGCCATAGATAGGCTTTACTATCACCCGTTTTCTGCGACCAGTAAGGCGTTCACATACACAAGCCCGTACTAGCGCGTGATCGGATTCCAAACAAATACTCCAGCAACAGTGGCAATCCTCCATTGATCCTGTTTGTCGTTGGTTTTAAGTCGAAGGACGCCATATGAGACTATCTCACCTTATCCCTAAAGTTGATGCTAGCCAGAAATAAGTGACTGTCGGAGTAAAATTGCAAGAGCCGATCACCGTTGTCGGTTCATTGGCATGGGTTCCGTAAATACCCCCAAGACACTTTCTCGACTGGTTCATCTTGCCAAACTGAGTGTTAAAGTCACCTGCCCTTATGACTACATGTGAACGTTTTGCTTTCTGCAGCAAATTTGTCAGCTTCTCATAGAACTGCACTTGGTGGGTACATACGTGGAGATTACGAATAGGTAATCGGTCTCGCGATACTTTTTAGTTCTCTTAGACCCATTCAGTCGAACAGCACACAGACGGCTGTTAATTGGTATCTAGTCAAGAAGCGCGCTTTCTGCCCTACGACTCAGTTAATCCACGAGGGCTAGCCACTTGGTCTCTGGATACTCGTGAGGTGAATTTTGAAGGTTCACTACTACGGCCAGATAAGGTCCATTTAATAACTACATTTGGGTCCTGTCTTGTCTCAGAGACATTCAGCTTGCATCCATGATTCTAAATATCAGAGTTTTGGCAAGCGATGCTTGGTGTCCGATTCGGCATAGAATCCGAACATTGAAAGCTCCTACATAAAATCGGTGGTGGGGCCTTTGGAGAATAGAAATGGTGTTTCAGTGACTTTGATCGTTGACAATGGTTGCAGAGTGAGAGGTTGGTGAAGGTGTAAGATGCTTCCCGACCGATAACTGCTACCTGGACGTGGTGGTCGGTCCAGCATATCATAATGACCCAACGAGCTATGCTGGTGAAACACCTGTTCCCTCGAGGTCCTACCGTACCAGAAAGGTCTGTTGGATAGTGGTTAGACGAAAAGCAGTTACATTTTTGGTGTAAATTACTACACTATGATAGGGGTCTGAGGGCTAATTCGTACTGCTGCTAGCTGGATGGTGTGTGACAGCAGTAAGGTGTTTCCCTTGGATGACTAGTAGTGCTGTGCTGATGCTGCCTTCTCAGTGGGAAAGGTCGGCCCCCAAAATAACACACTCCACTATACCCTACGGTGTGCCGGACCGACGGTATTGGTTCATTTGTTGTTTCTTCTCGACCATCCGTTCCCAAAACAAAAGTTCAAAATAATCATACACAAAAGGCTGGATGTGACAGGCTTCCAGCAGACGTCCGATGGGCTCCGCTGCCACACAATTCTCTTTCAGTTACCTTACGAAGAAATAGCCTTCCACGGTGTGGGCAGTCGGGAAGTGTCAACCGCCCTCACAACTCTGTCAACACTCAAGTTTCTTTAGACCGCTATCCGCCTCCTTCATCACCTTCTGATCTTCCTTCACATCTCTCAACTAACGATACTACATCATCTTCAACTTCTCCTAGCTCTGCAGCCTTCGACAACGATCTAAGTCCACAGAACAGCATCCTTAGTCTCGTTAAACCACACTCCAAATTACACATTGGAGCCTTCAATGTCCTCACCCTTAGTCAAATTGGTCAACAGGCTTCATTGGCCAAGACTCTGGCAACTCGGACCATGGATGTATGCTGTGCTTGTGAGGCCTGCATACAAGACCCAAGTGTGGTTATTCACTTTACCTCTCCCGGCCAGTCTGGTGAATCTGCGAAATTTACCCTTCGAGTTTCTGGAGATTCGATAACTAGCTCTCGGGGTCTTGCAAGTGTAGGCATAGGATTGGGCACTAGGGTAGAAAACTCACGACTAGACTGGATCCCAGTTGATAGTCGCCTCTGTGCTATCCGACTGAACGACACAGTGGGAACTAAAAGGAATAGTGGAACTCGCCGTTGTCTTTGCTTACGCACCCACTGACTGCAGCTCGGATGAAGTGAAGGACGAGTTCTACCGTAAACTGTCTAACCTCATCTCGAAAGCCAAACGTTCGGACGTGGTGGTTGTTGCAGGTGACTTCAATGCACAGGTGGGTAGACTGAGTGAGTCAGAAAGGTACTTAGGCGGCACTTTCGGAATCCCAGCTGAACGTACAGATAACGGTGATCGCCTACTACAACTGTGCTCAGATAACCGCCTATTTTTAGCCAGCACCAATTTCAGACATAAAGAAAGGCACTGTCTGACGTGGCGTCCACCGAGCTCAACTCAGCGATGGACACAGATAGACCACATTGGTACTAGGCATCTCTGGGGAGGATCGGTGGAAGACTGCCTCTCCTTCTGGAGTACGTGTTTGGATAGTGACCATGCGTTGATCCGAGCGCGTATATGCCTACGTCTTAATGGACGTAGGAAAAATTTGACAACAAAACCAATGAGAGTGCACCTCGACAACGAAAACATCAAAGCCGCTTTCAGTGAAAAATTGGCTAGGAGTTATCTGAACAGAACACCATCACACCCAGAAGAAGCTTGGTGCCATCTCCAGTCTGCTGTAAAAGCAGAGTTGAAGACCGTAGCCAACTCCGAAAGAGTCGCTAAAAAAAGCCAGTGGATATCAGCAGCTTCTTCCGAACTAATGGATGAACGTAAGCGCATCCCTGCAGGCTCTGAGTACTACGAAGAGCGAGCGCAACTTAAGAGTAGACTGAGAAAAAGTCTACGCAACGACTGCGAATAGTGGTGGGCAGCGAAGCTAAAGAGATAGAAAAGGCAGAGGCGACTGGTAACAGTAGACGGTTATTTAGGTTTACTAAGGAAACTGGGCGAAAAGGTCAACTGCGGTTAGTGAAGCTGTAGCGGAGAAGGACGGGTCTGCGATTCACTGGCAGGTGAGACGACTGGAACGATGGGCAGAACACCTTGAGGAACACTTTAACTAGACTCCACCACCATTGCATTGCCTGCTATTCAGCCAAACCCTGAATGGGACACTGCGATAGGCCCCCCAACACTAGGAGAAGTTGAGAAAGCAGTAGGTAACCTGAAATGAAGAAGGGCGGGAAGACCAGACGGACCAACTCCTGAGGTGTACAAGGATGGTGGTAGAGTGATCTTAGTCAGGTTAACGGAAGTGTTAAGGAGTATATAGGAATCCAATACAATCCCCTCTGACTGGTCTAAATAACCGATTATCCAAGTCTTCTAGAAAGACGAGAAGTTCTCTTGTGATAATCACAGAGGAATCAGCCTGACGAACATAGCATCTGTAATCCTAGGTTCTATAATTCTTCGACGCCTGAGTGGAGCTCGGGAACAACAAGTCCGAGAAAACCAGACAGGCTTTAGACCAGGCCGCGGGTGTATCGACCAAATATTCTCACTGCGCTAGGCTCTAGAGCACAGGCACGCTTACGGACGCCCGACAATAGCTGTATTTCTTGACCTGAGGGCGCCATTTGACTCCGTTGATCGAGAAGTCTTATGGCAATGTCTCTCACTGAAAGGCGTGCCAAGTAAGTACATCACCTTATTGAAGGCTCTCTACTCGAACACTTGTGGGCATGTTAGAGTCCATAGTGAGATGTCTAGGGAGTGGTGTCCGTCAAGGGTACTCACTGTCTCCATTCTTATTCAGTTTTATCATAGATATTCTTATGGAGGTCTCCCTCGCGTCACCAGATCACACAGAGGTTGACGTAATCGCAGGAGAATTTTCGTTAGACCTAGGATACGCATATGACATAATCCTGTTAGGTGAAGACGCTGACAGAATGCAGAGTCCTCTGAACACTTTGAGTGTCAATTTGAGAATGTTTGGGATGCGTTTCTCACCACCCAAATGCAAAATGTTGCTCCGGGATTGGTCTTCAACGGTGCCACGGCTAACAATAAAGTGTAGTGATTGAGTGTGTCGATCACTTCACTTACCTGGGAAGTAGGATCACCCCTACTTTGATGGCTCAGTTGCTGATGAAATCTCTGCACGAATACAAAAATCTCGGCTGGGTTTGCCAGCTTACGCCAACTACGGCGCCGCCGTGATATCCGATTGTCTATTAAGGGTGGCGTGTACTCCACCGCAGTCCCTTCTGTTCTTTTGTATAGCTGTGAAACATGGCCATTCAAGGTGGAAAACATGAGAAGGCTTCAAGTGTTTGACCAGCGTTGCCTTCGTAGTATAGACCACCGTATTCCATGGTGTCACCGTATGAGTAACTCAGAAGTCAGGTGTAGAGTTTTAGAGAGAACAGGTAAATCAGTTGACATGGTCGTGAATTTTCATCGACTGAGATAGCTGGTTGGGACATGTGTTACGCGTGCCTAGTTGCCGATTACCTTGTCACACAATATTGGCCGAAGTAGGTTGAGGCTGGAAAAAGGCCTGAGGCGGCCAGACTAAAATATGACATCAATGTATGAAGTCTCTGACTGTTGGTTTGAGTCATGTGGGGCGATGCAGGCTGGGTGGTTGGGGTCCACGGACAAGAAAAACTAGTGGTTGGAGACTTTAGGTGATATGGCTGAGAACCGATGTCAATGGCGCAGTTGTATACACACATTATCCTTATCTTAACGACGCCATACTGAATCTCACCATTTTTTCATTCTTTCTTCCTCTCTTTTCATACTTTATATTTCTTTTGGCTGAATTTTTTTTTGCCTTCATCTTCCACTTCACTGCCGTTTTACTTGATGTACTGATATGAGTTGTAGCAATTCGGACCGTTACTCAGTAATACCTGGTCCTATGTTGACGATGATGATGTTGGTGTAGGATGCTTGAGATTAACAACATTTGTATCCTTGCATGGATGAGAATGTGTCGCTTGGCGTTTTCCAACTTATGCCATCTGTGGCACCAGTGTCGAGTCCGACTACCTAACAAGGATTGAGTTTACGGTGGTGTGGTTTGCTCTGTCCTACCATATGGCTGTTAAGTTGGGCTATTAGAAGTAGATATATGAAAACTGTAGATGCTTGACCATCGTTTCCTTCGTATCATAGGTCATGTCCCCTCTTGACATTGCGTCAGTAACGTAGAAGTCAGACGTAAATTTTTCTATAAAAGAACGTCAGTTGATGAGACTTTGAACCTTTATCGACTCAGATGGCTGGGGCGTATCTTGCAGATACTCGTGCGCTCATCATAACGTAGCTATGTACACTATGACGATAACTGTGTTTTGTCTTACAAACCTTTATGTCATAGTGGGAACATGCGTTCTAGTGATTGCAGCTAGTCGGGTTATTGTGATGTGCAATCGCAACCACTACTTCCAGGTAGCAGTTTTCGGTTGTGAGGGATTCCCCTGATGCGTTTGTTAACATGTCATGAAATATGTGCAAAGCCATCTCTAGCAGCAAAGGTGAACAGCCACTGCTCTGACGGAAACCACTAGTTGCCATAGATTCGGTTGCATTTTTTTCCTCCCTAATGCAGCTCAAAGGTGTTTCTTAAGCATGCTTTTCTCCGAATTTCACAAAATTCGCAGGATAGTTCGGAAGAGTCAGGCCACAGAGATGTTGGTGACTACAGTAATTTTGAGCAACATGAAACAGATGACAATTCAGTCACCTCACCTGTCCAAAATTCTCTGGAGAAAAGCAGATTGCAGAACATTCCGTCAACTTCCAATAGCCCTGATGTCAATGGTTCTCAGCAAGGCGACGCAAGTCAATTGGATGAAGATACATCACAGATAGGCGAGGTATTGGATGATAATGATGAAGACGAAGACCACGGAGATGTTGCAGACGACGTGGAAGAGGAGTCAGCTCAGGAACCTGATGAAACGAGAATATCCGTCGACTTTCCTCTCATACGTGCTGATTTGGGCAAGTAAGGAATTTTCGTCATCTATGTCCTGGTTGGTTTTAATATCTGATACTTTTCTCTAACCTTTTTAGTCGCGACGGTAAAATTATCATTAGAAACCTACTTTTCTATCTGTATATCAAATAATTAAAATTACTTTAAGCGTCAAATGTACGTCGCAGCGATATTGATTTTAAACACCTCAGGACCGCCTTTATATCCAAATTTTGTGAAGCGATATAGTCACAAACATAATAGATAGTTTCTGCGACTGCACTGTGTCATTAATCAGCTAAGATATTTTCTCTTTGTCGACTTCCTTCTATTTCGCTTTTGGAAAGCAATGATAACCTAAACTACTTGTATGTAGTGATTCTGTTGTTCCATTTCTTGCATCGTGAATACGAATTCGGAGTCAGCCCACCGTTCACAACTGAAAATGTTGACCCAAAGAGCTGTATTTTTGTTGGATTTCGGCTAGTATCTCTGTTTTTGGCTTCTGTTTAAGCCATTCTAGCTAAAAATAAGCTCAAATCAGGTTTTGCTTTTACGTATTAGCTGTATGTTTGTGTATGCGGGAGATGTCACCAAGCAACACTAGAAATTTCAAAATATCGATATGAGCTCTTTCGTTTTCTTAGCCATAACTGCTCTGTATTCTTTGACTACATAGTGAAGTAAAACCGTAGCCTATGAACTCGATTTGTCTATGTCACACTTTCAACATGTGATTCAAGCTATAAAAAAAGTAGTCAGCAAGCTCAAGTGAATCAACCTACATAGAGTAAACATAAAATATTCGAAGAATAGTATCTGTGAGCGAATGCAACCTTGTCCGTAACTAGTGACTGTAACTGCGTCTATTTTGTTACTCAAAGAAGCTTGTGTGATTTGAACCTGGTAATTTAATAGTATGTTTCTGCCTGTTCTACACTTTAGTCCCGCCTGGTTGCAACCGTCTTAATTTGTCGACGTAAAAAGCTCTTCAACATGAATAACACTACTGCTCTGGTTAAAAAACTTCCTTACCTTACTCTGATGAGATTACTTTCCGCCCAAAATCCCGGTAGTATTGTATCATTTCGCCATTCTTTCTGCAGCAGACTGAATGCAACACTGCTTCATGAAGATCAGAATTTTTGTCGTGCCATATGTGTAGATGCTAATAATTATACCTATTGAGGACAACTAAAAAGTGTTGTTATAAACATATCAACACAACTCTCTTGTAATTATAAGTGATCTGTTAAGTAGTGGCTGACGATTTCCGATCGATGTGTAAACATTGCACTTGTAAACAACCACAGATTAAAGTGAGATTACGAGTTATTTTTGTTGTTGGAGAAGGCTTGATGTGATCAATTTCTTCTTGGGCTTTCTTAACAGTGCGATTACGAAAAATATATGTCTATATTTATTTGTAATGCAACTCATCCCAGTATCGGTTAGTTTGTACATGGTCATGAATCACACTTGATGTGTGATGGCTTGTGATACTTTCTTGTTGCCCAGGTTGAAATCAATGGAGCGGCGTTTGAATGTAAGACTCATTGCTTGAAATCTGAGATCCTTAGAAAACGAACCAAGAACTACAACATACTCGCGAAGCTTGTTTTTCACATGAAACTAATTGTAGTTTTTGAATTCAAATTTCTACTGTAGAGAGGTACACTTGGTGAAAATGCCTAACTTTTTGTCGGTGGAAACTCGCCCGTTCGATCCAAACTTTTATGAAGATGAATTAGATGAAGATGAAATCCTGGACGAGGAGGGGCGAACACGCTTGAAACTGAAGGTATGATTTCACCTCGTTGCTTTTTTATTTATTTCCTTATTGTTCTTTTTACTGGACTATCTGTCACACATATTGTGTGAAGATTAGTAACATTACGCATTCGCCCCAGCAGAAGTAAGTTAGGTAGAATCAGAACTCAGTATCTTCTGGCTGGACACTTAGATCAATCTTTTGTTTGGGTCTTAAAAGGCTTATTGTCTCAAAGAACACGTAGTCGAACTTCAGTAGGAGAAAACAGTGTGAAGCAGATACTCTACCCCGGTCTTTCGCATTTTTTTGTAGTGTGTTTTCAACTTTTTACTGCTTCACAGTTTTGACAGTCACTGTTGTCTATTGGTAGACCTACCTTTGGTTAGGCGATTTTACTTAACGCTCAGTAGATACAACAGTGAGATGGAACTTGGAGAGACTGTTAACCGCACAGTCCGACCCAGTAACCATTCACTTACTGAACTTAATTAAGAAAGCTTTAAGGTGGTGACAGGTTTTACAATTTGGAAAATTGAAGTGAATTCAACCGCGGCACGTAAACAGTGGTGGTTGAGCGTTTGGACTGTCAGTTCTCTGACTCATTGCTTGTAGAATATGATTAGTTGTGTAGTTGATAAATAAAAACACTCAGTAGGTCAGTGGGCTATTTATTGTTCAACAATCACGAATATTGAGGTTTTACTCAATTTTTTCAACCATTTGCTGCACTTTTGCACAGTTATTTCACTTAAAGCTATCTCAAACAATTGCGTTCATTATCCAGTAGATTAAGGTTACTAGTTGTCAGTATCATTTATATGAGATCAGTTTGGCTACTTATTTGTTGTTACTGAAATGCAATTCATTAAGTTTTTCTTATTAATAAACCAATTTGATCATCGTCTCCTTGTACTTTTCCTTAATATTTTGAACTTTTATCTGATCAATTTAGGTAGAAAATACAATACGTTGGAGGATTGAAAAAACGCCTGATGGTGAAATGGTACACGAGTCGAATGCTCGTATTGTTCGTTGGTCTGATGGATCTTTATCATTACATTTGGGTGATGAAATTTTTGACATACACAAAGTAGATATTCAATCAGACTACAACTACTTATTCATACGAGAAGGTAGTGGTTTACAAGGTCAAACAAGTTTAAAAACTAAGTTGACATTCAGGTTAGTTGATGAATATTAACCGTTATTTTAATGTTTGCATTCTGACTCCATTTTTCTGATACTCTTCAGTACTATATCACTAATCCAGTGATGAATGAACTATTTACAAAATCTTATATCACTATACTTCACTTTCTACGAACAACTAGAAAATTGATGTAACAGATATAGTATTTGTTGGAACGTTTGTTACCTGCGCTTCTACTGTAACATCATGATCTTTCGGTGGACGGTAAGATCAAGGTTATGGGAAGGGTTGCAACGTTTACACTAAGTGTATCAGTATGAGATAAAAGTGAAGATTTTTTTCTTGTCAAAAGACGAAGATTTCAAGCAAAGTTACTCGTTTATCTTGAGAAGAAAAGAAATAAGGATTTTGACACAAAAAGCTGTACCTACCTAATGCCATTCTTCATGGTTATCAGTTTCTGACTTTGTATGTCATTCAAAAAGAGAGAGGTATCCGTATACAGTGTACATAAAGATAAACGAAGTATGCTGTTATTCGTCAAACATTTTCAGTATACTTTCCCTGTTTTAGAGTTAAAATTCAATTCATTGCCCAATGCATATTAAGTGAAGATGGTCTTGAACCGAGTTAGGGAATTTCAAAATAAAATCACCTTTCAATCGCATTAAATTTCATATTAATACATCTTGATTACTTGATGAATTAGTTAGCATCGAACACACGTTATCATTCTGAATGATATGGGCCAGTTACTTAGAAATGAATAATAGTTAAATAAGTTTTCAAGAATTTGAGACAATTAGTTCCTTTTATGAATTTGGATAGTGTAATGAGAAGACGTAGATTATCTGAAAAATTTAATGTATTAGTGCTATACATTTTGAACATATGTGTATATGTATATGTGTATATGTAAACTGGAAGTGGGGGAAGGACACATATGACATAAAGGAATTCAATGATAAGAAAAATAATGGAAGGGAAAAAAGATAAGATTTAAAGACAATCTTGGTTATACGATAAAATAAGCATTACCAAAGTAGGCTTAGCGTAAGGACAAACTGTTTTTGCACACACAATAGGGGGAGAGGGGTGTTAAATTTATTTATGGCTAGTGCCTCAACAAACTTAAGTATGCGCCCCTGACAGTTTCTATACCAAATTGTAAAGGCTGTTTTAATATCAACCCTGTGACCCTTATCAATGATATGTTTTGCAATGGATGATGATGGTTGTCTGCCCTCTGCGCTTATCAACGTCTGTGAATCCAGCTGCTTTCGTAGCCATTTTGGAACATGTTTCCTTACCCTCAAGTGCATATCACCATTAGTCCTCCCTACGTATGTTTGTCCATACACACATGTAAATTTATAAACTCCAGTGGGATACAACGTTGAGGTCTAGGTTACAGCAGGTGTTTGGTCTTCTCAGCTACGATAAGCTTCGCTGCATAGTACTTTTTGCTAACAGGAGACCTTAACCTTCGTTTTAATATTATGCTAAATGTATAACGCCAATACATCACATTTTTCAGATAATCTACGTCTTCTAATTACATTATCCAAATTCATAAAAGGGACTAATTGTTTCAAATTATGCTATTAGATTCTCCTCTGTATGGTAACGCGATGTAAACGGATTTCTTCGAAACAGAGTACATATTAGGTTTGGCTGGTTTTTGCAGCGGTTTATGAACTTCAATGGATATCCATTTTCCACTAATGTTTCCGTTAGTATTTTGATATCATCATCCATGGAGTCTTCCGTACAAATACGCTGGATCCTTTTAAATAGGCAAGTTACCAAACCTCACTTGTATTGGGTTGGACAAAAGCTATGGAAACTTAAATACCTACCTGTCCAAGAAGATTTCCTGTAAATCGACCGTTTTATTGAACCATCATTTCTACGACTTAATAGTCTATCCAAGAACGGCTGAGGGTTTTCTTTCTCTTTACATGTTAGATGTTAAGTCTTTCTAACAAACATATCGCATCTTCATGCTTGTTACATATCACGATTATATCATCAACTTTACTGATGAGATCGCCGGTCAAGCCTTCGATGTGTGACATGTAAATATCAGCTAGCAATGGTCCTAAGGGACTTTCCATAGCCACACCATCTATTTGTCGAAAATGTTCACCTTCAAATATGAAATGAAATTTATTAGTACACAATAATAACAGCTCTCTCAAACACGTTGAGGGGATAGGGAAAGAAGGATTACTAGAAGATATATGGTCACAAAGAATGTCAATGGTCTTAATTCGGGGTACATTAGTCAATAAGGAGTTGATATCAAATGAATACAACCTCTTATCCTTGGTATTAATATCACTGATATAATCAACAAGTTCAAAAGTATCTTTTAAAGAAAACTTACATAATTCATTTCGAATAGGAATTAAAGTTTTTGCTAACAATTTCGCCACTTTATGTGTAGGTGAACGGAACATGGAGAGTATAGGACGTAAAAAATTATTTGTTTTATGAGTTTTAGGCAATCCATACAGATTAGGTAGCTCAGACCCCATTGGTTTGAGGGAAGTGAATTCTTCCTTGCTGATAACATTCATATTCAAGAGTTTTACTTGACTAGGTGTTGCTTTACATTCTAATTCTCTAAGGTCGTGCGATGAAACACCAGCCATAAGTTAACTTTTATCACTAAGTCTGGATGTCATCTTGTTTTAGTAATCATATTTGTTCACCATAACTACACCTGATGCTTTATGAGATTTAAAAGTGATTATATCAGATCTATTTCGAAGTCCTCATGAGGCTATGAAATGTTGCAAAGTTAGGATGCTTCTTTGTCTTGGGCCTGAATTATGGAATTGATGGGCAATGTCCACTAGCTCAGCCTTCAACCAACTCTGATTATCTGAAGAGGTTGGAACAAGGGGAAATAACTGATCATAAACACTTTCAAATTGGGCATCAATAGCCAAATCCGAAACTTTTGTTTTGGGAACCGAAAAACTGAATCCAAGGGAAAACGCTTCCTTCTCATACGTAGAAAGTTGAATAGAGGATACATTAGTCACATATTTATGTAGATTAATTGGGAATGAGATAACATAAGATTCATTGGTACAAGCTTTGAAAGCTTCTGTTTTGTCTTCTCCTTTGATTTAATGATGACAGACGTACAAAAATTGACGAACTTGATATGACAAATTAACGAAATGTCAGACAGCACACATTGAAGAATGAACGTGAAGTTTTACTAATCCATTTAAGTTCTCACTGCAACTATCAATATGAGATTTAGCTAGTCGAACGACGTTTAAGACATTTGGTTGCAATTTTGTGAAAAGCAAGGTTTTATAAAAATGTCTGGGAAAAGTGTGACTTGAAATACAAGATTAGTAAAATTCCAACTTCACCTTTTCAGATGCCATTTTACACTTGAAGCTAGCAAGTTCATTTAACCTTTTGATAGTATGTGGCGGGAGCCTTCTTTTCAAGAATTTAAAAATTTGTGATCAGATTGTTCGAAATGTATAGCGCCAATACACCACATTTTTCAGATAATTTACATCTTCTAATTACATTATCGAAATAAGTTTTGTTATGTGGACTCAAGCAATGATATAGAAATGCATCTCAGCAATCACGTACAACTTCATGCACTATGAAATGAGCTACACTTATTTTTTGAGAACTATAACACTAATTAGCTGTCTAGACATTGACAGATGGAGTAGGGTTGAACCTGAAAGCCAACTGGCTACAACGATAAACCACATTTCCTAAGATTCATATTTCACAAAGGATCTCGAATGGCATTATATGGATCCTAAAAATAGAAGCAGGCATTCAGCATAAAGAACAAGATCCGGATTTTCCTCACTAACGTCAAGTCACTGCTTCTATATGGTTCAGTGACTTGGCGCGTTACGAAAAGCATTTCCAACAAACTACAGACATTCATCATCAGCTGCTGCCAACGCTCACCCGATGTTGAAGATCATATCAGATGACCAGAAAGAATAAGCAACAAGGAACTGTGGCCTGACAACGAATCAACCAAGAACCTTTCGCTCAACAAATATGCAGAAGAAAGTGGAGATGGACTGAACTGGACTGGATATTTACTGAGAAGACGGTTTGGGGACATCATGCGCCAGGCACTGGAGTGGAAGTTAAAGGGTAAACGAGGAGTCAAGCGTTTGAGCTGAGGTTGACATGGAGGAGATGTTGTGAGGAAGAAATGCAAGTTTCTGGGGATTGGTGGAGCTAGGTTGAAAAGACTGCAGAGGAGAGAGTGAGATAGTGACTTGCTACTGAAGCCCTATGTTTCACAAGGAACCCAAAGGACAAATCATAATAATGATGATACAGTCTATTAAACCGAATGACCGAGTTCGGGTTCTCATTTTAAAGGCAGTAGTCAACTAGTAACATAAGTAGAATGCCTTTACTACAAGTCACATTGGTTTTAAGATATTTAGTAGCATGCACCGATTTGTTGTAGAGTTGTATACATGTTGAATAATTACCTAGGTCAAAATTGGCAAACAGTATTTGGTATTCGCGTACCCGAACTACTGAGTTGCAATTTCCGGATAAAATATTTAACCAAGATATATCTTATGCTTGGATAAATCTCAGTCTGTTCGAAATAAGAATTCCAACGTTGCGCACAGAAGTCTGATCCGAGCTTCAGGGAAACAAATCCAAATCTACATTCTACGAAAATATGTTAGCCATGATAATAAACCTGATATCCATAATAGGTGCACAATCGCAAAGCCATCAAATCAACTTCATACGTTAATGTTAGTATTGCTAGTTTTAGCAAAATGAAATAGAACTGAATGACTATTTAAACCGTGTGACCAGAAACTACTTTTGGTCTCAAGGACCAAACAGGCTAAGATTTGTCCAAACCTAACTTTTATCTAATGTCAACTTTTCACTCGGGACTCAATATTTGTGAAAATATCCGGATTCATATAAATCATTTAGCCAAGAGTTGAAACATTTATTTCCTGATGCAAATTTAAAACAAGTATGTAGAGTATTCCAACGATAAGTTCTTTTAAAACTTATGAACTCATTAAATCCTGCTTCTTTTAACATTTGTTGCTTGTTTTATTTGAGATTCCGTTTATCTACTTAAACACTCCTAGAAGAAGACCAAGTAGATAAGATCACCTAGATAGTAAGAGACATCAGAGAAAGATTAACATTATGAAGAGTAAACGCATAAAAATTGACTTATCAACTTAGTGACATGGAAAGAAGAAAGCCGAAAATATCTCTTAAGAAATTTCCACTTCAGGCTTCTAACATTGTAGAGTTTTTTGGTCCTGGAGACCAAAAGTAGTTTCTGGTCACACGGTTTAAATAGTCATTCAGTTCTATTTCATTCTGTTAAAACTAACAATGCTAACATTAACGTATGAAGTTGATTTAATGGCTTTGCGATTATGCACGTCTTATGGATATTAGGTCTATCATGGTTAACACATTTTCATAAGGAAAGAACTTACAGTCATGAATAAAAAGTAATGGAAGTGGTAGAGTCAAAGGGATGAAAGCCGTCAAAGTACATGCTGAAACTAAACAGCACTAGACAGCTAGGTTTTTCTGCCAAACTGATTGCATTATCTATTTGTAGAACAGATATCTTTGGAGATATTTAGAGTTTAAAGGCTAAATAAGAGTTTGTCAAACACTTTTGATCATCATATATGACTTTGACTGTTTTCCGATGTCCTGGCAACCTGGTGGTGTCTTTGATTCCGAAACGGGTTTATCAGTGTTTGACTCAGGTGAAATATCACTTTTTATAAGTTTCAGGTTTTATATGAATACATACATCAATTATCTTTCCATTTTTGAAGTGATTTAGCACGTATAAGGTTGGCGTCTGTATTTCATTGTTCCAAGTGACAAAACTCAAGTATCAATAAAATTTCTGTTATTAGATAGTTAATGAAGGTATGAAGCTATGATTCTTGTTGTGACCTTCCTCAGTACCTTCTGCTTCACTGAGCTGCGGAAAAATCAGAAGACAAAGACGGCCTGTGACTGCAAGAACAGCGACAACTTTTGTTAGGCAAATACATGACATATATGTCTTTACAAAACTCTCAGATTTCTTGTATGAGGTCGAATTCCTCCAATCAGGTTCTCGTGTCAGCGCATGCATAAATCCTGACCTGGACATGATCTGATCATGACTTGAAAACAACTCTATTGGCTGCCTTTTGTCGCTACGTATCATTTCTCGACACTCGTGTCGAGAACTTGTGTTTATCATTAAACGAGATGACTCAGTATCCGAGCAAACTGAGCGTCGTGTTTTGGTCTCAAGAAAAACAGAAGTTTACCACATCGACCACTTTAGTTTGACTTAAGAAATCTGATTGTAATAATTATTGGTGGACTATAGAAGTTGCCTATTAATATTACTGGTTAGAAGGGAAAATATCTTACTATGCATATCCTTTGGTGTCCGTAAGTATGGTATTTGCTTTGCACCATTGAGGTGAAAAGTACTTTTGCAAGATTTGCAGGAGTCTGTACCTGACCTCAGTCTTGGTGGTGAGCTGTTAGAAGTAGTCGAAAAGTTCGTGTATCTGGGTAATTTGAGTTCTGGTGGAGGTATTGTGAAGCTTCCAACCGCATATCGGAGACCAGAGTGGCATATGCCATTTCAGGCCACCTTGAGGGCTGTCACAGCATTAGTCTGACCCTGCAAGGTAGGTTCTACAACGCTTCGGTGCGGGTAGTTCTACTCTACGCATGTGAAACCTGACCCGTCCGAGCTGAGGATATGCGATGGCTCTGTGTGTTCAATCATCGTCGCTTCCGTAGGATTGCTTGTATCTGATGGCAGTACCATGTAAGGAGCTCTGAGATAAGACAGCCTGTGTTCGTGCATGATGGAGATCGTCACTCAATAAGTGATCTTAAAACACCGGCTTCGGTGGCTTGGACATATGTTACTCATGTCGCCCCAACGGCTTCCACACCGTTCATTGTTTGCTAACAGTGGGACTGGACGGAAGAAGTGGAGTGTAGTAGTCAGTGTATGACGTGGCACCATGAGATGAAAGATAGCTATATCGGGTTGGCATCTGTTGGTTCATCACAACTCCCTGGCTGTGGTCCGAGAGATAACGGAAATCAGTGGATTGAGACATTATCAGATATGTCTCTTAGTTGAAAGCAGTGGTGGTCATGCTGTAGTTTCCTTCTATCTTCTGCTCCTGAAAAGTAATGAATGTTTTGTTTTGAATTTATCTTACCTAACTATCCTTCTAATTATGCTGTTCTTATCGTTTTTCTTTCTTACTGATTTACCATCGTTTGTTTATTCATAATGTTATGTTATTTTGTGTGGCACATTTCTTATTGCTCTTGCTGTACCGTGTTTTTACTTTAGTAATAATAATAATCCTTTGGTATTCTGAATCATATATTGAGGAGTGATTTATTTTTATTGCCTCTTATATTAACTTATAGACCACATTCAACAGATTCATTTACCCATCGTAAAATCACATTATCTTTGGCGGACAAAACTAACAAATTGCAAAAAGTTAGTGTTTTTGTATATGTAAAACATTTCTACATTCTCGAAAATCTAATGTTTTTGTACAATTGCTTCACTTTCTTAAATTTGAATGGAAAGAGAAAAATAATTGTGGCAATTGAATATGAAATTACACAAAAGGCTTTGAAACGATGGAGAATATTTGTAGCTCAGGCGGATGGTCTTGGTTGTATTGTGTTCTCTGAGCTGGGTTGTTCAATCAGCTCAGAGAACACAATACAACCAAGACAAAAGGCTTTAAATGCTTTGATTGGTTTGATGAAAAATAATCGGCTTTTGGAGAAGACAGCATTGACGGTAGATGCTTGAAATCAGAGGGTATCAATAATTCGAATAATGATGCATTTTAATAAGATCGTGTATACGTAGATTCTTACCATATGCTTAAACTTAGGTAGCTGATATGGGTTTTGAACCTAAAAGTGTTTCAGATACCACTCACCAGCTGACCGAGTACGAGTTCCACACACTATCTTGTCACATTTTGACTGTTTCAGCAACAGTCGAAAACAATTGAGAGCGATGCTGAATACATATATTGTAAACGACCTTGACAAACACTAAATTCACTGATAAGTTAAAAAAGTTAACCACTGAGAGCTCAGCTTTCGGAAGGAGTGGGCAAAACAAAAGCTATCAGCGGTGCAAAAACAACTGTGATAAAGTTATTTTAAGGTTTATTGGCAAATTTCAGGCAAAATTAGGGGTACATAGCAATATTAAGTGGCAATCAGATGCAAAACTCAAGATGCGTTAGTTGGCATCAAAGCGTAACCGAATCGCAAACGGGTGCTGCAGAAAAGGTGACATTCCTGTGAACTATTGCGCAACCACTTAGTAGTTGTTATATAGTATATGTGATTCTCAACTCATTTGGACAGAGGAGGATGCCAACAAAAACTTCGGTGTTCTCTGTGCCAGAAGTTACTGTAACAATAAATTGTAACATACTTAAGTTTACAGAAAAAAATCCGCACTATCCAACCTGCAACCAACCAGTCCATATTGATACAGAAACAGCTCTCTTCCATGCTAATTCATGCCTACAGCTAAGATGCACTTAGATACTTCCTCGGTGCATGTGATAGAAAGGGTCGGTAAGTTAGCATAGAGTTGGTCCTTGATTCCACCTAAGCTGAAGAATAAAGGAAAATAGGCAGAGATGACAAGGATTTTATTTTTCTTGCTAGTTTCTACTCCAAATGAACTTCCTAGCCCAACAGCGCAGTCGGTAATTTTTTTGGGCTGTAGGGCTTAGTGCGAAATCGATATAAGTCAGCTGCTAATACATTTTAGCCCTCATATAAGCCTATTTTAAACTTTCTTGTCGAGCTGATAGGTGAAAAGGTTATTTAAAGTATTTAACGAGGAGTTTCTACTCAGGGTTCTTAGGTACGGTTGATATCAATAGTGAAGCTTTCTGGGATCTTCTGCTGACCTTATTGTTGTACGATTCGCACTATTTTGGAAAGGCGGATGATAGTAACTTTAAAGGGTGTGATTTTTCAGAATATCCAAGTTTAATATCTCAATAGGAAATAGGTTTATGCTATCAACGATATGCTAACTTTGAACGGTGAACATAATCTAAGAGATCCAAGGATGGTGAGGAGTTAAGTGAAACAAGAGAATGTAATCACTGGATACTGATAATTGAAGGCGTGTTCGAGAACAACGTTACTTAAATTTGACTCATTAGTCTAATATTATCGCTGTTTACGACTCTGGAAATCCTTACTTTGTCTGTGTTCAAACCTTTTGTATATCATGTGCTATCAAGTACATGAAAATGACTAAGATAATCTAAATCATGCAACGACAAATCATTGTAAGTACCTTTTCCATTCCATAAAACATCAAAGATCTGTTGTAAAGTCAGTCAGGCAGTAATACCGATAAAACTAAACAATTAATGAAGATTTGTATCTAAAGATTGGAATGACGGTAGTCTAGTGTTCTCTGAGCTTTATCGTGGACACTTCATCACCAGACTTGGTGATATCCTCAGTACTTCTTTTGTCACAACATCAACTGTTTTTAAAAAGTGTTTCACGAGTGGAAATGAATGGTATGTGGTGAATGTTTTAGTAACTCGTTAATAATGACATAGGTATTTATTTTAACAGTGTAGATAAAAGTTGAACTCTAACTAACTTACATTCTATTTTATTGACCGTGCCTCTACAAATCACTTCTCACATTTTTTCCCCTCGTTCTTCAGGTCAAAATTTTGCCTGTTACTGGTGCAGATCCAGAATCGAATCGTAATGCACTTGTGAGAAAGGAGGAGGAGAAATTACGTGCCACATTGAGACGGGAAAGTCAATTGCGGCGTATGCGTGAAAAGCAAGCAATGTCAAGAAGTAGTTTTGGAAGTGAACGTAGACGTAGCTACGGAGAGGATGATGATGAAGATGATGGCAATACAACCTCCTTAAATGCATTGAAACGGAATGCAAAAAATGCGTTATTGGCCGCTCGTAAAGGCAAATTAGTTTATATGTTTAATTTATATATACTTCATATGACATTACCCTTTATATCAGAAAAAATTTTCCCTCTGGTTAAAGATGATCGCCACTAATGAAGTACTTCTGGTTACATTGAGAAAAACTTACTTCAAGACAAAAACTTGTACTATTTAGCTGCGTTTTAGAGATAACACCGTTGATATTCTATCGAGGCCACTTTCCGTGAGAAACTAGCTGAATAGTTGTTGAAAGTGTATGGTGTCGCTCATTCTCCAGAATCCCAGCACCATTTTCAGTCTGTTTTATGAACAGCTTGAAAGATAGTGACTGAGAATCAAAAAGCAATTCAAAAACAGTCAGCTGATCCGGGCAGCTGTCTTAATAAATGAAAGTATTTCTGCAAGCGCCGGTCAAAACGATGAACAGTAGACTGAAAAGCGACTTATCCGTGACCGTGATCAGCAAACATCTGTATGGGCTAAAGAGATGCAGGAGACTGTTGCGATGGGCAACTGTATATCGTCTTTTAAATTTATCCAGAAAACAAGCAAAGATGTAAGTGGTTACTTAAACCACAGTGGTGAAGTATGATTTTGAGATTCACTCACGAGGGAGACGACTAAAACAAGGAGCTGAACACTTGGTGGAACAAGTCAACTGGCTTCCAAGTAGTCTTTGTTTGACTGCTATGTATCTGTATCTTGATTGGGAAGATGAGAGTGGATGTCCAGCTGCTTCAAAAGTGGGGAAAACTGTAAGTGACATGAGACGAGAATTGGTGTCTGGTTAGTACTGGAGATATTTACGGATAGGGGTCGAAGACCACTTGCTAGACTAATTGGTGTCAGCTGGCGTATGACTATCAGGTGTGATCCCGTCTGACTGGTCGCTGTCATTGGTTGTTCAAGAAGGTCTTAAGAATGGAGAGTTGTGATATAAAGTGAGGGGAAAATCGTGTGAAAGATTCTAGGTTGAGATTGGGGTTATTGGTCTAGTCATTCGATTTCTAACTAGTGCGTCAAACGTCCTCAACCTTCGAATGTTTTGGTTGCCACGTAGTATCGTTGGCCGTTTTACAGAATGTGTGGTGCGTTACCTACTGATGAAGGTGCACATGGTTTTTGAGTGGATTTCGATTTCGAAGGTTTAAGAATTTGTAGTTGTTGTACGCACAAGTACAGCTCTGTAATACTAGACCCATAGATACCAAGCGCGTTTGAAATTAGGTCCTTGGTGTGTTGATCTTGCCTTAACCCTCTACCAACTGCATTTCCTAACCTGAAGGTGTCATTCGAGTCCAACTGGGGAGACGTCATATGGCAATATCTTTCGCTGAGAATAGTGCTGGGTGAGTACATCCACCTTGTTGAAGGCTGTATATTCGAGTATAAGGTATGGTGTTGTGTGAATCGTGTACTTCTAGTGATGTTTGTCAAAAATACTCTCGTTCTGCATTTCTATTTACCTGTGTCATAGACTTGTTTATGAAGGTCTCTCTGTTTCGTCATCTGAATTTACAGGGATTAACCTTGTCACAGAGAAATCCTTAGTTAACCTCGAGTATGCAGATTATAGTCATGCCATGTGATGTTGAAAGTTGATAGTGTCTTGGACACACGGAGAAGGAATTTTAGAATGTTTTGGATGTATTTCTCGCTACCCAATCGCAATTAATTTTTCCAGGACTGGTCACCGCTGGTGCGTTGTCTCACGGTAGGAAGAGAAGCTGTTGATTATTTTGACCCCTTCACTGACTTCAGAAGGAAGTTAAATCAACTGTAATCTGTCAATAACCTGCGAAACTCGTGCATCGATAGGAAATTGTCGCTTGGCTTTTCCCCCAGCTTACACCATCTGTGGCACCAGGGTAGAGTCCGACCACCTAATAAGGGTCGAGTTTACTGTGCTGCAGTTTGCTTTTTCCTACTGTACAAATTTTAACCAGGGCTATAAGAGGTGGATACGTGAGAAGTTTAGATGCTTGACCATCGTTGCCTTGGTACCATGGGCCATGTTTCGTGTTGGCACTGCGTCAGTAACGTAGAAGTCAGGGGTAGATTTTTCGATAAAAGAACGTCAGTTAATAAGACTGCGAATCTTTATCGACTCATATGGCTGAGACATACGTCACATATGTGTAATAGCTGTCTGCCTGATCAGTAGAGACCATTTCAAGCTTACGTAGGGGGTTGTAACAACGTCACCATGTACATTCTTATGTTATTCGGTTTGTTTTTGAGTTAAATTCAATTTGTTTACATAAAGTGTCCGTATGCACTTGTTCAGTTTCAGCAACAAATATTCTTCAACTCGTAAAATGTTTAACTACTATTTCAACTAGTGAATGCTACGTATAACTTTTTTGTAAACCTTTTGGATTTGTGATTACTTTCTGGTTTTTGTTTGAATTTATCAACTTGTTTTTTTTTTTTACCATTTTAGATGTTTCTGCAATGTATTCAACTGATTCAGAATCTTTAAGTGATGTAAGTTTGTAAACGATAGTTACTTTTTAACGAATCAAGTAGATGAATAAAAGGCGCTTTTTTCCTTTTATATAACACGATTCTTACTTGAATCATGTGATATTTTAGTTTTAGTGATCTATCATGATAAAAACGACTTCTTTCTTATACATGAAGTATTTCATATTTGATGCTGGTGAAGAAAATACACAAACGCTTTTCAAGTAACAGCCATAGAGACTACTAAATATACTTTACTCTGAAGAAACCATTGACATTAAACTCTTCGAACGTGACATATACATGATAGAGGAAAGTGAGACCAACCTTTTAAGTTATTTAAGAAAACTAACTAGGTAATTTATATGTATATACAATTACTGCATTCCTAGGTGTGGACTAAAGCTAATTTATTGGCGAATATTTATTTATAAGTATGAAATAGCTATTTTTTTTCAATCCCAACATGTGGACCAGATGGCTAAAGTGGACTAGTCTTGTTCGTTGCTATAGCGTCTCCTATTAAGTACTGTGCTTTAAGCCGAAACTATTGTATTATTTTTTGAAGATATCCTGACCAACAATAGACTGGATAGTCTGGATTCATCGTGTAACATGTATTTTTTACTTGCTTAATCCCAGCGTATTATACTTAAAACAAACAACAAAGTTAACGAATATATTGTATTATTTCTCAACATTTCGATCTTCCCACAAAGATCATTATCATTAAGTTTTCAGAAGGTGACCTTTATGATCATCCAGTTACATCTTGATGTCAAACAAAGATCAATACGAATGTTGTGTAGGTGAACAAATTAGCAAATCAGTCAGCTAGGCTTATTTTTCTAGTTGTATAAGTAAGGTGGAACAAAAGTAGGCTAGGGAAATTTAGTTTGAGCATGAAAAGTACAATGGAGTTGGGAAGATGAATATTTGAAAATCAAACAATGTATAATAATTAATGACAATGATAAAGGTACTTATGATAATGATTGAAGTATGAATAATATCAAAATAGATTATGTAATTAGTGGGATGGTTCATAGAATGTATAAAACTCAAGAAGGAGCGTAAGATTGATAAAAAATAGGAGATCAACTAAGTAATTATTATACAATAGGATTAGACAAGTTGTTACTACGAAACTAATATTTTTTTGAAGAAATTAGGATCATTAAGCGATCCCCCATATCGAACAACAGAATTATCTTTATGAGGTAGACTGGGGTGAATGGGATGCCATATACATTGGAGAAGATATCACGTCAAGTACTAACATGTCCAACCGAACAGTTATCTGGAAAGGCTTGAAAACGTCTCTGCTATCGTGGCTGATGCCTTATATTTAGGCCATAAAATATCATTCTAAAAGGTAAAAGTTGTGCAAAAGGTTTTCCTTTCTCACAAAGAGTACACCATTGCAGAAGTTTTGCAGATATGTTCTTTTCTTTATGCAGTCAACAGAAAAGATGGGTTAGGCATCTCACAAGTATGGTAAACATTAGTGACTCGTATAAGCAGTTCCAAATAGTATACAAGGAGAAGGTATGACATAACATTATGTTACACTGTCCCATAAGATCTATTCTGAACTTAATGAACATTTCTGAATAGTTTCCGGTATTATTTCACTTGATGATCCTGATTTCTTCAAAAAATATTAGTATCGTGGTAACAAGTTGTCTAGTCCTATTGTATAATTACTTAGTTGATCTCCTATTTTTTATCAATCTTACGCTCCTTCTTGAGTTTTATACATTCTATGAACCATCCCACTAATTACATAATCTATTTTGATATTATTCATACTTCAATCATTATCATAAGTACCTTTATCATTGTCATTAATTATTATACATTGTTTGATTTTCAAATATTCATCTTCCCAACTCCATTGTACTTTTCATGCTCAAACTAAATTTCCCTAGCCTACTTTTGTTCCACCTTACTTATACAACTAGAAAAATAAGCCTAGCTGACTGATTTGCTAATTTATTCACCTACACAACATTCGTATTGATCTTTGTTTGACATCAAGATGTAACTGGATGATCATAAAGGTCACCTTCTGAAAACTTAATGATAATGATCTTTGTGGGAAGATCGAAATGTTGTGGAATAATATAACATATTTGTAATTATTGTATTATTGTTGGTTAGCAATAAAAGAAGAAAGTCGCATTTCTTATGTTTCATTCGTTATTCGTTTTGATATTTTATAATATATATCACTTCATTTGACGCTTAATAATAGATAAGTGATTGAATTTGATTCTATATTATATCGAACTAGAAAAGGATTGAAGTGTTTCTAAGACTCAGATTTTTCCTCTTTGTACTTATGACTTTTACTAAGAATGATTAAAATACATTTTATGCTTATCAATTAGAACAGAATTTCATTATTTTTATGTGTTGATCATAAGCTCAGTTAATGCCGTTACAAATGCCTATTAAGTGTTCTTGTGAAGTTTAAACTATTTCTTTTATACCTTGTGATGATTAAAGGTGAAATGAAAATTTTGACAGTGACCGGATTCAAACCAACGACCACCAGGTTTTCGAATCCATGGTCTACTAACTGAGCTACGAGGTCTGACTGCTAACCAGAGTTTTATTTCACTTTAAGCACTATGGGTTTTGCCCGACTATCATGTGAATTCGTACCTAGTTAGGACTTCTCATTCCTTCAATCATCAACTAGTATAAATACTAGTCTGCCAAAGCGTAGCTATCTCAGATAGTCAAAATTATAACCAATAGGATGCATTCCCCTTTCTAATTCAGTTAGATTCGGATTTCGATGAAAAGTTCTGACTAGGCAGCCAGTGTGAATACGACCAAGCGGCAATTTCGCGTTATGGATTCACATGATAGTTGGGCGAAACCCATGGTGATTGAAGTGAAGCGAAAATCTCGTGGCTCAGTTGATAGAGCATGGGTTCGGAAACCTGGTCGTCGTTGGTTTGAATCCAGTCACGGTTCAAATTTTCATTTCACCTTCAATCATCACCCAGTATAAATACTAGCCTACCAAACTACGGCTATCTCAAATAGTCGAAATGATAATGTTTCTTTTGTTCTTCGATAGATCTCAGAACCTCGTCAACGCAAAAAAGTCCGAGCGAAAATAAGTGATGAAGAAGAAAGTGACTGAACTATGTATATCATTTGTATATAATTGTCTGTTTAATAAGAAAAAGTAATTTTTGTGAACTTCGATTGGTTTTTCCTATGTGATTCAATGTGTTGTTTTACTAACAATATTCAGTTCCCCTGATTGAAGCCGGTATGAAACTTAGGAAATGTGTCATCATAATGATCATACTTCCCAAGGAAAATGAATCTGTACAACAGCAGCAAAGTTGGGTTGGAGACTGGTCGAAATATTCAATGTTTCATGTGGGACCTGATAATATTACTTAAAAAACAAATAAATACGGTATGCACAATTTGAGCATACATCGTCAAAAGATTAAATCGTGTAGATGAGAATTGACAATTTTAAACTATAATTCATTTACTTGCACTGACTCACCCTAACGAAGCGGAAGTCCATAAGGAATTCCAAGTTCTGAAACGCCACAAGACACCCGGCCGAAAAAAATCACCGGCTCTTTTTAAGAATGGAAGAACGACTGTAGTCAGGGAACTGACTACCTTGTTTGAGAAGGTATGGCAGATTGAGAGTGTTCCATTACTCTGGAATGTGTATGAAAAATACTATGAATGACAAATTCAGTTTGTTTGTGTGTATGCACTTTTGTTGTGAACATTGTATATGATATACTGTTTTTGGAAATACTGTCCAGGTTGTTGGTTGCATAGTTAGGCCTTACTTTCTGCTGTTGGTGCGCATTACGATTCAACATAATGTGATATCCCTCAGCTATTCTTCTTTTTTTGTAGTTTGAAAAACCTTTTTGAATAACTTTAATAGTTTTAATACCGATTTTCTAACTGTGATAGATGGTATGAACGGCGATTGCCGACTTGATTTGTAAATTCTCTAGTTCTCCAGAATTATTTGGCGTTCGTTTTGTGTAACTTGTTTTTTTTTTTAGCCCAAATGTAGATTTTTCGGGATGATTTCCCAATGTTATAGACATCACAATTGACACAGATCAATTTGTAAACACAATATTGTATGGAGGTAAAAGAAATTTTATCTTTTAACTGGACTACAGCATTTCTGAGAGTATTGTTTTTCTTTTAGAAGGCTCTAATTCTGTGAGATTCCGTAAGACCCTTTGTAGCTCTTTAGTAGCTCTTTAGCGAATAGTTACTCAACGATGACATTGGATGTAGGTCGAGCTATATCGTAAACTGGCAGAAGTAGGAAATGTGTACCATTTGATTCTGACCCAGTGGCTTAATGATAACGTGCTGGCCATGGAACCTGAAAGCCCTGGGTCTGATCCCTGGCGTAGTGTGGTCATGGGTACGCACTGCTCAGGAGTCCCATACTAGGACTAAGTGGCTGTTCAGTGGTCTCAGGTTTCCAATGTTCTTTCAACTGATGTCAGTCCATGATGGATTCCACCCTCAAAACTTTTCTGTCAATTTGTCATTTGAAAATATCCTTTTAGTGTCTTTAACCAATAGTCGTTCATAACTAATGAACAAAGGCTGTAGAAATTTAGGTGTAATTTATTTCATGCACTCTTTCGGTAGTTACGCCTACAGGGGTGTACCTTCCTTTCTACTTTCCAATGTGATATTTAGAAAGCTAAACTTAACGATATTTTCATTTTCCATAGTGAACTCAGTGTTTTCGTATGATTTAAGAGTTTTAATAGGAAGTATGCTTGGAAGTAGGTTGTTGCACTTGATAAAACGTGTAATTGATGTATCTGAAATAAGATGACGTTTCATCAATTTTTGGCCAGAGAATTACTTAGAACCATGTTAGTATTTGTACTTTTCGAGATTCCTTCAAATCCTATGGCATAAAAAATACGAATGTCTCTCACAAACTTACGTCGTTTGATATGAAATCACTTTTCATGATCGTATTGATTTCTAAATCTATTTCCCTCTTATGCAAATATATGGATGTAATAACAGCCTTCAGCGAAGACGGGACTTCCTTCAGATAAACGTAGGGAAGACAGAGGGAGAAATTTGAAGGAAGTTGTCTCTTTCTCTAGGCGAGGCAGTATCGTTTCAACTATAGGCGGCATCACAGACGAGGATGTCAAAGCAGTCAGGATCAGAAAGATAGAAAGACAAGCCTTCATTAATCTGAAATTAGTGTGGAGATCTACTGCACTCCACTCAGCATAAAGGACAAGATCCGGATTTTCCTCACTAACGTCAAGTCACTGCTTCTATATGGTTCAGTGACTTGGCGCGTTACGAAAAGCATTTCCAACAAACTACAGACATTCATCATCAGCTGCTGCCAACGCTCACCCGATGTTGAAGATCATATCAGATGACCAGAAAGAATAAGCAACAAGAAACTGTGGCCTGACAACGAATCAACCAAGAAACTTTCGCTCAACAAATATGCAGAAGAAAATGGAGATGGACTGGACTGGACTGAATATTTACTGAGAAGACGGTTTGGGGACATCACGCGCCAGGCACTGGAGTGGAAGTTAAAGGGTAAACGAGGAGTCAAGCGTTTGAGCTGAGGTTGATATGGAGGAGATGTTGTGAGGAAGAAATGAAAGTTTCTGGGGATTGGTGGAGCTAGGTTGAAAAGACTGCAGAGGAGAGAGTGAGATAGTGACTTGCTACTGAAGCCCTATGTTTCACTAGGAACCCAAAGGATAAATAATAACAACAATAACAGCCTTGGTATTGGAATATAATCAGCCTACTTGTAGGAACTACCATTGAGATGCAGCTTTGATTCATCTTCAGCAACACAATATGTGGGCGAAAAGATGGGATCGTTATGGAATTCCTCATGGGTCCATAACTGGTAGATTATTTTAAGTACCGAAAATCCTTAAATAAGGTCAAAACTTATTGATTTTCTACTATGCAAATCGTATGTCGTTGATACTTTCTATTATATATAATAACAAATTGACTTACATCATGTGCCACATGAATTTAATAGCTGCTAACCAGCAATTAAATATACGTTCTTGGTGGAAGTTGGTTCGAAAATTTCATTTCTTGACAGAGGATTAACAAAGAAGACTGATGAAACATTGGTGAGGTCAACTTACAGCAAGCCTGTATAGATTGGTCAGCTGAAAAGCTATAGTTGGTGTCTATCGATTGCAAAAGGAACCTAATTAAATCGCGTTTAACTTGCATTCCTGATGCCTTAGAACACGAAGTAAACCTTTTGAGAAAAATCCTGATTGGAAATGGATATTCGCCTTGTTTTGTTAAGGAACATCAAGCCTGAGACTCATAGTAGTCGTCTCCGTTACGTGTCGAAGATACTATTCATATATCTCGAATTCAAACAATAGTGCAGCCTGTGACCTGCTTAATTGAAATTTTGAAATCGAACGTAGTCTTTTGTTGCGAAACTAAGTTTAGCCCTCATCAACTCCCTATTGTTTCATGACTATATGAAGGATAAAGTCTCGCTTCTGGTCAACCTCCCTCATAATGAGTAGTTTGTTTCTATACCAGTCTCTTATCTGTTAGCATGGTGAGTAAATTTTATTCATTCAGAGGTGTGTATGTAGCATACGAGCTCTAAAACCGTTACACACTTGCCATACCACCACATACATTGACACACCATGCATTTTCTCATCGTGTTGAAGAAAATATGAGTGTAGTAGATAAAATAACTGACTGATGTCGAAATGTTACGAATCATAGGGCAGAAACTCAAGGCAGAATGTACACATTGTCTCCAATATCTCAGATCTATAAGCTTGAAACTGGAATTCCCAAACGTTATCTGAAGGAATTGCTTTTACGATGTACAATTAGTATACAATAGAGATTTAATAATGAAATTAGTCGATAACCGTTGGAGTAAAAATCCGTTCAACACGGGATTCTTTCTTGGTTGACCACCTCATAGCTAGTCTAGAGAAGAGTAAATTACTTCCACTGATGGACCATTGCCATCTATTTAAGGGATACATGAATGACACTTCCATCATCTGTGAGAAGAACAGTTACCTTAAAGATAAATTACAAAAGTTCAAGGAATGTGACAATTTAATTATGTTTACCATGAAAACTGAAAATAACTCAGAATCCCACTACCTAAACGTTTCGTTGAGAAGACATGATAGTTCTTTAGAAAGAACGATTTCCAAGAAACCAACGTGAAATGAACATTATTCCAGTTTTCAAAGTCGGGCTCCGCTAGGTAAGACACGAAATCTAATTCATTCAGTATGTATGCACAAACACTAAAAGAATTTTGCACAGATGATTCAGTAAATGAGGAGCTGAAAGTACTTCGAAAGGTGTTCATCGAGAATGTTTATTCTTCAAGATTCATTACGGGGAATATGCAGCCTAAGCATTCCTAAGAAAGAACCCCTAAAGTTTCAGACCAACTTCGAGTTATTTTTCCCAGTCAGCAACTGATTCGAGGGTGTGTAATGGATAAACAGCCGTTTTGGTCTAGCTCTGTTGTATTTACCAATTCAAGGGCTCCTGTAAAGCTGGCTACATAGGCTAAACAAACCGTCTTCTATCCAAATATATCTCCAATACTGATTGATAGCTGTCTAAAATAGAGTGAAAATCTGTTAACAGCTCGATTCTTGAGCATTTGGTTATCTATGTTGCATGAGAATCTTCCTTCAAATTCATTAATCAAGTGAAATCAAATATTTCGAAGGGGGTGCATATCCGCCACCTGAAAAAAGCAGAAGTTTTGGCAATCCAGCAGTTCAAGCCTGACTTTTACGTTCAAGAGAAATAGATTCAGTGTCTAATTTTACTTTGGTCGTTATCTCCCTGAGAAATTCTATTTATCTATCTATTATAGTTCTATAAGTGACTTCATTAACCGTTTCTGATAATTTTGTATTTCAAGTTAGTATTCATTGTAGACTGACATCAGTTGAAGGAACATTGGAAACCTGGGACCACTGGACAGCCACTTCATCCTAGTATGGAACTCAGCAGTGCGCACCCATGACCTCACTACTTCAGGGATCAGACCCAGGGCTTTCAGGTCCCGTGGTCAGCACGTTATCATTAAGCCACTGGGTCGGAATCCAATATTCCACATATCCTACTTCTGTCAGTTCACGACATAGCGCGACCGCCACCCAGTTTACGATGAATAGTAACTTGAAATATCTCTAAATTCCCACAAACCCTCCAAATTCAGTTTTGTATGGACCCATTAGCTATTGATGGATGTATATTTAGTTGTACCTATGATCAGAATTGTATAGCTTTTAAAAATGATTTATCGGAAAACATTTTCTTCGGTGATTTGTCTTCTGTCGGTTTTTCATTATTTAATGGGACTGTTCCAATCTATTTTTATCGTTATCTGAAACTTCGGTGCTTCATTACTTTTCATTTATTTATTCTGCATCCACTGATCCCTCTCTTTTTTCATTTCTGTAACTTGCTAGTTCTTTACTTCTTTTTCTGAACTGTTAAAAATTGTCGCAACTTAGATTTATACCTTTATGTGAACGTTTCCACACCGACACATGTTCGTTGGATGGAAGCAGTCGGCGAGAAGCCCTGAACCTTGGTTTCCTGTTTATCGGCATCCGTCGCGAGGGTATATCTGCAACCTCGACGTAACTGATGTCCCGCCTGAGACTCGAATTTGCGCCAACCAGTGCTGCAGTCAGAGACGTTACCACTGAGCTATTTGAGCTGCAACTGACCTCCTGTAGGACTGCTTTTGGTATATTAATTAGTCAGTAGAAAGTAACCAACTTCATGTTGTCACTTCATACTGAAGTTAGTGCTGATGATGTCGTCTAGCAAGGCGATGAAAGCTTCACGATTAAACAACCCAGCTCAGAGAACATAATACAACCAAGACTATCCACCTGAGCTTCCAAGTATTCTCCATTATTTCAACTTCATTAGTATATTTCATCAGTTCATGATACTTTTTGATTAGAGAACAACCGTTGTGATCTTTGAGGGGCGGTTTCCCACGGAAACCTTGTTGGGTAGTAGCAAAACTACTCAACTATGAACAAAAAGTGAATCGCGCAATTTATGAGTCATTTTTAAATTGATCATGTTGAAAAATTTGTTTCTGAGACTTCGTTTTCATTTATATTAAATTTAGCGTTAATTTATATTGTTGTAAACTCATCTGTTCTTTCTTTAATTTGTAAATTTAATAACCGATTGTGAATCACTAGACAGACTATTATATCACAGTCCTACCCTTTTCAATTTTTTCATTTATCCAAAAATTTAATAAAAAACATTGACATAAAATCTTGGTAACTAGTTTAGTACTCAGTTTATTTATCAAGAGATGTTGGTAGTTACTCACTGGAGTACGACCCAATCGAATGCTTTATCAAATTGTTTAGTATATAGTTATCGGTAGAAAGTTGGGAATAAGTAAAAATACTATTTTATGTTCAGTCCTCTAGCAAAAACGGAATAAGAGCATTCTAAATCCGATGCCAGTCATTTATTATAATTACGTGTATTCTCAGTATCATCAATTTAATGATAACAGTCGTCTATGACTGTGATATGAAATAAATAGAACCACACATACCAATGCATCTTATACTATAGTCGCTCTAGTTTAATTGTTCGTCTTATTGAGAAATGAAGATTGAACTTCAACCAAATGATTAATGAGAATATGAATGAATTCTATATCATTTTAATAATTACATTAAGCAATTATAATGGTTTATGTAACAAGTTAAACCAGGAACAAAGAAACATCAAACAAACTATTCATAATCAAACTCAATTCATAAATAAGTGTCATACATTTATTTTCCTTGACAAATTTAAACAATACAAAAATGAAGACATTTGCAGAATAGAATGAACTCATTTTATTTCATCGCCTTTCATCAGAAACAAACAGCCTACAGTTAAAATAGAATAATTAGTAGTAATAACAACATAACATACTTTAAACACGCAGAAATAAATGCAGGATTAACAATATGGTAGAGTAAGTCAAGGAAACACACGAATAATAGTTACATATCTTAGTCGAAATCAATGACTATTTATATCTGATGAGATAGGAAATTCTTGAGCTGTGGAATGCGGGGGATGGGACACAACAGAAGATAATCAGCGTAAAAGAAGGGACTATTTAAGAGCTAATAGGTTACGTAGTTACATGAAAAACTTGAAAATTGTCAAGTGATTAATATTCAGTAAGTAATTAATGAAGAGATAATGCAATCAAAAGAAAAGGGAAGACTATAATACATATATATATATATATATATATATATATATATATATATATATATATACACATATAGTCTTCCCTTTTCTTTTGATTGCATTATCTCTTCATTAATTACTTACTGAATATTAATCACTTGACAATTTTCAAGTTTTTCATGTAACTACGTAACCTATTAGCTCTTAAATAGTCCCTTCTTTTACGCTGATTATCTTCTGTTGTGTCCCATCCCCCGCATTCCACAGCTCAAGAATTTCCTATCTCATCAGATATAAATAGTCATTGATTTCGACTAAGATATGTAACTATTATTCGTGTGTTTCCTTGACTTACTCTACCATATTGTTAATCCTGCATTTATTTCTGCGTGTTTAAAGTATGTTATGTTGTTATTACTACTAATTATTCTATTTTAACTGTAGGCTGTTTGTTTCTGATGAAAGGCGATGAAATAAAATGAGTTCATTCTATTCTGCAAATGTCTTCATTTTTGTATTGTTCAAAAATAAGTAACCATTTTATATTGTTGTACCACTACTTAGTTGTGTATACCATAATTTCACAATCTGAAGTTTTTGTCATAATGTTTACACCAAAGATTTAATTCTTGTGGTGTTTTCTCCCTGTTATTTAAATCAAACAAAGAAATATCATTAGTGATGGCATAATTGTTAGTAACAGAAGTAGTGGGATTTGAAATTGTATAGTTATTCATAACACTGCTGAATGCGCAGGGATTATTTGAAAAGCATGTATTTCCCCATGTGGTTAGACACTGATTTGTTTGACTGCTATGAATTTCCTCTTGATTATTTTGTTGTTTTTTATTGTTATCGAATAAATTCACTCTATTCCAACTAACCAAAGAATCAAGACAAAAGTTTTGATTTCCACGTTCAGGATAAACAAGTGGTTTTGAAAATTCTTTATTCAAATTAATGATAGGTGAAATAGTATCGTTTTTCGGCAGTGTAATATTCATCTAAAATGAAAATAAAACTGAATTATTAGGATCAATTTTAATTTGGAAACAGTAAGTGACCTTTTATATTTAATACTGACTGCTAGTAAACCAAATATCTTCATCCGTCTTCAGTATAATGTCCATCTGTTTTGCACAATAATGACTGTCATCAACAAAATGTGGTTAACTAATCAAGAAAACTTGAAGTGTTTTGGTTTATTCAGACTCTTACATTAGAATGCACTACGAAAGCTTTTCATCTGTCATCTCTTGTTACTACCTGATATGCTTCGGATTAAAGCGAGATAACTATCGACCTGATAAAACAGATACTGTCGTATCGGCTATCATTCCATTGTATACATAAACTGTCAGATTATTAGTAATGTTTCCACACATATTTTGCTCCAACTCCAGACATGCTGGTTTTTTCATGGTCAAAAGTTGGTTTACTCCAATGACAAGACACTAGAACTACTTCAGTTGATCATAGAAATGCTCACCAACCAAAAAGAACCTACTTTGCAAAGGATAAATCATAGAATTATTTTAAGTTTACATTTCCTTTTGTATTAAACTGTTAGATAGGCAGATACAAAAAGCTGAGTAACTTGTAAACAATACAGAAACTTAGCATTAAAAAGGGTGCCAAGAGATTAGAATATTAAAACAAGGATATTAGAGGAAAAAGAACAAGATCCTGAATGGTTGAACTAAGTGAATCCTTTTAGATCATTTAGATATGAACTTTTAGCTGAAGATACACAAGATTATGAAAGCATTTTGTTTAAAAATGGTTGTTGATGATATGCTTATTTAATGTAGGACTAATTTTTATGATAGTTAAGGAACCGGATAAATACTCATCTAAAATATTTTACTGTTTTAATCAGTGAAATTTAAGTTACGTAAAGTTTCTAACAATAAAGGCGATAATCTCAGCTAGTTGACTGCTTGTTCTTATGACTCAACTGGTTTGATTGGAGCAATGGGTGCTGAATGTGAATTCCAGTGGATACATAATCCCTTACTGGAATGAAGGCGTATCCAAATATCAGATCTCAAACAGGATAAAACTTCCATCCTGGATTCCGAAGCTACTCGCCGTCAAGTAAATAACATCAAGAAACTTTCCTTTCGATCAGCCTTTGTGCCAGCGGGGGTCATCATATGGGGATTGGCTAAGTAATCAACCGGGAATTGCAAATGTAAGTAACATATTGCTTGCACTTCACGTTTCGTTCACCTTGAATACTTTCATACAACAATTATTAGGCATTATATCAAATACATTAATGATCTCAGTATAAGGTTTTTGATTTTTATATCAAGATAATCGTTAATTTAACTCACCTTTGTCAGCGTGGATGGTGATATGTAATGAGGATTATCAGCACAGGCTTGGCGATCGTGATTATTGGTGATTACTTTGGGAAAGAGTGCCCATCTTTCTGTACCTGCAGTTTCAGTATATTTGGCGGTTGGATTGCTTTTGCCTATATGCATCTCATTTCTGTAGGCTTGAAAGGAATGTTGTTCATTCAGTTTGTTGAAATGACCTAATAGGTTGAGATTTGAAATGTGTGATGTACAATTTGTATTTGTGAGTGACGAATATCTGCCTGTTGCATTATCTTGTTCTAAATGATCACCATTTGCAGAATTAATGGAAAGGATAGGGGTATTACTTTCTGTTGTGATACAACAATCTGATATAGAATTATTGTTGATAGGCTTTTCACTAGACATTCTTGTTAGTTGAAAACTATCAGCTTGTGGGTAATCAAACTGATTGCACAATTCTGTTGCCATCGGACGAGGACGCGCACCAACACCAGCTGGCTGTCGTAATCCCAATGCTTGTTCTTCAGCCATTAAGACACTTGTCAAACAGTTAAGAACTGCCTAAGTACGAAAACATAATTGATATGTATTGGAAGTGAAGACAACAGTCATAATGTTACGGCTAGTTAATTCAAAAAAGTGTTGATCAAAAGCCGTAGGTTTTCAATAAACTTTTCACCAAACAGTCTTCTCAACTTAACATCTACTAAAAACCAAGAATGACTAGAAATACTTTTGACATTGTACCTGGATGACTTAGGTGTGAGTAAAACCATTATATTTCAGGTGAAAAGCTAGATGGGCTCCACAACTGACGCGACTGATAGCGTGGAAAATGTAGAATCTGATAAAATCTGGTAACTGGTCATTCTGTCGCACTGATTTCTGAACCAGCCATGATGGCGTATAGATATTCACATTGTAGATGAAATTTTTCTGCACATGGATTCCGTACAGTGAATGACTAGGGAATACTTCTCTTCAAGGAATTTAAGTTTGACTAGTCATTGAAAGTAATAGTCTCCAGTCCTTTTAATCTAAGACAATCTACAAAAATTTGGTGAGTTAAAAACATTATACGTCCATCCACTACTTCAGAGAAACTAAAACTGCTACTCATAATTCAGTTATCCTTGGATTCTGAAAAGAAATCTCTCTTGGATCATGAAATTCAAATTTTCAGATATACAGAATAGACCATCTGTACCCTAACAGCTTCTATGTGTATTGACGGTTTAGATGATAGTCACCTTATTCGTAGCACCAGGTAATCCGATACCTAAGGAATTCGTACGGTCTAACCACTTATTGTTGTTGTTAAGTTTAGCAATTCAAAATGATGCACTTCTGTGCGTTGATATATCTTTGTATCATAATGCAGTATTTTTTTTATTTAAATCTACTTTGTAAGCTGAATGAATACGGATTCACGTCTGTTGCACTTTACGCTCAATAAACGAAATTGTTCTTCAATGAATAAATCAGTCTGATTTTCCTAGCAAAATGCGCAATTAGTGTGAATAACGTTTTACTACTCACATAGCCTAGTAGTATAGACAATAAATTGCTCAGCTTTGAGTGAAAGTCAACCCGCATGTTTGTCACGTGTAACCTCAAAGCTAATTTTCCGTCTATTCGATACGCAGAAGTTAATTAGATCCCTGATTTACGGAGATATTACAATCAAAATGACTACATCTTACTTCATCTTGTTGGGAAAACAGTTTTCCTGGATTTTTCAGTCGACGTAAGAACAATGCATGCCATTTCTGCCGTAAACCTATAACCATTTGACTTTCATCTGCATCCAGGATAAACTGAAGAAAGCCAGTTGAATCTAAACAAAATGTTGTGTTATTTGTCTGAGTATTTTTTGTTGATGACAATGAGGATGTTACTGGCATCTGTGAATATGTCTGTCTTTGAAAAGGTGATTTTGCGTAGTCCTTATAATCGGAAATCTGCATAGAAATGAAATTTGTTGACAGATTCATGACAGAATCTTTGAATTCTGAACTATTTAATGTGGAGTTTAATGAGATGTCTGGTTTCAGCTTAATATTAATCGGATTTTGCTCTGTTTTCGTCTTCTGTTGTATAATTAAACCTAGAGTTTCACGTATGTCGGTATGTATACTTGGTAGCTGACTATTGTTTTGCAAGAGTGATTTCATAATAATGTCAGTTTCTGAATCAGAATTTGATTCTGAATCATTTTCAAACTCTGCATAGTTTTTTTCATGAATATCATTGTTGTTATGTTCAAATTTGTTTTCCCTGTTGTTATAAATTGCTTGATCATCTTGTCTTTGTTGTTGTGATTCCTCTGAAGACATTGTAAAGTTGAAAGCTAGAAAAGTATTGAGAAAACCGTTAACTAATTAGTATGATTCTAATCATAAAATACAACCAGGGTTTAACAATCTGTCACAGAATAGGTTATAGTTAAATTTATATTTAACAATTATTTTCGTCGGTTAAACGGGTAGCTAAAATTGGTGGCTTTATGAAAAGAACAGTTTAAAAGTAAAAATCCTTTCGCTGACTAAGAAGTTAATTTCGTCTGTTCCAGAGTATAAACATTAAAATATGCACCTGCAGATTTGTGTCATTTAATAATCTTAAAAGTTGGTTTACAGTAAGCATGTTTCATCATGCACAGAAGTTATTCAGGAATTAAAGTCGAATAGGGAGTCATATTAATGATAGATGGTGGCTAGCAGTGGAATTCAGGACGTGGATACTCGATTCTCAGGGAGCGTTGCCGTTTCCACCAGAACTGATCACCCCAACTGCCATAGCGTTATCCACTACGCAACCGAGTCACGATAGACACTTCTCGTGCGATGAGTTTAGTTTTAGTGAGAACAAAATCCCTCACTAGGAGGCAGGCATATCCAGCCGACGAGTTCCAAATAGAACGAAACGCACGTCAACCACTAATTACCATCCATCATTATTATTAAAGCTGAAAATGTAGGCAATATCAAGGCATCTGTGCAACAGCATATATGTCAATGGAAACCGATCAGTTCGGTCCATTCAACGACGGGATAATAATAGCAGCATCATATGGACTAGAGAATCACCTACAGTTACCTCATTTTATAAATTTTACAACACCAAGTATCTCAAGTCTAAGGAATGAATGGATTCATCTCAGCTTAGCAGTTGAATCGCAACGCTACTTGTAGGATTAGATGAATGTCATGGGATTTATTCACATTGTATAGAAAGCATACATATATGAAAGGTAAGACCTTGATGCATCTGTTACAAATTTTTCTCCTTAAAGCGTCACTGTATAAATGCATAGACTAAAAGAAACTCCAATTAAACAGCTTGACTTTACGAATTCTCCAAGGTGAAAAAGATTGAAATAGTGTATGAGTGAAATATGGCTTATGCATTTTTGCAGGAATATAAAAAGTTATCCGGGTTCGAATTACAAAATGACCAAGAAATAGTCATAACACTAATATTTATTGGTGTACAAATTGTACTACAGCTGCCATGGTATTGAGCACCTAAGGCAACAACTCTTCGTTGAATCAACACCTTACTACGGATGTCTGACTGACAAAGACAGCGAAACTCGTCTATGCCCATTCATAATCTCTGCCTACATCCCCACAGATTACAGTTGGGATGATGCAAGCTATAAATTCCGCTACGTGAAGCAGAACGTTTAGATATAGTCACAATAATTGACAACTTCAACGATCAATTAGAAAAGCTGAGGTGGTCATAAAAGCATCTAGGGGGGTATTTGCAGAATCCCATGCCAACAAACGAACAACGGTGATTGTCTTCTGCAACTTTGTCCTGAAAATTACTTGTTTCTGCTCTGCACAGACTTCGGTCATGAGGATGTACCTTATCTTGCTTGAAGTCCACGGACATCAAAGCAATGGTGGACATAGGTAGATTATATTGCTATAAGCCATCTTTGGAGAGGATTATCTGTCTTCATAGAGCACCTACTTAGATTCCGACCACGTGTTTGTATTGATACGTGTATGTCTACGTCTTAGTGGACACAGGAAACGGGTAGCAGTGAAGCGTCTACGCGTTTGACTGGAAGATTAGCACGTCCATTGTGTATTTAGAGAGGAGATAACTAAGCAGTCACCCGAAATGGCAGCACTTATCTGCCTGATGAAGCCTGGCGTGGTATTTAGTTTGCTTCAGAAACAGTGGTTGTAACATTTAGTAACCTACATTCAAAGGCTAGCGGAAGTCAGTGGAATTCTGCTACCTCATTCAAACTAGCTATGACCAAAATGAAGAGTGAAGCAAATTAGGTGTGATTTGACCAAGAGTCTTAGCAATGATCGAGAGCAGTGGTGGGTGGGAAAATTGGAAGTAACGGAGAAGACATTAGCATTAGGTTGTACCCGGTAGTTAATTAGGCTTATTAAGGATACTGGTAAGAATAAAACGATGGTCAATGAGACCATTACCAAAATAGACTGGTCTCTGGCAACCTCTAAGGGTAGGCAGCTAGGAAGTTGGGCGGAGCACTCCGAAGAAACGGTGAACTGGCCCGTAGCAACGCCTCGGTCTCCCTACATCTAGATGTCACCATTTCTATGAACCTCTACAACAGATGTGTTCATGAACATAGCCCAATATACCTAGGACTTAACAAGGATTGGCTTGCTTCTAGCAAGTCACCTGGTTGGTTCAAAGTACTCAGACGACATAGTCCTGTTGAGCAAAGTTGCTAACAATACGCTCAGTATATTTGGCATGCATTTCCTACCTACAGAATGTAAGATGGTATCTTAAGACTGATCTCTACTGACTCAGTTTAGGGATAAGAAGTAAAATGCACTGACAACTTCACTTACTTGAAGAGCCGCATCAGCCTGAATGAACTATCAGCTTATGAAATCTCATCTTCGATGCAATAGGCCTGTTTGGCATTTGCCAATTTTCCTCATCTCTGGAGCTGACAAAACTTCCGGCTATTTATTACTGGACGAGCGTGCTGCGTAGCAGTCCTTTATATTCACGAATACGGCTGTGATATGATTATTCAAAGAGGCAGGCATGAAGAGATTACGGACTGATGACCATAGTTACCTCCTCTGCACAGCTAACGTATGATGAAACCACCATGTCAACAATGTTAATGTTAGGTGATGAATACAAACCATAGAAGACAAATTCGTTTACGAGATTGTAGACTTTCAGTGACTGATGCGAGTTGGGCATGTACAGCACAAGTCAAGTTACCATCTACTTCGACTTGCATTTCTATCCAACTTAGATTTGTGTTGGAAGCACACTGATGACGCTCAGGTAAAGATGCGACAACAGTCCGTAAAGTCTTCAATTGTTGGTTTGAGTGGCATATAAAGGTACAGACTGTCTAGCGTCTTAGACGGGATGGGAATCAATGGTTAGAGACTCTTGATGATGTGACACAAAACTGGTTACAATGACAAAGACAAATTCACTCTCTGACGTCTTCTTAAGTTTGAACATTTTGGGTAGTGTTTTTTGATTTCTCCTCTCTCCTCCCATACACTTTTGTCTAACTTGATCTCAATTTTCTATCCACTTTTTGTTGGATGTATATATATTCACATTCAGTAAAATGTCAACTTGATTACGTATCCTTAAATACGGCGAGAAGGATCTCGTGTATTTGAATGCACAGAAACTAAAATATATTCGTGATACCATTATCAAAACGTATTATCCTAACAGATTTGTTAAGAGGTATGTGGACAAATTACTCAAGAAACCTGAAGCAGTGACTATTTAAACCAAATAACTGTTCATGAACCGTCAGCTCATGCATAAAGTTAAGGTCCACACTAAAGATTGGTGAGGGTGGATAAAAGAAATTTTCTCGATATCAGCCTTATCTTTTATTTTCCGGCCAAATGATAGCTGCTATCCGAATGAAGCGAGGTTAGTTTGCTACTTCCATTCGTTTGTACCAGTCCCAAAGCTCTCGAGGATAAACCTATGCTGAACTCTTTTTTGGGGAAAACCTAAAACCCTTGGCTAGGAAAGATAAAAGCGATATCGCTTCAATAACATTTAGTGATAGTAGTCACACAACCGACCGGATTAAAGTGGCAAGTATAAATCATCATGCATCACATCATCTAAATAGATTCCAAATTCCTCTTTTGCATGTAATGAAAACTAAGGGTATGACAGCAAACAAACCTAACCTAGCCTCAGGAAAGGTGCATACAAACTTTAGTGTTACCTCTGTCGAAGAATGTTTTAGTTAAAGACTTAAATATCATCAGCATGAGAATGGGCCTGCAACCCATACATTTCTTGTAGGTAAGCACGCCTACTATCGCAGCTTCGTTTTTATATATTTAGGGATAGCTGGTAATTATCCGCCCTCAGGTTAACCGACGGGAAAATTAAAATTTTCAACTCTGTGTTTCACTTATTTTATTTATCTGTCACATTTTTTGACTTTGGTTACCCACTTACTTAAATTGTTAGTATTACGCAAATTTTACTTTCTTCATGCTTAAAACTACTTTCTTACCGTTCCCCTACTTGTATCTCCCAATAAATGAAAAAAACAGTTCCCTTTTACTAATGTTTAGCTATTTAGCGTAAACGACTTAATCAAAGTAATTGTAAAGCGAGATAGACAATATACCAGACTACATGTACTGACACAATCAAATTTTTTCTGTATGTGTAATTCTGTGTTGTTAAGTTGCTGAAAAAAGATAATGAACATATTTAGAATGTTGAGTGTCATAACTGCGTGGATTAAAAACCAAAGTTTGTATACTCATTTATGCATGTAGGTGGTATTGAGTATGTTGATTATATCAGTTTCTAAGAATGGGTTGAAACCAGATTAATGTCTTATTTGAATTTTAGAAAGTTTCGCTCCTATTTTAGGTGAATAGACTTCTATGGCACATCCCCTGTAATTTGTTCAATTCTTTTGAGCGATTTTAATAATGTCAAAGATTGCGTTAAGGCCTAATATCATTGTGTATAGAACTATAGTTGAAGTCTTCCGAAGTTCTTTCTAGCTCTTCTAGATTCCTAGATGTCTGGATAGAAGCCTTTTGCCATTCATCTATTCTAACTTCGATTTTCGAAGAAGCCTGTCCCATATATATTACAATGTAGTTTGAACACTATCAACACAATTCCATCGTTAATTTTGTGGTTTCTCGTCTTTCATATGGACCAAGGTGCTATGTCATGTGTTTGATGATCTGTAGAACATTCTGATATTACATATTGAAATGGTGGGGGAAATCAGCAAGAAGCCCTCGATCTGGGTTTTGTGCTTGTCAATAAGGCGCATCTGCGACCTTGATGGAACTAATGTCCCGTCTGAGATCCTAACTTACGTCACCCAATGTTTTAATCAACGACTTTACCACTGAGCTATTCGGGTCGCTGACAACAACATTGGGTGACACGAGTTCAAGTCCCAGACGGGACATCAGTCTCGCTGAGGTTGCAGATACGGTTTTCTGACGAGTACCAACAAGCATGAAACATAGATCCAGGGTTTTCTGCCAACTGCCTCCAACCAACTAGCATCTACTGATATGCACCGAGATGCTGAGACTCCTAGTTTGGTGGCCACATTGCAAATATGATTGATAGGATTCGGTCTGCACTCAGGACCAGACAACATGAAATTGGTTGCACTCCCGTGATGGAGTTCAGGTGGATGGTCTTGGTTGCACTGTATTCACTGAGCTGGGCTCCACGATTATATAACACAGCTCAGAGAACACAATACAATCAAGACATTACATGTGTTCGACAGGAGACTCAAAATATACTTCATAATCATGAGTTATAACAACAGTCATGTAAAACAGGTCATATATCTTGAATGAGATTAAAAGGTTGGTCCAAAGAAGCGAAAATAGCTAGGTAAGGTGCTTGAACTGGTTACCTTTATTTAACTGGGAAACCCAAATTTTTCACTGAATATTTACTAAGATCTCCAGTGATTCTCATTATAATTCCACTATTGTTTAACCAATCATAATGTCAGCAGTGGTCACAACTCGTAGCCGTATAATTGGTAAGTATTTTAAATGTTACTAGTAATGTGAGTTCACGTCGGCCTGCTTGAACTCTGGGTTACCAAAATTATCCGTCGAACATTTTCCACTAAATTCTTTCTTTCCAATTTGTTTTAATCATATAAATATGTCCTTTGAACGGATCATATACTCTTGCACATTTTTAAACTGTTCCCAACTCTCCTTTTCTCGAGTCAATAACAAAGGAGAGAAAAAATGTTAGGTCGTGTGGAAATGGACTTTTCGGTGTACAAAAGTACATCATATTTTTATCCATCAGATGCTTAGCTTGAGTTGTAGATTTTTGTACCGTCTGGATGAACCGCCACTACCAAAATTACGATTGCATTTCTGTTGTTTCTTCATTATGGACTGGATGCCCATCCAGAACTAGTTGGCTATTTCATATTAATGCCTTCAATACCATTATTATTAACATCATGCAGATGCAATAACCATTTCATCTGAAAGTATTGTTCTAGGAGTGAATTAGTTGAAAAATTACATGCTAAAAATTCCATACTTTTATAAATACTGTTTGGAATAAAGCGACTATTATTATTATTATTATTCAAATATGCTGTTATTACACAGTGTACGTACCAAGATCTGTGACAACGAAATATAGTTTACTGATAATGGATTTATTGAAAAACTTTACAACATAACCTTTCAAATCCTAATTTTATTTGATCGCTCCAAGCAGAATAGTCGAGGTAATGAAGTAGTAAGTTTAACTCCATTGTCATTATCAGATTATTGTTATGCTCTTAGAAAAATGGACCAATTACTGACAGAATTCAATATGAAATTATCAGATTCCTGTCTTTTTTCCCTTTAACTTAACTATTTGATTACTTTTTTATGTCATATGCTATTTCTTAGTTACTTGAATAGATATGAAGACCTAGTCTGTCGGCTGTTGTCTCATTATCCCCAAAAACGGACTTACCATTTACATTTGCATGCGACTGCTTAATCATTTCTGGACATAATCTCATTGGTCCAGCCATCAGAGCCACAGTTATTGGTGAAACTATACTAGCACATCGTATGATCTTTAAATCCTTTGTGATGGCATCATTTGTATTGCTTTTAAATGTGGTAGAAGTGGACTGTGGGTTATTTAGCTGACTGTTCGAATAAGGGCTTCCAAAATAATTTCTATCATTTAATTCATGAATTTCACTTGTTCCACATGTAGTTTTATTCACTTCCTTTGAATCACCTAAAGTGAGCAAGTCGTCAAAAACAAGCCAATCGCAAGGTAAATTATTTAGATTCATTTTCGTTCCATCCGAGTTTGTAGCGATTACAGAATTGGGATGAAGCATAACCTGATACAGATTTACAAGTATAATGACCAAGTGAGTACATCATTCACTAAGAACCAAATATTGTTGTTATCAGGCTCAGTTGATCAAATCATTACTATACATCACAATGGTTATGGTGAATCTTGGAAACGCTAATTTGACATATAGTGATGGGTCCAAGTAACGAATTTCATGTTGTCTGGTCCAAAACGTTAACTAAATTCTGTCAATGATTTTACAGTATGGTCACCAAGCTAGGAGACTGACCATCAGATTGAACTTTTGTTTATGTTAACTGGTTGGAGGTAATTTACGGAAAGCTGTCGGCGTAAGTTTCGTGCTTCTCACCACTCAAGGTAACTGATGTCTCCTCAAAGGTTCAGACCCATGTCAACTAGTGCTGCGGTTCGATAAGCTGTCACTCATCTATTTCGGCACCAACTGACCTCCTGTCGCAAATATGCCTTGTTAGTGAGTGTCATAACGATAATGATAAATAATTCTTAAAATGAAATGCTACAATTAGACCATCGATGTTTAGATAAGTTTCAGCCAAGCTGCCCTTATTGAAACACTAGTGACATCGAATTGTAAATGGAGGGTAACTAATTTCACTTAGTCTAGTACTGAGTGCTGAACGAGTTTTGTCGATTGTTTGATTAAAAATATTTGGAACATTAGGAATAATCGTTGATGTTATGGCTTTTGAATCTCCATCGTTGACTGGACTGAAATGATCTGTTACTATTGGAATGTAGGCTCCAGTGCAGAGGTCCTGTGAATGAAACCACTAAAATCAGTCCCGTCTATGATTCATTTGCTATTCTTTTATCATGTTCAAATCGGTGTTCTACAACGGTGAAAAGTATCGAGAGTTCATCCAAAGCAAAGGCATCCCGTGTATTTTTTACTTTATTTTGTCAAGCTTGAAGTGAATAAAGTGGTTTGTTTTCTCACAGATTTCATCAAAAATCACAAAAATCTGAATTGGTACTAGAATGTTCTCTTTACAAGTCATATTTATGAGGACACTGACTCTTTCAAATGCGATACAAGAAACCATATTGACTTCATTCTTTGCATTTGTTAGAGTTAGACCATAATATATCACTTAGATCCTTTATGTGATGCCAATTATCATTCGACAAATGAGAAAAATTCGCCGAATATACAAGTACGATTACTGAGGAACTTTCCCAATCTATGCAAGTGAATTTAATTAAAACTCTTGAATCATTCGATGTTCAATATATATTTTATAATAACCCTTAGTGGTCTACGTTAACTCAGTCGTCAGTGCAGTTGTCCGCTTTATAACTAGAAGCCTTATCTATCAGATCCAAACTTTGTGATATAAACCGCAATATCAACAGACTACATGCACAGGTACAGTTTACGAATTTTAATCAACTAAACCTGTGATCTTGATCCCATAGACTTCAGATCACCCATTCTGTACTGGTGAAAATAGTGTTTTAGAACAACATCCAATGTACATTGCATCTTGATAAGGGAGAATAGCAAATAATTTACAAAGCTACGATGCAAAGATATCTGTTAATAACCTGTCCTAACAAGGATGTCAAGACGGTCCCGATAGACCGAAAAGTCTACATTGATAAAGTGTTAACTGTACCTTCAGATATCAACGATTTCCTTTGACCTATCAACGATAAAATCAAAACTGAATCAATTCGACAGTAACTCATTTAAGCCTTTAGAACACTCAAAAATGACGAGAAAATCAGCAAGGATGTTTACCACCGTATAAGACAACCTGGTTCTGTATTACCAAGTCACATGGATTACGTAGAAAACACTAATTCGGCATGCCTCTTCGCCCAAGTATGAACATGTCTGGACCACCCTACCATCTGATCACAAAGTGGTTAGCAGAACTCCTAGAACTTGCAAGAAAATAAACCCAAAGACACTGTCTACAGAACATGTTTGAATTCATTGACCACCTAAAAGACGTGAATGTGCTAGGGAAACTTATGATACCACTTAACTCTTCGACAGTTTTTGAAGATCTAAAACATAGATATTGACAACGAAGAAGTGATGGTTTCTTTCGACGTTACAGCTCCATACAAGACAAGTGAATAGGAACTAGCTAAGGATACGATGAGTCTATCTGTCAACAAAAATACACGCCTCTCGAAACACACACAGTTCCACTGTTCAAGTTCTATGGAATTAATCAATCCATACCTGACAAAATATTTTCAGCTCAACGAAGAACTCTACAAAGAAACAAAGCCAACACCAATGGGAACATCTATAACAGGACTAATTACAACTTGATTGATCTTCTCGGTTCATAATGTTTCGATATTGAGATTTCTAATGTAACTATACGTAACAAACTACTGTAACCATTTGACAGACTAAGAGTTTTCATCAAATTGTTTAAATATTTTCTGTAGTTGTATAACTTCGTGAATGAAATCGCAGGAAGGAGTTTCTTTATTGATCCGCTTGTTCTTCTTTCCTCTTCTGATAGCTACAGTTTTGTAATGCGTCATTTAGCTAAGTGAGCTGCCATAGTCTTGCAGGATGGTGTCAGATGACTGGAGGCAACTAGGAGCAAACTATGCTCCACCTAGGCTGCAAGCTTGCTTGGACTCTTCAGAAGAGGGTATCTACAACCTCTAAGGAAAAAAATTGGTTAAAAAAGTCAAACTGGCTACAAACCAGTGATCTATCAGTATCTCGATTCTATAGGGGGTCAACTAAGGTTTAAACAGCTCTGTGGTGGTGGGCATGATTCCATAAGTAAACGTAATTTCGGTTGTCGTTACGGATAAGCCTTACTGGCGAGTGCTATTAACCACATATAACTAAGTTCAGACACGGTTTCAGGCCTATTACTTCCAACCAATTTGTATTAACTATAAATTGATCTCGTTTTTGATACTGGTATGCCTGATGACAAAAGGTTCTCATTTTTTGATTTATATACTCTCTATAGTGAACGATAAAGATCGTGTATGCTGTCACTTGAATATATTTCCTACTGTGGGTCGAAATGTGCGACATTGTTGATTAGGAGGGAATGTAATTATTACTACTGATATTTCATTCCAATTGTAGACTGATTGCAGCTGAAGAAAAATATTGAAAAATGGTGATTTTATTTTATTCTGCAAATGTCTTTGATCTTGTTTTATTCAAATGTATCAGTGGAAGTAAATGTAGAAATACAAAGTCCAAGTATCCTTGATGCTGTAATTTGGTTGGCTGTGGCTAACAGTGGAATCCAGGATGCGCGTTTCGTCCTATTGCGGACTCAGCTGGACGTACCCGCACCCCAGTGGGTGTTGTTGTTCTCACTGAGACTCGAATATTGTACCCATCGCTTCAAACGCCAACGGGTTATCCACTATGTTACGGAGGAATGATAGCCACTTCTTGTACAACGGGCAGTAGTTATTACTATTTATTGATATACTTATAATTCTCCGTTGTTTTACTGGATCAAATTGTTCGACCTCTATTAGGGTATATGGGCTCCTATGCGGATGCCTCGATATTGCTTCAGTGTTCAAACACCAAGGCGTTTGAAGCGATGGGTACGAGATTCGAGTCTCAATAGGGACAACATCACTCACGGGGGTGCAGGTACATCCAGCTGACGAGTCCCCAGTAGGACGAAACGAGCGTCCCGTATTCTTTGCTGGCCACAACCAACCGAATTGCCATAATTAACACCCAAGCAATATCGAGGCATCCGCATAGGAGCCCATATACCCTAATAGAGGTCGAATAATTCGATCCAGTAAAACAACGAAGAATTACAAGTATATCAATAAATAGCAATATTCTTGCTATTCATGAAAATTTCGAACATTATTTCCTAGATTTCATTCAGGAATACCTAGTATATGCGCTCACAGAATGCGACATGTCCCAATAATATAAACCTTATTATTTCAAATCTTATTATCACAGCTATGCTTATTTTTCATAGTTCTTCAAATAAAAAAAACCAGGTGTCATAAGTTGATCAAGTCCACCTTTTCATGACGCTCCAAGCATTTCTGGTTGCCTCTGTTAAGTTAGTAAATCCGACACAATAGTGCATTGCATTTCAGGAAGCTTTCACAAATGATTACTGATGTAGTGTAGTCTTTCTAAAGCTTGGATAATATCAGCAAATAAAATTATACTTGTAAATCCCTATCACAGTAGAATAAACAAACAATTAGAAGAATATTCATATTTAGTTATAGGATTTCAGGTATTTATCAAACGATTCTTCGTTCATTAGAGTTTCAAAAGATTATCTATTACTTAGGACAATTCACTTCCTATAAAGTTTTAAAAATTCCCATTATATTCAATAGCTAATTTGGAACCAAATATGTAGTGGTTCCCTGTTCTTTGTCTCTGTGAGTTTACCTTAGTGAATTTGTAAGAATGTGATTTTCTGAATGAAATATGTGCTTGTAATTTGTGGATAAATAAGGTGAACTTACCTGTGAATGGTTTCTGTTTGCTACTCTGAAGCATGAATTCCTTCTGTCTAGTCGAGCTAAATTTCCATACATACCAGCTACAATTGCTGCTTTGACAACAGCCCAATTCTCAGAATTACTGTTCAAATCTCGAATATCTCCGCTTCCTCTAGCTTTTACAAAACCGGAGGCTCTAAGTTGTCCTAGTAGTTGAGTTCTGAAGAAATTATTTTAGAACATATTATTGACAAACAGAATTGTTAGGTTTTTGACTTAGTCTTACCAATTACTTGATAAAAGATTACTCTGTTGTGAATACCTTTTTTCAGATTGGTTTCTGATTAATTTGTATTTATTACTGTAACTAATATGCATTGAGTTATTTTTGAAGATAGATATAAAAGCTGTGAATATGTATCTTAAACAACAATTTCGTTTATGTCCCTCTTCTTTCACCATCAGAGAATGATGATCAATGGTGAAATAAAAACTTGGTTTGCAGCAGGATTAAATCAATGGCCAGTCATCTAAGACCTTTTTAGGAGTTTGAGAATTTTGCCTTTATTATGTTGCTAAGTCCGGTTGATAAAATCCTGTGCCACCTACATAACATATTGCACGTCTAGAAAGAGTATGATACTTTTGAGCTTATTTATTCTAACCCTTCTACCAGGTGAGAAGCAGCCTCTTTATGAAATGCTATAGTCAGTCAGTCGATATCAACGTGGGATCAGGCATTACTGAGTTAAGGTTTAATTTATCACACCTCACAATAATACAACAAACTAGAATGCATCAAGTTAAAAAATAAAGGAACAAAGAAAAAAGCAGATATAAGTCGTGGAAAGTGGCGAGACATGAATAGGGACAAACTGGACAATGATAAAATTTATTGATGATTAAGATGATGATAATATGAGCATATATCTTGGTCAGTGATATGAATTTTCAGCCATGTCACCTAGAGTCTCCAACCATTAGTTTATGTTTTCACGTGAACCCGAGCCGGGAAGTTTACATTCCACCATACGGCTCAGACCAATGGTTAAACACTTCAGTGAATGATACCACATTTCAGTCTGACCCCTCTTACCCTTTCCTATTTCAACTAATATTCAGCGATTAGGTAGATGGTGAATAAGTAGGCGTATTACATACCCCATTCATCTCCAGCCAATGATGATTCACAACCGCATCAACTGACTTTCTTCCTTTCTTTGAAAGTCTCCAGTTGACTTCAATGTTACTGACGTGGTGATACCACTACACACGGTCCATGTGACGAAGGCTGTGGTGGTCAGACACCTGAATATTCTTCATGTAAACAGGCAAACAGTGCAAACTACTGTACACCAGACTCGACCTTTGATATACAATCGTCTATCCTGGTATTATCACAAATGTTGCAAACTGGCAAAAGCCAAACAAGCCTTTTGCATTCATGCGGAGATTTTTTGGCCACTGGCCCACCTCAGTTGATTCAACCTCCTTCTCGATGGAATGAAATGGTTAAGAATACCAACTGCTTTGATGAATATATGAGTAAAACTTGGGCACTATGGTAGATTGTAATTCTATTTTAGTCTGCTTATTAGAAATGTCACAGTGGAACAGTATCATTTACTGGATAGCGTTTCGGATATAACTGATTGTCCATATCCATATCATGTCATATTAACATTCAAACCATATCATATCATATGAATAGGGACACCAAATTATGTCCCAAACGTTATCTAGCAAATGATACTTTTTCACCGAGTAACATTTCCAACAAAATGGAATTAGAACTGCTTCGTTTTGTCAGCAGATGTATTAATCCAAACCAGTTTTGGAGCAATGATTTGCATTTAGGCAGTGAGAAATACTTTCCAAATATTCCTAAATTCCCCCTTAACATGTCCAAGATACTATCTCCAGCCAGAACCACCTAACAGCGCTGTTATTTGCATACTTGACGTTAGCTAAGGAATCCCACGTGACAAGACCGACTTCTATGAAATTAGATGGGGGGAGAGGGACCGACCTCTATAAGCAAGTATATGACACAGGTAAGTAGATATGTAGTTAGACATGTATAGCATACACCACTTGCGGTAAGCAACTCAGTGGACACCCCATTGTGGACTACAACACACTTAAGGATGTTCTAGTTCAAAGCCTTCAACAAGGTGATGAACTAACCCAGCAGTACTCTCAGTGAGAAATACTGCCATATGACCTCTCCACAGTCGAACTCAAATGACATCTTCAGGTCAGGAAATGAAGTTAATGTAGAACACTGGTGAGTGTTTGTGTTCGAAGACGTGGTTGGTGAAGGGCCAAGATCTGGTGGACACAAATATCAGTTGGGATTCAAACGTCACGATATTTCTTCCCTTGGTTAAATTGACGTTAACAACTGTTGATATGAACTAGGTTCTGAAAATATAAATATTTTGATAAGGGGAGACAAAAACTAGAACAGAATTACTAAACGTTTGGCATTCAAGTAAACTGAAAACCAAAAAATGCATAGACATAGACCTATTTTATAAACCAAAAGGAAAAACAATACACAATAAAAAGGACAAAGGTCAGGTAGGGAAAATACATTTTAGGTAAATCTATACAGTTGAGGAGAGAATTATCGAAGTATACTACAAATTAAACACCACTTCATTAGGATAAGCTACTGAATCATTCAGAAAATTCTTTGTAATTCACTTCCTGTTGCAGTTGGTGCTGATGCCGTTGTCTGGGTAGACAATAAAATCTTCACGAGTCAACTACTCAACTCAGAGCATGAAAGACTGTAAAGACATTTCTTATATGAATACTCAAAAGCTCTGATGCCATATTTTGTTTTCCGACCTTTGTGCTAGTTTTAAGGTAGACGGCGTGGAGTGGGAATGAGAATAAGTTTCTTAAATTTCAATAGGAAATTTAAGATGGAGAGTATTTCCGTTATACTATAAAATGATGTTAGTTCCTATTTTCCTTAAAAATAACTTGAGGAAGAGAATTTTTGTTAGATCGAACATTTCTAAATTCCCACCTTCTGACTGCTACTTTTATGATCCACCTTCCAGTATAGTCATGCAGTTTTCTACCTTTTGTACTTTGTAACTTTTATCTTATCGTTAAATAGGTCCTGTGCAAATATATATGCTAAAAGTATCATGTTGAATCAGTCCGTAGCATGTTTGTTCATTGATTCACCAACTATATTCTTTCATTTAAGTTTAAACTGATAAATTTTCTGGGTAATTAATAACTTTCTAATAGCTTTAAACAAAAGCATAATACTTTTGGTATAATTGTTTATATTATACCGTCGCTGATTGGACCGAATTAATAGGTCTCTATTGACATATAAGCTCCTGTATGGATGTCTGGATACTATCTATGTTCTGATTATGACTAGCAGTGGGATCCAGTATGCACATTTCTTCCTATTTAAGGCTCATCAGCTGGATGTACCTGCTTCCCAGTGAGTGATGTTGTTCCCACCGGTATTCGGACTCAGGATCGACCGCTTTAAACACCAGAGCATTATCCACTACACCACCGAGTCCCGACGAGTCCCAAATAGGATGAAATGCGCATCCTGGGTTCCACAATTAGCCACTATCCATCATTACTAATAGCGTAGTACATTCACTATGAAATGTTATAGAGTCTATTGCCAGTAACTATTATTACATTAGTCTGCGTTTTGAATCTTGAATTTCTGTTTAATCATGAGAAACCAAACTGAAATTTCAAGCATCTTTCTAGGAGGCCAAAATTAAAGTCACTATCAGTTAGATGGCGGTTCATAATATCAGTAGCCTGGATAGAACCTCTGTATTGAACTGATACATTAGGCATACTTATGATTTTTATGTTAAAAAATAAACCTACCGGATGACTGTGATAACTTCAAAAGCTGTTGCGGATATGAAGTTTTTTGACAAAAGTTTTTCTCCCAACCTTCCGATCGAGCTTTCTGCCAAAACTATGAAGACGAATAATTAAATTTCATGTTATCAGTATACACAATTATGCCTACCTGGAAAGCTCGCAGTAACACCATATGATCACTATAACTATCTGAAGAAAATTTCCTTCTAGCATTCATTAATTCTCGTCTTTCAGTGGCATTTCTGGGTGTAGTAACTGAAATGAATGAAATAAAAGTGGTCAGCCAATTCTATCGAGCATAACAACGGGTGATTACAAGTTTCTGCAAATGATAATAACTAGTACCCATTGAACAAGAATTAGTTCTAGTGCCTTAATGGGTAACAGTGTAATCTTTCGGCACACTGGATGTAGCCTTCAGGTTTCACAGGGATAATCACCAACCACTGGAGTGAAGGGGCATCCAGCTGATGAGTCCTAAATAGGACAAAGCACACGACCTGGATTCCACAGCTAGCAACCACCAAGTAAGATAAGTAAACGTAATAAATTTGACTACCACTGACCTTGCGACCGAATTAAATTAAGATTATCAGAGTAAGATAATAGATGAGAAAATACAGATTAGGTAACGTTTTCTAAACTAACTTTGGAACTAGACAACACTCTGTGCTCAAACTGTGAATTAAAAACTGACTTCATGGTTCAAGAGTCAGGATTAGGAATTTTTAGATAATTTGATCTCCATGACAAGAGGGTTCTGAATGTAAGTTCACGTCTTTTTGGAGGTAGCATAATCTCCAAAGTTTTCTAGGTAATTAGAAATTTCCTCACAGTAAATTGCATCTTTCATTTTGTATAAGTAATTTCAAAGAGTACTTGTGGCTGAATATCGCCATATGTAATACCATAATCCGTTTTTGATAGTTATGTATCTGAAACAAATAGCTTCAGTAACAATCAACTTCAACATTAGGCATCATTCTTATTCAATACTTTTTCAGATGGATAGTACTATCATACAAAACTGACATCTGTTTTCCATGAGTATCATATGTGATCTTCATTATTTATCGGTCAACAGCTTTTTTCTTGTTCTCAGTAGGTTAATATACTTACACTTTAATTTAAAATCGCATATGCTCTTCACTCAAGCGATTCAATTTTGAGTATACAATTTTAAATTCGTGTTTGCTTTTATAAGGTCTATGGCTAACTGAATGTACACCATTTATGTGATAATAATAACTTACAATAAAGTTTTCTGTTTATAAGTAATCTTAATATTTTTTCTGAAAACTCTTCAGATCATAGTTTTCCTCTGAGTAATTAAGAAGGACGAACGTTTGCCACTAGGTAGTCACCTACCTGGGGAACAACCTTTATTCTTATGTCAACTGATTATAATAATATATTGATATCATCACATAATAAACCTGAAGAATATGATGATATTATAAAAACAACAAGGAATATACAGCGACCAAGGCGGAGATTATGGGCAAACGTCAGGATGTCTAATTGAAAGTAGGAGAATTCGATAATTAAATTTATAGAAAGATTATGCACTTACTAGGTATTTAACAAACGAAGAAGGGAAGTAGATAATACACAGGAAGAAAGTTAATTTATGCGTAGAAAACATACTACATAGAGAACACATAAAGTCAACGGATTTTTTACAAGCTAGGAAAAAATGATTCTAAGTTCAATATTTAAGTCAAAAATTTTAAATGGGTTGTGCAGTATAGTATCAAAAACTGATAATATAATTTAATTATTTGCAGTCAAATTTAATTTGTTGTAAGGGAAGCTAGAAAACTGTTTCTTTCTGGTTACATCGATTACGTGGAAAATAAGTGTAGTCACTTTCTTCAGCAGAATACAACATGTTCAGGGAAATTTAACTATGTTAAATTTAAATGAGTTTTAAACAGTGACTTCATGTCTACTATCTACTTGGTAAAGAGAAATTTCAGTACTGGAGAATGTTTTATCTTTCGAAAGGAAGTTTCTTCAAAAACATTCAGACCTGCGGTTTTTAACATTACTCTTCATTCTTTCTAATTATATGCTTTAGCACACATGTCGACATTCAATGATTTAAGTAAGCGGAATTTTAAAAAAAGGCCTACTTCCCACCTTTAAATTGTTCCAGTAAGTAATTTATTTAACAATAGAACCAGTAATCTTGATATGGTATAAATTCTCTTCAGTGCATTGTTCATATTGTAGTTACTTTTCTGAATATTTTATTGAACCCTAATAAAAGCTTATGGTGAAAGTAACTCTACATATTGCTATCTCCAGTTCTTTGAATTCCGGAAGTAAATAAGTGGAACTTGTTTCTGTGCTTATAGTTTACCCTACTTTTCATTTTTCGATGAGCTTCATTGCGGGAACTAAACAGATGAACAATATTTATAAGATTGATAAAAATCCAAAACTTTTCATCAGGTAGCCACTGAAGAAATCTTCCTCGTTAATCGCACCTTCATTTATACTTTTACAAGCTGGGATTTAGTTAGAAAAAAACTACCCACTGCAAACTTTATCAACTCAGTGAAGGAGAAAGTTATGAACCATATGAGTAATTGGGGCTTAAGTTCTTTTGATAAGGCAAAAAAATCTGAGTTATGACCTTACACTATTTTGTGAAACTTTCTGAATAAAATATTGATAACCTTTGAATTATATCAAATAAGCTGTCTTCACCTAATGGTCAAAAATCTATTCAAACGTTGCTGAGAACCGTAGTTCACTCTTACTTTGATAAATACATTAACGGAAAAGAGTATTCAATACTTGAAAACTTTTGTTTTTCACTCAAAAACACCACCCACCTTTAATAATAAGGCTGTAACTGGTTTAAGATGCTTCTATTATTGCTGGATTTTATATTTTATTGAACCAGGATAGTTGGATAGGATGGGAACTAGAAGCTTTCAGGTTACTGCTCACTCATGTTAACTAGGTCTGTATTTCATCCTAGTCATAGAACGTTTGTTCAGTTCTTCAGTATTTAAGGCATCTTATTCTTAGAACCATGATTTTTAGGTATTTTACTGATTCGCAGTATTTTTACTTATTTGCTTGAAGAAAAGCCCAAATATAAATATAATAACTATGCCTTACTAACTTTATCTTCAACAATTATTATGATCGTAACGTAAGGTAAGAGATATTAGAAATAATACTCACATGGTTCCGTGTAAGCCAGTATACATGAAATTGTAAGGATTGGATCAAGGCATTTTAGCACAACGCTAACTAAAACCATTTTAGCATAATGAGGTGGTATAGGCATATCACATATGTGGTAACCCAGTTCCGTTAATTCTTCAAAATTGTCCAGTATATCCATTTCCTAATTATTTAACGAAAAATAAGAAATTTATTTTATTAGTTAATTAAGAATCATATTTAAAATATTTAATTAAAATGTATATTGAGAAAATCAACGGAACTAGTACCAATTTCAGCTGAATCTCTTTAGGTATCCAGATTGCGATCAAAGAAAATAATTTATAACCCTGTTGTGCTTTAATCAGTTAATATCAGAAAGTAGACAAATCAGAATCTAATCTTAAGTTTTTCAGTTTAGTCATATTTGATTTTCACCAAATATTCTCATCTGTAAGGAATGTATTTTCGTAAGAGAAGACGGATTCTTCATATTGAAAGAGAAATGGATATCTAAGATTTTATAATATTTTTGTTCTGCTACCACTAAAGAAAAGAATAAAAGTTTATAGAACTATGGAATCTGAATCTTGAAGGAGGTATGACTGTTTTCATGCTATTCCATATGAGTTTCATAGGTACCTTAGATTCTTATGAAGTTCATATCACCTATATTTCAACTGCTTTCTGAGTTATTAATCTGGTTTAAAAACATAGTTTTGTTAAGATTGAAACTCATTACAACTTTAAAAGCTGAATATTATCTACCATGGCAAAATACCTTATCTGATTGAAGCTTTATGATAAATACCGCATAACTCATACAGCCTATAGTCGAACCACTTACCAAGTTTTTAAATGAAAATTTTCGAAATCACTAATGCGTAACTAACCTCGCCTGGTTAACTAGTTTACTAGTTACTAGCCGGTCCTAAGCCCGGGTAAAGAGGGAAGGTTGGGCATAGGGCTAGCAACCCTACCCCGTAAAACAAATCTAACCGCTAAAGAAACTTCAAAGCACAAACAAAATATAAAAAATGAAAACAAACTTATTCCCCGCTGGAATCGGAGAGGCGAAATGACGCCAGTTGGTGAAAGCCTTCGGGAAGCCAATTGGCCGATGTGTCTTCTCTCGATGAAAGCGAAAGTAAACGTGGGGACATGGAATGTCCGCACGATGTTTGAACCCAGTAAGGCAGCCCAGATTGCAAAGGAGATGAGAAGGTATAACATCGAAGTGCTTGGGATTTGCGAAAGCAGATGGAATGGGAGTGGACTCTCCAAACTGTCAACTGGAGAATCAATAATCTACTCCGGTCACCCAGACGCCAACCACGAGCACACTGAGGGAGTGGCTATCATGATGTCCTCAAGAGCATCGAAGGCTCTCATGCAGTGGGAACCAATCTCCTCCAGGATCATGACAGCAAGATTCAACTCAAAAGGAAGAAAGGTCACAATCATACAATGTTATGCACCTACAAATAATGCAGAGCAAGAGAAAAAGGAGGAATTCTACAGACAACTTCAATCAACACTGGACAAGACGTCAGTTGGCGATATCAAAATTCTAATGGGCGACATGAATGCCAAACTGGGAGGGGACAACACGGGAAGAGAACTAACCATGGGTCGAGAGGCGCTAGGTGAAATGAATGAGAATGGAGAATTGTTTGCAGAATTCTGCGCATTCAACGATTTGGTGATTGGAGGCAGTGTGTTCAGGCACAAGGATATCCACAAAGCGACATGGACTTCACCAGATGGACACACTAAAAATCAAATCGACTTTATCTCAATCTCAAGAAAATGGAGACGCAGTCTACTTAACACAAGGTCAAGAAGAGGAGCAGATGTAGGTTCAGACCACTATCTAGTGCAAGGAACCTTCCAAATCAAGTTAAAAGCCTTCAAGGAAGCTGGTGATAGACCTCAATTCAAGTACAACACTCGGAAACTGAAGGATGAAACTACAAAGGAGATCTTCAAAGCAGCCATCAAGACAAAATGGGAGACGTCGAGGGACATCCCTGAAGAAACCTGTGTAGAAGAACACTGGAAGTCTTTGAAAGCTATGTGGAAAGAAACCTGCACAACAGTATTAGGAAGGAAGAAGAAAGAAGACAAGGAATGGATCTCGACGGATACCTGGAAGCTGATAGAGGAGAGGAGGATGGTGAAGCAGAAGATAAACCAGTGCAAGGATGCTCAACGACAAGAGGAACTGAGCACAATGTATAAAACACTGGACAAAGAAGTGAAGAAGAGTGCACGCAAAGACAAAAGACACTTCTACGAAAACTGGCAAGTGAAGCAGAACAGGCTGCAGGTAAGAGAGACCTGACGACATTGTATCAAATAACCAGGTTGCTATCAGGGAAGAGACCAACACAGATGAAACCAATAAAAGATGAAGAAGGAAATTTAATTACAAAAGAAGAGAAACAGAGGAAACGATGGGCCGACCACTTCAAGAAGCTCTTGAATCGACCACCACCTGCACTTCGTCCAGAAATACCACCTGCAGCCGCTGAATTACAAGTGAACATAAATCCCCCAACGAAAATGGAAGTCCTGAACGCCATAAAGCTACTGAAATGCGGGAAAGCAGCAGGACCAGATGGAATACCGCCAGAAGCACTGAGAACAGATGCAGAGACAACAGCGGACATGCTCACACCACTATTGCAGAAGGTGTGGAGGGAAGAGAAGGTACCTGACGATTGGAAGAAGGGTTACCTTGTCAAACTGCCGAAGAAGGGAGACCTCAGTGCTTGCAAGAACTGGCGCGGAATCACTCTCCTGTCCACCCCAAGTAAAATATTAAGCCGCATCATCCTGGAGAGGCTTAAAGACGCACTGGATTCAAAACTGCGACCGGAACAGGCAGGCTTCAGGAAGTACAAATCATGTGCTGACCAAATTGCAACGCTTCGTATCATCATAGAACAGAGCGTAGAATGGCAATCAGCTCTATACCTCAACTTCATCGACTTTGAGAAGGCCTTTGACAGCGTCGACCGAGAAGTAATTTGGAAACTGCTTCAATACTACGGAGTACCGCAAACCTTTATCCGCCTCATTCAACAACTATATGAAGATGCCACATGCCAAGTAATCCACAATGGGAAGCTCAGTGATGCCTTTGAAGTGAAGACAGGAGTGAAACAAGGTTGCCTACTATCCCCCATGATATTCCTTATTGTGGTGGACTGGATCATGCAGCAAACAGTAGGCAGCGAGAAGAGGGGGATACACTGGACGACGGAAAAGAACCTAGAAGACTTGGATTTCGCCGATGACTTATGCCTAATGTCACATAAACTTGAAGATCTGCAGGCAAAAACTAACAAGTTGACAGAAGAGGCAGCTAAGACGGGACTTCAGGTGAATATAGAGAAGACAGAAGTGATGAAGATACCGCACCACCACCATCACAACAACAACAACAAACTCCAATCACCGTCAACGGGAGAAACTTGAAGGAAGTAACCTCCTTCACTTATCTAGGAAGCACTGTTTCAACTACAGGCGGGACGGACGAGGACGTCAAAGTCAGAATCGGAAAAGCAAGACAGGCGTTCATTAGCCTGAAACCAGTGTGGAGATCTTCTGCACTCAGCATGTGGAACAAGATACGGATTTTCAACACCAACGTCAAGTCAGTGCTCTTGTATGGCTCAGAGACTTGGCGCGTCACGAAAGGCATTTCCAATAAACTACAGACATTCATCAACAACTGCTTACGCTCGCTGCTGAAGATCAGATGGCCAGAAAAAATAAGCAACAAGGAACTCTGGGAACGAACCAACCAAGAACCTATCACGCAACAAATATGCAGGAAGAAGTGGAGATGGATTGGCCATGCACTGAGAAGGCCGACTGAGGACATCACGCGTCAGGCCCTCGAGTGGAATCCCCATGGGAAGCGACGAGTTGGACGTCCAAGGGTGACATGGAGGAGGTCATGCGAGGAGGAAATGAGAGGTTGTGGGCTGTCGTGGAACCAAATTCAAAAGATCTCAGAGAACAGAGGTCACTGGAGGCGTGCTACTGAAGCCCTATGTTCCACTAGGAACCCAGGGGACTAATAATAATAATAATAATAAATAATGCGTAACTGCTTGAAGATATCACCAAAATAAAAGATGAACAACCAAATGAATGTTCTGCAGGTCACTTATCGACAACAATCAAAATGAAAGGGATGGTTACAAAAATCGGTCACTTTGACTTTTAAATTAAAACTACCATAAACTCATGAAATAACTACCCATCTAAAATAGTTATGAATTCTAATTCAGGACCCAGCCAACGCTTCTACAGTGAAGTATTGTTCTACTTAAACATTATCAAGAACTATATAAGCTATATTATTGATGGATGATGGCTAGCAGTAGAATCCAGGATGCACATTTCGTCCCACTTAAGACATATCAGCTGGATGTACCTGCCTCACAGTGAGTGATGTTGTTCCCACCGGTATTTGGCGGTGGCAGAGGTCGCTTTAAACACCAGAGCGTTATCCACTACGCCACCGAGCCACGATTGCCACTTCTTGTGCGACAGGAACCCACATGCCAATGGAGACCGACCGATTCGGTCCCACCCACGACGGTATAATACAAGCAGTTATACTAAAACTGTACCCTCCGCACCAGAGGTGGCTACCATAGCTCAATGGTGTAGTAGGTAACGCTCTTGTGTTCGAAGCGATCGATCCATTGATGTTGTTTTTTTTATCGAAAGAACGTTAACCATTGAAACAAGAAAACGTTAACGTTCTCACAAGGTACCATTTGTAGTGGTAATGTTTCATGGCAAAGAATGAATTGAAGGTAATTGTCTCCGTGAGGCCTATTGATTACCGACTCAATTCAGGTTAAGCTCTGTGTCCAACTATCCATATCTTTAAAACGTCCATAGACCACTTTGCCGATTTGAACCTAAGAAGTAGGATATTAAATCCTCAAAAATCGAATTCCAGGTTATGCACTAAGTAACTTATGATCCATACTCTGTGTCAGATGGAAAATAGACCCCATAAATGAAAATTTAGAATACTTGATAGGTATTCACCTGACTTCTGTATGAAGTTCATTTATCTTTATTCACTTGATCTGAACACAGATAGGCCATTTTACTATCGCCTCTCACTAAAGATGATGTGTAAAAGAAATTGGCATACTTCTTGGATGTCGTATTTGAACTTTAATTATGTATTAGTACTTATTGGGAACATCCAAGGTTTGTAAGTTAAAAAAACTTTTGTAGCTCACTTTGATATAAGACCATAGAGATTGTATTAAATCAAATTGTAGTTCGAGAAATAGTAGTAAACTGCATGCTAACGTTTACGTTACTGTTTACTGTCAATCACCAGGTAAGAATCACTAATACTTTATCTCGGTCGTGTCTCTGGGTCTAAATGATAGTTTTTTATTATTATTCTAGAGTCCGGATATTAATGAAACACACAAACACATCAGTCAAGCAGTCCAGTATTTTGATATTTATATAGTTAGGCTTTAGAATATTCACCATCTGATCACATTTGGTGACCACCTAGTCTAGTGTGCAGTTAATTTGAAGTGTTACAATAGTTTTCCGTCATATGTATGGTTTCAACAGTTATGTTAAATAGCTTTCCCGTTTGAAAAATTAAGCTACAATGAAAAGAGTCCGCATTTACCGACAATATTGATTGACTGGACTGGTTGGGATGTAAATTGAATACATCAAGCTACTGTTTACCTGAATGTTTTATGTTTTGAGATTCAAAACAGAATAATATTAGGGATAACACGAATTAATTATGCATTAATAGATAACGCCCCTGATCATTATTGATAAATAGATCGCAAAATTCTTGCATCTTAATCTTGAGACCAATGAAACTGATGATTATAGACTTACTATATTGTGACATAATCATTCACAGTTATATAGGTGTATATATGTACGTTTTCGTTTAAATCCAAAAGCACGCCATTACTCTACATCTATAAATCAATTGACTACTAGATCTGTTTTATATTATTAACCACTGTTTTTGCCTATACCCTTATTTCTAACTATCGTCACGCTGATTTTCTCTCCTGTACTGATGAAAAGTGTGGGCATACAAACTAAATTTCCTTATTTATGAATAATTTATCAGCAAACCAAGTAACATATATGACTTTGGTTAGCGTTAATGCAACAACCAAATAGTTATGAGGTAAAATTATTGTGTTCAGGCTTACAATACTATCCAGATGGACAGAACGAAGTTGATGTGCCAGGAAGTTAACCTGCAATCGATTGTTTGAAAGTCAGATGCACAACCCAATAAGCCATATCTCCAAACAGATAACCCGTAAAAACAAGCCTAGTTAATATTTAGGAAGCTAAGCTGTAGCAAAAATTTATTTCATGTGCATTTTTATTTCGTGCAACTTCCTGAAATTTTGAATCTTATTTGTGGATACTGATTTTTCTCTGTCATTTTTTTAACTATTATAAGATGATACAAATTGTCATTTGGAAACTGTTGTTATTTGGTTAGTTGTGACCAGTGGAGAAAAGTAAGACACATGTCCCATCCCATTTGGGACTCGTCGGCTGGATGTGCCTGCACCTCCGTGAGTAATATTGTTCCGACTGAGGTGCAGGTACATCCAGCTGACGAGTCCCAAATAGGACGAAATTTGTGTCCTGGATTCCTTTGCCAGCCATGACCAACCAAATTATCATAACTAACGCTCAGGTACCATCGAAGCAACCGCATAGAAGGTCATATGTCCATAGGGGTCGAACAATGCGATCTAATAAAACAACGGAGAATTACATGTATATCAATAAACAGTAATTGGAAACTGTCATTATGATTCTTTTGGCATATATATATATATATATATATGACATTAGTCGACTTCATATTTTGTTCTGTAATTGTCGTTTATCAAAAAAATACCCGATGAGATACTTCAGTTTCCATGATAACGTTGTGAGAAATACGCACCTTGCTCTACGAATTCCTTGAACTGGAAGTTGCACGTCTGCCACTACATACAAAATCGTCTATATGTTATATTAATGCATTTTCTTATTATAAATAAGCATAGGAAAAATTTTAGAAGAAAGTCTCCCATACTTTAAATTCTGATTAACAAATTTATTACGATTATTCGACAAATATACTTCAGCATTTCAGTAGTGAATCTCGCCTAGTTTACTAGTTCCGTAGTTAATAGCCGGTCCTAAACCCGAATAAAGAGGGGAGATTGGGCATAGGGCTGATATTCCTACCTCGTAAAACCAATTCAGTCTCTAAAGAAACTTCAAAGCATAGAAAAAATTTAAAAAATATACTTGTTTCTCTCTGCAATCGGAGAGATGAAATGACACCGATTGGTGAAAGCCTTCGGAAAGCCGACTGACCAATGTGTCTTCTCTCTCTCGATGAAAGCAAAGGTAAGTATAAAGACATAGAATGTCCGAACAATGTTTGAAGCTAACAAGGATGTCTAGATTGAAATTAGTGTGGGATCTACTGCACTCAGAATAAAGAACTAGATCCGGATTTTGAACACTAATTCAGTCAAGTCAGTGCTTCTATATGCTTCAGAGACTTGGCAGTGAGCTACGAAAAGTATTTCCAACAAACTGTACACATAAATCAACCGCTGCCGACTGCTCTCACTCGATACTGAAGATGAGATGGCCAGAAAAATAAGGAACTCTGGTCTGGTAACGAAATAACCAAGAATCCATCGCCCAACAAATATGTAGAAGAAAGTAGAGATGAATTGGACTGGAGATACACTAAGAAGACCATTTGAGGACATCATGCGTCAGGCCAGGCCCTCGAGTGGAACCCAAGGTTGATGTCGTGGAGGAGATGGTGTGAGGAAGAAATGAAAGCTTCGTGGCAGTCATGGAGCTAGATTCAAAAGAGTTAAGAGGAGAGAGTGAATTGGCGACGTGCCACTGAAGCCCTATGCTTCACTAGGAACCCAAGGGACAACTAATAATAATAAAATAGATTTTGACAGTGACAAAGTCATATTTCTTAGCAGAATTAACTGGTTACCTAGTCCAATGTAAATAAAACATTATGAAAAGCACATAGAAAGCAAAATCTCATCATACGATTGAGAGACTAATATATCCTATTCCTAGAGGAGGGATTCTCTTACAGAAGTTTCAAGATTGTTCAGTAGTGGGATATGGTTTCTGAATGGCTACCTATGCCTCTATCAAGTATCTAATGATCATCGAGAGCTAACTATGAATTTGTGAAGCGAACACGTAGATAAATAAAAGTGGTATTGTGTATTATTTCTGTAACAAATCTATGCCAGATGAAGCCACTATTCTGAAAAAATGCTGTTAGAACTTCAGATTGTATCTCCCTTCTCCTAATGTTACTAGCACTAAATTTTAAGTTCAGTTCAGTTTTAGGAATTACAGCACTGCTAGTAGAACAAATGTGTTCATTGCATTAATCTAAAATTAGATTCAACCCTGTGGAAGCGATACTACTCAGCGTCAGTTTATTTTTTGTTATAATCAATAGTAACACTTAACTAAACACTGGATGGCATTTTGGCGATAATTTATAACTTATTTTAGGAATAAGGTGATTAAACAACTGTTACACTAGACGTGTATGAATCTTATTCCTTCTTTTCTACTGGTTCCGATGGCGTTGTGATTCTGAATACATTCAGAATATATCTAAATCACTTCTATGCAGTTTATTAGGCGTTCTTTTGACAAAAATTAAACAAGTAAGTCTTGCTTATTTATTACAGTTGTACCACTTCAAAAGTTATGTGAATCAAAAATGTATTTACCATTAATGCTTGAATAGCGCTTCTGGAGGATTCAGGTAGAGGTGGCTTCGGTAAAGAACGTAGAACATTATCTATGGAGATATTTGGTGGTGCAAGTAACCGAGCTTGAATACATGCTTCCTGAGAGAGAAACATAAAATCATATTGGATAACTGTTATCTAAATTCAAACAAAAATCAGTTTAATGTAGAGATTTCTACAAATACTTTACCTTACTGATCTCACAATTGAAACTAATAACAAAAGAGTCAAAACTTGCACTCAGATAGTGTAATCAGCTTGAATTATTTCAGTTTTGATTTTTCAAGAAATATGGAAAGTAAAGACATTAAATCAACAGGAAAGTCTGACAATGATCACTACGTTCCCTCTTTGTTTCTTAAAATTGTGAAAACTCTGTGCTTAACTATTTACTGATTTTATATTTTACAAAGTGTTTCATTTCAACATTATTAGTGAAAATAAATTTCATGGTTTTTCGAAAAATACGAAAACGTCTATGGTACAAAACTGGCTGTTAATAATAGCCTTGAGCAGTAAGTAGTTATTTGTTAAGGACGTTGGCGTTCACACTTCATCTTAGTATAATTAGGTGGCTACTAGCAAAAACGGAATGTTGTCAGTTTATTGATTCTGATCTGTATAACCACATACAAGGTTTTATTCATTTCAGACTTCATGTATTATAGCAAGCATGGTCCATATCTTCAGTTTGTTATGATCAAATTTATCATGTTGAACTTGGAAATATTTACTTATGTCCTTCCTTCTGTACTCAAAATTTTCCTTACTGAGTAAATATTCTCTGAATCTATACATAAGCATAAACATACAGTAACAAATAATTACCCTAATATATTTAGTAATGAAATTCCGATAAGATTTTTCACCTTATTGTGAAAGAATATGTAATTTTCGTAAGTTTACCTTCAATGTTAAGCCTGTAGGTTAAGTTGCATTTACGTCAACTATTTATATGACTTCTACTAGAATTGGGAGTAATGGTTTTGTTAACTACACTGGTTGTTTATTTCTACTCTAATGCAAAAGTTAATTCGATCGTTGTGATCAACTATTTGCTATACATTCATGGTCATATAGTGAGTAGAAGAAGTATAACATTCCATAATTATTTTCAGCAACATGTCAGAATAGTTTGGAACGTACGTCATTTAGTTAAGGCTTTAAAGTAGGAAAATATTCTCAAAATATCGAAGACTATATAGTTACACATAGAAAGAATTACTTAAAACAATCAATCCTTTGTTATGCCCATAAGAAAGAGGAATTTTAAATGTGCTTCTTCCGCACACAAAATAACAGTTTGAACTTTCGAAATAATAATACTTCACCAATGCCTAAATGTCTTCTAATCCTTTTCAGATGGTGCGATGACTTTAAATACAAAATTTTGAAGGATTTTTTCCTGAGTTTACCAGATGTTCGATTACAAATCTGAAGATGCAGTAACAGTACATTCCATAGGTTGTGCGTAGTACTGCCTACTTAATTAGCTACACAAAGGGCAATTAAACTGCTTTCAATGCTATGTTGTTCCCAAATGCTGTAGCTTGTATTTCACTTGCTGAAAAATGAGTTTCTGATAGAAGAACATGATTCCGAGATTAGCGGAGAAAACCCTTACGTTTACAGATGATGAGAGTGATTTCCTGGAAATATCTGCAGGATTATCAGCCTTAAGTCCGAATCTAAACAGCAGAATCTTCTTATAAGGAAAAACTGGACATTAAATTATGCCTTATGATTCAAAAAAGGAGATCTACAATTAGGCGGTTCGTTGATAGTATCACCTCTAGAATCTTATCGAGTGGACTACTTTATGGCGAATTTGAAAACATTGTCTTTTAAACAAATAGTTCCGATGTCTATAAAATGAATACGGACAAAAACTGTGGTTAGAATATGAAACTCCTAAATCTCCTTCAGACTGTCGGTTGTGCTCACCTTTTTTCAGCTTATTTCAGAACTGCAATCAAACTCGAAATTCTACTTCCTTTTTGTCTAACTACAAAAGTTGTTCCCATGTACCGAGATTTTTTTGGAAAAATTCTCTGATGTAAACAGCTCACGTTAGATTGCTTGACACAGGATACGTCTACTTGTTTAAAATTTACAATCATTATTTGCATACGAAGAACAAAAGAAAAGTTGACATTATTATGCGTCAAACTAAGTTACCAGGAATCAACTTTGCACATCAAGAAGTACATTATCAAGAGTTCAGGAAGTTCAAAGAAAACTATAATAGTGACAGTCCCGAAATTTTATGAAATGTGAATAGAGTTAAGAAGAATAAAGATATATAGCAATAAGATGTTTTCAATTTCAAAAAAACTGGATTAAGATGCTTAAGTACCATTGCGGTCTCTTCTGGATCATATAACTCGAAGCTGTGATCACAGATTTTGAATAAGTATCACAACCCAACCAGAAAGTCAGCACTTCACTACATGGCTCAAACAGGCAATAATTCCCTTAATAAGAACCATTGATGTGATCAATCGTAACTTCTCAACTTGATGTTGTTTATAAATATAGTATAACATAGAAGATGGTGATTAGGCAGACAAACACTCTTTCAAAATTTTATTGCAGGTAATAAAATGCAAATTACCTAAAAATCTGTGGTGCTTGGAGTTTGAGTTATTGAAAACAATAACACAATAATAACGAGTAATTTTGTAAAGACATATTACAACATTGGTCCTGTACAATGTTTTCTAATATGTTTCGTATCATACCTAAGCATATGATAAGGTTGATCACCCAATGGTAACTATTTTATCATCGAACTTAAAGGTGTTTTAGATTTCATTGTTCGAAATGGATTATTTTTGTTCTGAATAGTCTAGGAGGATCTTTATATTACTGAAATCTAGTGAGTATACCGTTAGACTACAAGATAATCAATGAGCAGCTGAAATATAGTGCTATGCTGAACGAAGGGAAAACCACTTTGAAATTTGCTCAAAATTGTATTATGAATAATATAGATCCTAAATCATATTCTAAATCACTTCTTCGATGGAAGTGAAGCCAAAGCAGTCATTGAAACGACTATCGCCTGGTGAAATCAAATCCCTTCAAACATACATTATTGAACTGGAGAGAAATATTATGCAGAGATTTAGTTCAACTTTCTAAGTATGAATCACAGAGGTTTGAAATCACTTTGATTGATTACTGACATCAATTGAAAAGTGATAAAAAAACCTGATAAAAGATCACGAACAAATATGATTGTATAGAGAAGATGGGCTTATCGGTAATCGAACAAGTTTTCAAAAATTAGGAAACCATAAAGGTAACAGAAGCAATAAAACGTCGAGTGAATAAGAATCTAAGGTTAAAAGTGTAACAGAATATCTTCCATAAGTTTACATTTGACACATTACAACCTTCAGATCCAGATACACCCAGGCTGTTTGGCTTACTGATGCTTTTGAATGTAAGACAGCTGGTTATCAGTAATGATCATACTTGGTGACATATGAAGCAATTCAAAACACATCAGTTACTACTAAGATAGGCTTATTATTTTCTGAATTAGATATAAATTCTTGAAATTGGTATTTCTACTTACTTCAACAGCATGTCCTCTGACAATACTTTCACGTTCTTCAGGAAGAACAATGAATCGGAGACGACTGTACATGTGAAAACATATTCCTTTCATATTTCTGCCTATTCTGTATATATTCAATATAAGGATTTAGAAAAAAAATTAAATTAGAACGTTGCTTTGAATTATGGTAAAAGTTTGATTTATACCAGTAGTCATTTCTGTGATAGTTAACTATATCATTTACGCTATAGATGGTGGCTAGCAGTGGAACGTAGAACATACGTCTCATCCACTTTTGAACATGTCAAGTGGATGTGTCTGCTTTCCATTGGGTGATGTTCTTCTTAGTGATACTTCAACTTGGAACCAGTCACTTCAAACGTCAGAGTGTTATCCATTAGGTCACTAAATCATGACAAATACTCCGTGTGCGGTGAGTATAATCTTTTGCGGTATATTTTTTCTTTCCAGTTCAAAAGGTCATTCTAGCACCAAGCGTTATTTTCCAATTGTAAACACACTTGAAATATGACAAAGAAAGTTTTATAAAAATTGTTTCGAGAAAACTACTTCGTTATACAAGAATGGCTACAATAAAGATGATCTCGTGAATACCTTTAGTAAAGTTCACCTAGCTACAAAGTTCACTCTCGAGGAAGATGTCTTCCTCACTAGGAAATCAGATGGGTATGTTAAAAGGAATATTTTTCGAAAGAACATATGGACTGGTCAGTATATTTACTCTCGTAGCTTCACACCGATTCAATATAAAAGAAACCTGGTCACATGACTGAGTTAAAAATAAGAAACATTTATTCTGATGACTGCATTGGAGAAGAGATGGATAAGCTGAAGATAACATTGCAGTAAAATGAGTATCCGCTAAACTTTTAAAATAACATGTTGAAACCTAGCGAGAAGATAAAGAAAGACAATGTTCATAAATAGCCTATATATCTTAGACTAAGTTTCAAAGGTGATATTGCTGTGGATATCTCAACACATCGACTAAGGAGATCAGTCGAAAAGACATTCAATGCAAAGAAACTTTTTGTCAGCCCTGCAAACAAACGATTACTGACACAGCGAACCAAGGATAGGTTAACTATGATAGCCACTTGAATGTTCATTTATGAGTTCACCTGCTCCTGTGGAGCTAGTCACATAGGCTGTACACAAAGGCTCTATCCACGAGCGCTCGTGAACATATGCCATCTTGGTTGGGGAAAGGAATGACGAGGAGCATCAACAATGCAATCCTCTCAAATCTAGTAGACACCTAAAATCAATTCAAGACAGATTACGCCTTTTTTGCCATATACGGTGGCCCTTGCAATCTCCCTAAAAGGTGAACGACTTTGCATATTATCCATAGCGGAAGCCAGAGGGATCAACGCAAGAAAACCGGACATACATGTTTAAAAAAATATGTAAATCCACTCTGTCTCCCGTAGACCACAACAAGATCGACACGTTCTTTACCACAAATTGCACATTTTAAACTACTATCTCTTTCTTTCGAATTGTCATTACTTTGATGAACATTCATTTTATGTCATAAGATTTAAGCAATTATATACTCATACTACAACCTTTAGTCGTTTTTTAAACGTGACGTAATACTTCACACCTGTTAATCACTATTTCTTTAATGTAGTCATAAGATTTTCATCCTACCTGAATATAACTAACCACTACATAATAACTATTTGACCATCAACAAAAAGATAAACACATCCATGACTCAATAAATGTGTATAAATAAATCATCGTCTTGGTTGTATTGAGTTCTCTGAGCTGGGTTGTTTAGTCGTAGAGCTTTCATCGTCTTTCTAGACGATATCATCAACACTAACTTCATTATGAAATGAGCTGTCAATATCTCTCCGTCAGTGATCTAGTGGCTTGCTCTGACGAAATGGCTTGTGATTGTTTCTTCCCTTTGATTGTTGTGTCATTGACTGACTGAGTAGACTTTCCTGTTGACTCTTCCACTGCTTCACCTCTGACCTTCCTGTCGTTTATCATTTCTCTCATTGGATGATAGATTGGGTCTATGTCTATACATCTGTTGATTGCTCACTCACTGACTAACTGACTGACCTGAATACCAAGCTCCTAGAAATTCTCTGATATTCTCTTTGTGTTTCCTCTCTCCACGATTTCTACATTGTCAAAATTGAATTCATGTCCATAGTTGTTATCCACGTGCATTGAAATGAGTGATGAAATGTCGTGATGTTTAATAGTCAATTGGTGTTCATGTAGACGAAGGTGAAGAAGGCGACCACTTCATCCAATATAGTGTTGACTATAGTTATTACAGTTGATTTTGTAAATGATGTTCGGCTTATCTTCTTCGATTGTTGCATACTTTGGTCTGCATAATAGTGTTTGTAGGGAATTTGTTGGTTTATGATGTACACCAATCCCACCAAATGGTTTCAGTAATCTTGTCGTGATTTCTGATATATGGTAGGGTGATGTGTTTATGGATTTCTGTTGATGACTTTGTAGTTGATGATGCACGGGATAGGGAACTTCTGCTACAGTTTCGTGGGTATCCGTTCTTCTTCAGGATAGACATCAAGCAATGTTCTTCGTTTCTCTGTGAAGTTGTTGTAGTACAGTGTGTTCTCGCTCTTTTGAATAGAGTGTGCACGCAACTGATCTTGTGCATTGTTGTGTTTTTCCTACTGCAGATGAGGATTTGGTCAGTGTGTGCTGGCTTTCTGTACACTTGTGTTTCCAGCTTCCCCGTATTTTTTCTACTAACTAGAACATCCAGGAATGGTAGTTGGTTCTTTGACTTTTTCTCCTTTGTGAATTTGATTTCATTGAAAAGGTTGTTGATCAAACTGTGGGTGTTTTCTATATGATCTATTTTAATGATGACAAAAGTGTCGTCCGCAATGCGAATCCAGATTCTTGGTTTGATCATCGTTTCATCGTCTTTTTAGATGACATCATCAGCGATCAACAGTTGTATAGACATAGACCCAATCTATCAACCAATAAGAGAAATGATACATTACAGAAAGGTCAGAGGTGAAGCAGAGGAACAGGCAACAGAAAAATCTTTACAGTCAGTGACATAATAATCAAAAGAAACAACCAATCACAGACCACATCGTCAGAGCAAGCCACTAAATCACTGACGGGGAGATATTGACAGCTCATTTCATACTGAAGTTAGTGTTGATGATATCGTCTAGAAAGACGATGAAAGCTCTACGACTGAACAACCGAGCTCAGAGAACACAATACGACCAAGACCATTTACCTTATCTAGAAATATTCTCCACTATTTCTGAATCATTATCTGTACATTTTTTTCTCCTCACTTCGTAATTGTTCTGTCAGTAGTTATTTTATTGCACAACTAACACACTAGACTGATAACAGTCTCACCATCCCATTCGATTCAATCCTTTTTTATCCGTTGTACATTATGCCTTATGTAGGCTGTTGTTTTTCACTTATTCTCATGGATTTATACCTGTAGAGCCTGAAGAAGAAGTTGCTGGAAACGACTTTTCTCTCAAATTATTCCTGTTCGGAATATTCTATGGGGATCTTTCAATTATTTTTTCAAAAACACTATTCAGTAAGTCAACCCATATTTTGCATAAACTTATCTCACACTTTAAACTTAACCTGTGGTGAAGTTAAAGTGATTTACTGATAAGGCTGTTGTGATGCATAAACTGTTGAATTAAACATGTTAATAGCAATACTTCCATTCTGACCAGTGTCATCATTTTCAAATTTTACCTAGTTTGTCTTTGAATCGCATTTGATTTCGTAATCCAGTGGTTTCTCAATGATGTGGTTCCAGCCCAGTCAAGGTATTGTTCCTGAAGAATTAAAGCGATAATAGAATAAGATATTATGCTTGACAAAATCAAAAATGAATAAGCATCTCAAAGAATGTAGGCCTGAAAAAGTACTATTTAGTGATTAGTAGATAGTTACTGATTACTTACACACACATAATGGATAAACAACGACAAAATGTAAGCCCTGAATATAAGGTTTTGTAGTTCAGTTAGTAAAAAATTCCATTTTTAAACATGAGCTACTGTTTCGAACTCTTCCATTACCTAGATTTTATTTAACTTTCTCTTATCATTCCTATACCTTCAGACCAATTTGCCAACCAAAGCTATTTCACATAGTCAAATCGTAATAGTGGTTGGTGAGAAAAGTGCTGAAAGAGGTATTTGAAAGCGTTACGGTTACTGAAGTTAGAGTTCAGTTGAACCAATCAAAGCACTGTTATAAAGTTTTTGACAGCAATGTGAAATCATTAAGGTTTTTTGGACCTTAATAGTAACTTACTGTACGTGCGACTAGGATTATTTATGCTTAGGAAGAGAGTTAAATGACGGATTTATATAAATTCTGGTAGATTAAGTAGGTAAATTCCCAATAAACCATAAGGCTAGAAACAAAGCATAATATAAGAAGGCAAGTAACACCAGAAAACAACTAAATGGTCCAATTTAGTGCACTCTTGAGAAGTCCTATACTAGGACAAAAAAGCTGCTCCTAGGTTACCAATGTTCCTCCAACTGATGTTAGTCCATTGTGAATACCAGCTTTATTCTAAATGGTTACCGAATGGTAATGGGTAGGGCTTCCAAGTTTTAGGTGTCGGTCAAAGTATATAAGTCAAAATTGCAATTTCGTTATTCGGATAAGTGAAATGATACTCCAATGATCTGAGTTCTAGTACTAGATGGTAAGTAAAAACCGATATGAAGCTTGGCTTCAAAATTGGATGTTTATCCGAAGCTATAATCTGTACATATCTGCAACATTCAAGAAGCTGTTTTCTCTAAAATAAAAGTTCATACCACTGAATGATAAGATCAGAAGTTTTATCGACAATCTCTTCAGTTCTAAAGAGTTCAGGGTTTCAAACACACACTACTGATTACTTCAAAACAGTGCAATAGAAAACAAGTCAATGAGAGTATCCTGAAAACCAACCTCTGATATCAACAAAAGTAATACAAATAAAATTAAATTAAAATCTTTCTGATTTGAAGAGAAAGGAAAACCTTTTATAAAGTTATCTAGGCTCAATATCTGTTGAATGAGTAGGAAAGGGACTAAATTTGATTTGTAGATGTACTTATTTTTGCTAGAAAGTTCTTATGATCATTGTAACTATTATGCCTACTGATCAAATACTTCTAGGTTACTGAAGATGAACAGAATTTTTCTAACACGTTTTAAATCGTTTCGTAGCTAGAAAAGTGTTTACAATCCATACCTAAAGAATTATCAAATGAATATGCAGCAGGAACTTCTATTTCCTTCTGAAAATCTCTAGCGAAATCAAATTGAATAAATACTTCACTATCGGCAATTAAAATTATCGGATAGTTTTCTCCCCAAATACACAGTTAAACTCGTAAACTCAATATCACACGCGAAGAACTCTGGTCATAATTGTAATAACATATATAGGAATCGAGATCACAGGGAGAAAATATAGTTCAGAAATCCAAAAAATTATGTCATTTAACAATAAGCACATAATGAATTCATCCTTTGTAGTTAAGTATTTGATATTTAAACTCATGAAAGGATAGCCACCATATAGATGACTCTTTTGAATGTTGAGTACGCAATAGTTTAGTTTATGTGAAATAGTACACCATCACTGTGTACTTTACCAAATAAGCAATCTAATATAGAGTTGAAATCTATCAAATTGCCAACATTTACCGTTACATGGTTTGCAGACATTTAAACAATCAGTATGATTTTAAGTAGGAGGAAAGGCTTTGTCTTAAATTCACACCAAAACAGGTACTTTGCATCTAAACAGTTTTTTACTGATTTAACCGTATAACATACAAACTTTTGTGCGAAGCAGTCACCAGTTGGCTTTCTATCCAATAAAACCTACAATTTTTTATTGCTCAGCAGTGATCAAAATCCATCCATGGTGTCTGAAATATGGCCATTAATCTTAATGGTGTGATACACCAGTGTACTGCATTCCTAGGGTCTCCCACCGATTGACGTTTAAACTTCAACATCAAAACAAAGTACACCATAATTTCATCTCACCTAGCTTTGTTGCCATATTTCAAACTTGATCGATGGAGTTTGATCAGACCTGAACAATAAGCACCAGATGTCGTTATTAATTACTGACTGATATTTTTCTACAGAAAAACATGCTCTTGGTACAATCAATAGTTGACAGATTCCTTCTCCATGTTGTCTCTAATTATGCATGCAAGTTTACGTGCATCTGTTGTAGCAGCTACATGGGGAGATAATAGAGTAGGAGATGCTTCAGATTCTCTCAACGTGCACCAAAAAGCGTGCGTCTCAGGGGAACAAGTGTTTTAAGCTATACAGTTACTCGGCATCTCATCGACACAGCCCTTCGAAAAAATCCTTCAAAGTACTCAAAAGACAACTAACAATTGTGGTTGATTCATTCCTGCAAAGGTCATTTATGGCCCGGAAAGCTTAGTGTTTAAATCATTGACTTTAGCTTTGAGTGACGCTGATTCTAGTCACCGAGGCAACATCAGTTTTCTTTTGATTGCTGACACACTCCAACAAAGTACGAGACTTGGGTTTAGAGTTTCTTGCTGACAGATTTCAAGCTTATAACACTGATAGAAGGTTGGGTTAGCAGAATTAACTGGATGTAAATAATACTTCGGTTTGTTTAACTGATTGCTGTATTTGTGTATAGAAGTAAATGTAACGCACTGTTCATTTTGACGTCGAGAAGAGAAAGTACAAAATGAAATGCGTCCCCTAATTTAGCTGTTACTGAATATGATAAAACTGTCCATTTACCTGACACTTCTTTCGATTCGCCACATTTACCCATACACTCAAATGGGTTTGCTTTATCAGATATTATTGATGTAAATTTTTAAAAAGTATGTTACTGAATATCGTTATCAATGTCTAAGTAACTGGACATCAATATTTTTGGAAAACGTACCGTGCAATCTAACCCACAATCAATTACATAAGTTACATCATCAAACGTCATACATGACTCTGATATATTTGAGGAAAGTATCTAAAGGGGAAACACAAAACATACTGTGATGAAAATATATGCAAGTGAATTATATTCTGAATATTAAAAGTAGATTAAAGGTGAAATGAAAATTTGAACCGTAGCCGGATTTGAACCAGCGATCACCGGTTTTCCGGCTTGATCAAGCGGTAGTAGTGCGTCACGAATCCCTGGTGGTTGGGATAATATAAAAATCTGGTTAACAGTAGGGATTCGAGGCTCAGGCTCAGGCTCGGAATGGAAACCCGGTTGTCGCTGGTACGGATGCTGCTGTGGTCCAAATTTTTTACTCATCTTTAATCATTACACAGTAAAAATCCACTTTAATCACCGGTCAAGGATGTGTTGAAGACTTAATACACTTTATATCTTTTGATTCAATAAAAGTACTACAACTTCAGGGTTATGTGAGCTTTTTTCTTTGATAAACTTTCATAAAGCGTTTAGTAAACTGTGTACTCCTTACATGTAATTGGTTGGGCACACACAGTAGACTTCTCTGAATCCTTTGAACTCAATTGATCTTTACACGTATGCAATGAGTTCGAAGGTAACGAGTATGGTTTCATGTAAATACATTTATTTAATTATTAGGGTTGTACAATGGTGTTATCTTCTGAAAAGGTTTCAAAGAGCTTTGAGGTCAAAAATGATCATCACCATAATCCAGCCTATCTGTACTGATGAAAATGACCATTCCTCAAGGTCAAAACTTACCGGGAAGGTTGGTATTATAGTGGTTGAACTTAAAGTAGTTTGACGTCAAGTCATAAAGCTGGTTATACAGAGATATAGATGACTACCTTTATAGTTGTTATACTATCATATACAGAGAATAGGGGATTAAAAATGTTTAAATTTAAGGAGCTACAATTTTTCGTTTTCGAGGGTAAGCTTTTGAAAGAAACAATCTTCAGAAGATCATGAATGAATGGTCTTCAGAAGTCATGAGGTGAATCAAGTTATCATTTAGGTACTCTAAAATCTCATCGGCCACCAAAACAAAGGCTACCGAAAAGTGTAGTTCACTGATATAGGGTAGACATTATTTCTGTAGCAAAAATTACACCTTTCTCATGAATTCCCATGGATAGCTATCTATTTACTGCTTTGCTAACCGGAAATTTATGAGCCCATAAAGATTGTGGTGCGCCTCGATACGTTTTGTAACCTCTGTATAAGCACCCAGTTGCTGTAGTTTGAACGACACAAGGGATATTTTTTACCCGAAAGTGTCGACCTTGCATGAAAGGTGACTAATGAGTTATGGTCATGTTACAAGAAGGTTTCAATATTCAGACAGGTGGAGTGGATCAATTCCGAAGTAGACCTTGCTAATTACTACGAGACCCTATGATGAAAGACCTATAAAGGCACACATTTTCCACTAATTTTTTTGTGTAGTGACATTTTCTTAGTTTTTGTCTAAATCTAACCATAAATCAAGACACTAGCTGCGTTGTACCATCTCAAAACCAAGCGAAAAGTAAACAAAGATACGTTAAAATACCGTTAGCAAGTTTTATAAAGGATCGGTACAGGACTCCTGCTCTTTTGAACTATTTGTTCGAATTCTAATCGGAAATTAGTACTCAGTATATTTTTGGAGATTACCATGCAATTTACAGTGGGATAAAATCACAAATCTTGCATTTAGACAGAAGGCAGTCAAGAGTTTGTCTGTCAGTAGGAGTTATTCTAGCCTCGCCGTATCTTAGGTTCAGATTTAGCCTGCTACGGAACTAGTAAAAACCCGCAGTCGAAGGAGGCAAATCCCAATTGATTTCTGTAGCCTTCCTACAAACAAAGCGATTTGCAAAGACTCATTCGAGCTATAACCAGCCATAAGAATGGGTGAAAGCAACTTAACTGCCAGTTGACTAAGCATCTTTGTAATGATGTTTGGTAGTGGTAAACGATTAAAGCCGACAACCTCTGGAAACGAGTGTCAAGAACATTCAGTGAAACACTGTAGAACAGTTCACTTGATCTGTAACCACAATCCAAAAGTACCCAAATAAAGCAATGACAAGGATTCTGCAGACCTCACAGATACTGAGAAACTTGCATCACAAAGAAAGTCGATCATTACCACAATAGCTGGTGGTTTTCCTGAAGACTTTACAAATAATAGAGGTGAAGGATAGCTGGTGATACTAGATTTTAGAATGGATCATAAAAAAATATGTGAAACTCAGACACCTTCACTGAAATGTATTTTGGTTAAACATTATTTCGATGATTCGATTGAAATTGATTCCTTCATGGCATATTAGATAACTCGTTGGCGTTTGAGCCGATGGGTACGAGGTTCGAGTCCTGGTGGGAACAACAACACTCACTGGAGTGCAGCTACATCCAGCTGACGAGTCCCAAATGGGACGAAACATGCACCCTGGATTCCTCTGCTAGATACAATCAACCAAATTACTGTAGTTAACATTCAGGCAATATCAAGACATTCACATAGGAGCCCGTATTTCAATAGAGGTCGAACAATTCGGTCCAATAAAACAACAGAGAATCACATGTTAATAAAGTAATACTATTTCAGTGAGTTTCATCACAAATCCATTTTTATCATACTACCACTTTAAATTCAGATACAGGCGTGTGAACTAAAGCATATAGTCTGGTTTATCAGAGATAAAGTGACGTATTTCCGTCTATTTAGTTATTCCAAGACACCAGTTTGTAGTTTATGAGCGAATATACTTACAGTAGACTATTATTGATTGTAGAGACAATAAACATCACTTTCGCTCTCTGCTAATCAAAGATTCGGAGAGTAAAACCGTGATCAGTTGCTTATGTGAATTACGAATAATCAAAGTCTAAATTGTAACTGAAGTTATTCAATCTTCTGGAGAAAATTAAGTAAGGTGATTTGCAACTAGTGCCTAGATGGGATGTGGAAATCATAAGTGGTCCCGTCAAACGCATTTAAATAATCATAATTTACAATAAATAGGGGAAATTCTATATGATAACTTCAGGTAAATCAGCTTGCTTTAAAGCATAGATCTTCAGTACAACAGTTACTTTACACTCAGCTAAGACATCATAAATGATACCCCAACTGCACGCCATGAAGCCACATAATGACCAGTGATAAAGTCAAGCTAAAAGTTTCAAGTAAAGGAGCTAAACGGATATTGAGTTTCAAAATCTGTACCAATCGAATTGGTTGTGTTATGTGTTACTCATACCAAACCAATATATGCTAAGGAAGCATTAAATGGGAAGAAAGTTGAAATTAACCGAACCAAAACAAGTCACCAATCCACAGAGTCTTTAACCGTTAATCAGAGCTGTGGAGTGAAGTGTGTTGGGTTAATTGAGACCGTTTCTTTGCTAAAAGCAGTGGTTGGAGAATTTTGTTAATTTCACCTGAAACCTATCATAATAGCTAAAATGTATTCGCTCTTCATCAATTTGAATATTTTAACTATTTTCTCATCCCTCATTTATGTAATATGTTCCATGCCTATCTTGTTTATCGTACTATCTATATGCTTATTCTGGTTTATATATCAATGACAGGGTGAACAGCTTAAGTTTTGCATGAGTTTCAATGTTAGTCCATACATATGTCTCATTGCCATTCTATGACTCATATTTTTCAAAACATTGCTCCAGTTAGTCCAACTTACTAGTTTGCGAACGGAACACTGAGACTTATCATAGATTGTTTTTAAATCAGCAACAAGCATTCGAGAATGTAGAACTAATAATAATGGTTTTCTGAAAAGTAAAGACGAAATGAACACAATTTATACGGAATAGATTCTTTGAAAGAAAATTGAACTTAAAACTTATGATTATAAACAAAAACTGAGTTTCAGGTTTATAGAGACTCCACTTATTTCAAAGTAATATTTTTCATGGACCATTAAAAACTTCGGAGCACCAAAGAGTTGTTTCATCCTGGTACAGAACTCAGTTATGTGCACCCACGACCCCATCAGGGATCAAACTAGAGACATTAGATGTCGCAATGAACGTGTTAACCATTCAACCATTGGTTTGGAGTTCAGTGGTCTTCATTTTCCCACTTCTGTTAGCTCGTGACATAGTGAGAATATTCAAACTGGTTGACCCCGTAGGTTAGCCAACAAATTTGCAATTAGATGAAATAGTGATTTTTAATTTTAATGGTTACTTATTTCGAAGATTTTAGGGTTTTTAAGGATGAGAAAAAGATGTGTGATAGGATCAACGTTAAGTGTGCATTTACATCCTATAGCTGATTATGAGGCAAAAACTATCTGCTAAACATCTGATGTAATGTAGAGCTTTTCCCTTGACTGTTGGATCTCTGTAGAACTAAGAACGACGAAGACGATTTTCGAGCAGTTTTATTCAACCTGAAATCTCTTATAAAATAATGAAGATTTATAGCTAAAAAAAGAATTTTTGTGGTTTTATGTTTTCTTATCTGTATAACTTAGTCATGAAGCTTCCATCGTCATGCTAAACAACTTGAGAAAGAAATAAGCTATGAGAATTCGCTAAAACCGTCTTCGTAGCTTGTCCTGATGACTTTGGGCTTGGTTGGCTAATGCAGTTATTAAACTGACATTGTACGTACATTTATTTTTCTGGCTGTGTTGCTGACACGAACTCTAACCCTTTCGTTGTTGTTCATGTTTCTCACTAGTCGGCATTTTAGGTCAACATCACTATGCCTGTCTCTTTAGAAGCTCACTGCCACCTGCATTCCTCTTCGTTTTATCGTTACCTTCCAAAACGGAAAGTTGAAACTATTTTTCAAATGTTTGGGAACAAAATGACTGGAATACATATTTTAATGCTTAAAATAAGTTGAAAAGATCTGGTGAAAAACTTTCGGTAGCCCAAGTCTCAAGGAGATGACCAACCTGAGTCTATGGAGATTTAACGTTAAAGAACACCCCCAGTTAATCACTGGCCATAGGAATGGTATTAAATCTTCAGAACTTGCACCGGAGGATTGACAGAATAGTCAATTAATTCTACTAGGTACTTCAGTTTTCTTATGAGTCCTCTCAACAGACTGCATCTTGGAGTCCTAATAAGTGACGCAATTTGTCACAACGTGGTACTTCGTTCATGTGTTCCCTGTACATTATGAAAACATCGAGGAACAGACACACTGAATTTGCTACTGACTTTGTTTCTCATTTTTCCTTCTTTGCAAAGCTTGTTTCGGGTGTTGATGATCTCAATAGCGACCTTTTGAATAGGATTTGTATTAGTCATTCGATAGACATTCTCACATGTAAGCAAATATTCTATCCACTTGGTGAGGTTATCTTTATCTATAAGCACTGTGGTGCTTTTTATCAGCTAGAGTCGTAACGATGTCCTTATTTATCATTCTCCTTAGACCCCTCTTTCCCGCATTGGTTAGTTGAGCACAACATTCTGCCCTTCAGCCAGAGTAAGCCCTGACGTCTTCAGTGTTGACAACAGCCAAGCGGAGAATTATGAGATTGAAGTGTCTCTCATGCTGTAATGGAGTTATTTCGGTAGACATCTTTCAGTTTTACCAGAGATTTTCTAGGTAACTTGACGATAAAACTACTCGAATCTCTTTTTTTAAGGTGACTTTGACGTTTTGATCCACTCTTTAAGGAGAATTTTCCCTATTTGTTTATTGTCTTTTGCTTGATTATTTTATCGCAGTTGCCAATTTCGTAAAGTTTCCTACTGTAAAAAATCTTTTCAGCTTTGTCTTTAAGATATCAGTAAGTTACAAGGTCATTAGGACATGTTACCTAGTCACCTGTTGGGAATTTGTCACAGCTCACTTTATCTTGGAGTTTGTACTGACTATTTTGTTCAGAATGATGATGAAAGCTTAACCCGCAAAACATTCAGCTTATAGAATATATCAACGCCGAGAAATCTTATATCTTATGTAACTATATACTGTTGAAAAGTAATTATTTACACACTACGTCAGTTGTTCTGTTATCATAAGATATAATGAGATGATATTATCTTGCAAGTTTCGTCTTATGAAAAGCTTACTTAATCAATGAAATCTTTTGAATTCACTTGAAAGATTTCAGAGCGATTCATATTACCCAAGGTCAAGTCTAATCTTAGGCATTTTTCAAGTGATCCTTTTAAATTGATACTACGGTTATATCCCCTTATATATTTTTTCAAACCAATTCTAATCTAACTACTGGAAGTTACCATATTGTTTTTGTTCACAACAAACTCTCCTAAGATTGTGCTTAAAACTTGAAGCTGAAGTTTAAAATTAAGCATATCTTCAATTTTCTTTAAAGAATATTTATAGAAGTTGAAGACAAAAGTTATAGATACTAATGGTCTATTTCCTCAATGTTAACGTTTAGGAATTAATATTGATCGAACCTACACTTAAGGTGATAAATGTTACTAAAAGTGTTTCATCTGTATTAAACTTTAAATAATTATTCCCAAACACTGTCCATATCAGTGAATTCATACACAGATAAACTCAAAGGTAGAAATTATATAAAACAATGGCGAAAATAGCTGAAACTTGCTGCATACCTTGATGATTTCCAAGGAGAAGTGTCAGGGCTCAGTAGCCTTTCTCTTAATGTTATGATTTCTTCATAGGATGGTAAAAACACCAAAACTGCACCTGAAATTCAACGAATTTTTGATTTTATTTGTTCATTATAGAAATGCGACTATTTTACAGACACGTTTGCTTATAAAAGTAAAGTTATACAGCATACCGTATGATTGTTTCATCTAATCCTGACTAATATTTACAGTGCTGAGATCCGTTTCCTTAATTTTGAAAACGAAAGTTAATGAACGCATAATTCCTATTGTGACGTCAAAACAAGAAATTTCAACAAGAAATGCTTTTCAACTATTCTATTCTCATGTCCTACCTAGTAGGAAATCTCAATAATAGGCCTGCAGAAATATCGGCAGTGATTGTTATGGTTATAACAATGTTGGTAGTTAATGAAGTTGAAGCTGAATGCAGACAAATTGGAGCTGCGTAAGATTTTTAGACCGCTCATAGGGTGGAAATGGATTTAAAAGGGGTGAAAACATCGTAGATTTATTCAACAAATACACTATGGAGTAATATAAACCAAAGAAGGTAGCTGGGACAAAATCAGTATCAAAGGAAAAATTATTATTGATAAAGTGAAGTCATTTAAGATCTGGTCTACAGTTAGGTATCATAGCCCAGATAATTGAACACCTATTCAGAGGCCTACAAGTCATTCGTTCGAATTCTACCGATGCCAAGATTTTTATATCACCTTGAGTCATTACTCAGTATCAATACTTATAAAGACAATTATGATTATAACCGCCATTATTGTTTTTCTACCATCTATCAATCTTTTTAAATTTCCTTACAGATGTCAGTCTTTGAAAAGCTAATCCCTTTTAGAGACAAATGTTTCAGCCTACTGTTAAGCGTGAAATTTTTAAATCATACTGAGAATTTCGAGTTTTATATGCAAAATTATTCGATGGAGGAATCGTTATGTTTCATAAACAGAAAAGCAAACGCTGATGGAACTTGGGTCTTAGACGTTTTATACCACACTTTTTTTAATTACTAACTACTACGGTTACTTAAGAACCAACAAAGTCCTTTCCATGCTTATTACGGACGTGTAAAAATCTAAAAATAGTTACATTACTCTTACCATAATGATAACTAAGACTAAATTTCTTTAATGCCTCTACAGTTCTCATGCAGATGCATTCGAATAGCTATTGGGACATGTTTTATGCAAAGAAGAATGATTTGACTTAAATCAAGAGTACTTCTGAAGTTCGTGACCTGAAGAATGCGGTTCATTAATCAGTAAATTAGGTTTAATGGTCCAGATAGCTACAAAACTGTATGTTCAATCAGAACGTCAGGAGCAATCTTTTGTACGTCCTTTTGAAAATTTGTTCATCGACAATAGTAGCAATCTCATAATGCGCTATCAAGGTAAATACAAATAGTAACTATGCAATAGTGTTCGAAAAAATATTATCACGTGTTGTTTGTGACATGTTAGTTGTATGACATCACGAGTGGAACCCAAATGGGAGACGACTAGTTAGGTGTTCAAGGGTGATGACATGGAGAAGATCATATGAGAAAGAAACGAAAGCTTCTGGGCAGTTGTGGAGCCAGTTTCAATGACTACAGAGAACGAAGTGAACTGGTGACGTGCTACTGAAGCCCTATGTTCCATTAAGAACTCAAGGAATAAATAATAATAATGTTGTGACGAAACCCAGTACTGTAAACTGCTTAGCGAAGGGCATTCAACTCCATTAAATATGTGTATTTTTGTGGAAATAGGCATACTTTACAAATATGACCCATCCACAAGTTAATGTATTATCATTAAGATATCTTTCAGGATAGCTCAATGAAAAAGCTCATTCTGGAAAAATAATATATGACATCGCCCATGAAAATACCGTGATAGTTTCTCAGCTATGTATTTTGCAACAGAAGAAAGCGTTATGTGTTTGTGAATTGAAAAAGAGCTGAACCATACCTTAGGGTATTCTCACTGATCCTATAAACCAAATTATCTGAAGATGGTGCAAAGAAGTTCAATAAAAGGTTTGAGTGTTGTGTTATAAGAATATATATATATATATATATATATATATATATATATATATATATATATATACATAAAGATTATCATACCTTCCGGCAAACTACTGTCAATTTTCACAATTAACGTGGTAAGTAAATCATAATCAACAACTGTCTCCGGCTCCGAACGATTTCTAGCTATCTGATAGGACAAAAGTAACTTGTTGTGTAGATTATGTGGATTAATATATATTCTGTCCTCATTTGAAGTCTGTGGAATAGTTTGAACTGTTTGACTTTCGTTTAAAATGCATTTATCGAACTTTGAACTACCACTTGGGTTTTGAAACCATGAACCAAATCTTAGCAGTATGGCTTCCCAGTTTTCAGGCACATGTCGAAGGCTTTGAGAAACCCTTAAAATATGAAAGATGTATTAACAAAACGTCTGTGCACAAATAGCAAAGAGTTATCCTTAATAATTCGCTTTAATTATATAACCGTATCTACAAATGGTTGCTGCAACATATACAAGTATAAATCGGATTATTAACTATATCCAGCGTATTACTCAATGCAAGTGGATTACTGTCAATCACTTCACTTGGTAAGTTCCATACATATAGATGTACATGGGAAATTAATCATGCCATTTCAACATTATTGCAACATATTTGGAGCAAGGTGAACGGACTGTCATTATTTTAGTATTACTACTAAAGGGGAAAATCCATTAAGGGTGATTGGTTTTCTGACAGATGTTCCCAACTATTATAAGGTTTCTAAAGATTAATAACCAATATCATAATCGTTATACTAAAGTTTTTTTTCAAGAATTTTCAAAAACACAGTCATTTGAAGGGGTGTTTTTAATAACTTCCACCAAGACTGTAGAATTATATCTCTGTAAATATAGTTAAGTAGCTGAAGTATGGAGGAAAGGAAACTATATTTTAGACTCCAAACATACAATGACTGGAGAGATGGAATACGTTTGGTTTTAAAAAGAACCCACGATAATGACAAGATAATGACAACACATATATCAGCCAGTTAGACGTGGTATAAAGTGCAAATCAAAGCATGTATATATATATGTACTGGGAATGTTGATCATCCTTTCAATAAATTTGTCTAACCAACGCGTCAGTATTTAACTAACCATGATCCCTTTCAACCCTCATCTAGTAAATAGGGTTTTCTTACTCACTACCTTTGTCTGTACTTTGCTGTACAATCTCCTTACGAAATTACTTGGGTAACTATTCCACAGCAACATCTTCCTCAGTTTCACACTTTTTTTCTGTTAGAACTTTGAAACGAATATATTATGTATTATTGTATTACATATATTATTATATTGCGTTATCATATTAAATAAATCATATGGCGAAGACACTGGACCAAATCTTTTTTGTGCTTCATAGGTATGAAGCCACTGAATTACATATACTGTCTTCCAGAAACTGTCATTCATTAATTTTCTTATCGCATACGATGAAAATCATCTGGAGGACAGCAGTAATATCCATTTATTTTTAATTTACCCCATAATGGACTGTTCTTCAGTTTCTCAACGTAAATATCTCCTACTATAGGACATAGAGAAGAGCTCACTGCAACCCTAACTAATATTCTATGAAATTGATTGTTGTTTTTGCATATAAATTTAGCACTCTTTATGAGCTGTACGTCGGTGAATAATGATGTTTTATCTGTTATGTTCATGCCTTCATTGTTTCTTTATACTCAGTTCAACCATTTATGGAATAATGGTTCGAGTAATTGCAGAAGCCATTTTACTGATAAATGACGTGGTGAATTTGGAATGTCAAAAAGTAGTCCCAGAAACATTTTCAGATTATGAATCCTAAGTGGATGTTTCCCCTTTCGAAGGTTTCAATGCTTTACAACTTTTTGTTTTTTTCAATGACTTAATAGATCATTTCAACTACCACTCAGCAACCGCATTCAATTCCTTAAAACCGCCTACGTATTGTAACTTGATTTAGTTAGAACGAAGGGAGATCGTCTTTTCAAAACTGTGTATCTGTTTTTAAATATCTGATTTCTTCTCTGCATATACCAAAATATCTACGATCCAGAGATAGAAACTATGTCTTATCCAAAGCATCGGTGAGAAAGTTCAAAAAGTATCACTTCTGGTGATTCCAAAATAAGTAGTTAGATCATTTAACCAACAGAGTTCTCTTCGTGCTTTCTTTTGTTCTGAGTATTGCATTAACAGATCACACAAATAATTTCTTCATGAAGAGCGTATATTCCTTCCTAATTCAGAAATATAGAACTGAAGGAACGTATCTGTTTGATTTCATCTGTTAATTACCCTTATTGTTTCCATTATTACTCTTTTAGTTCCTTAAACTGGTTATTTTATGGTAATAGCCATGAACATATAACTACAGTTCGAGGAAGAGTTATTAAAAATATTTTTTTTACTCTCATCATTATTGTTTTGATTAATTAATCAGAATCTTTAAATAATTTCAAAATATTTCTCAAGATTTATGCAAAGGAGCAGCTGGGGGTCTTACATATGTATTTTGAGTAGGTTTGCGACTTTATTGTAACCAAATATGCGAGCCAAGTCGTATGCATTAACTCCCACAATATTATAGATTTCATTTTTGATTGTAATTCTGCGATGTTTTGGACCGAACAACCTAAAGTCTTCTGCATATTGTTTGTGGGCTTGCGAGATCAGCAAATCATAGGGCATCGCAATGCGTGTAAAAGGATTTGCTCCAAGAACTAATAAACGCTCAACAGCCTCCAGCAATCCAGCAGCAGAACATACCATTAGTGGAGTAAGGCCTTTCGAATAATAATATAAAAATTTGTCTTGATGATTAAACTTATGTGACAACATATTGAAATATATATTCACGAAATTAATTTACTTGGTTGATAACGCCTTAATTAGTGAAATCCAAGTAGATGAATACACTGGCGGTAACATCTGACTTCTGTATTATATGGTCCGTATACATTTTCTTAAATTTTTAACAGTCCATGTTATTGGTCTATCGTTTATCAGACTATATAAGATTACAATAGTAAGCAAGAAGGAATGATGTTGAAGTTGTTTCTTTCTGTTATTGATTGGTTTTGCCAGTATCAGTCGGTTTCTGCTGGCACATGGGCTCCTGAATAAATGCCTCAATATAGCTAGTGATTCCGTTTTGATATTAGGCATGGATAGTGGCTAGCCCTGCAATTCAGGGTATGTGTTCCCGCCTATTCGGAACTCATCAGCTCCGGCGTCTGAAACGATGAATGCTAGGCTCAGGTCTCAGTAAAGACATTTTCACTGAAGTAGATACTACCAGCTGATAAAATGGACGATTGATTTTAACTAACAGCCACTATACATCCTTATTGTCGAAAAGGAACAAATAACCTACTCAGTAGCAAAATAAATGAGCAAATGTACACTTTCTTATAAATGTTCACATGTCCATTTGAATTGATTTTTATCGTGTTAAGGTGTTTATAAGTTATTCATGAAGATGCACATGAATATACTATTTGTCATCGAAATTACGAAAGCTGTGACAGTAATTAATAGTTTTCTATCCCTCTTCTTCCTGGTTTTTTCTATTTCAATGCATTTCCTTTCTAGAAAATTTCGCACTTAATGCTACATAGAAGTAAGGTAAATTAAACCGATAATTTTTTTGTCCTTTGTATGGATCAATCATTGCTTTCAAACACAAAGACAGAAATAAACTTCAAGTTTATGGAACTGTCATTCCACTAGGTAATTAAAATAAAAAAAGAAATTTCCCAAAATCTTTTTACGAATAGGCAATACGTATTGCATAATCTAGGTTTAAAAGTAAACGAAAACGGCTTTTAAAGAGTTTATAGAGTCAAATAACCGGCAAATCGATAGATGCAAATTCATAATTATTCTAGTATTATACTCCATAAATTACAGTTGAAGTACTATCTCTCGAACCTAAACTTTGTCATATTTGTAAATAGGTTAGCCAAATAGATGCATTTGTTTGATAGGATCCTTCAGCCGACAATGTCTGTAAGTGAGTGTTTACGTTTAAATACCAATCTACCTCGGCTTTCAGTTCTACATCTACATATCAATACTGTTTAACCAAAAGATAAAACGTGTAAACCATGTGAGAATTTTTTATGACAGTCGATCACTTACAGTAAAAAGTCCGATGATTCTATTGTTATAAGGCTTGTATGAAAGGCAATATCAGGGTCAACTATCATTGGAAGTCAGTTAGTAATGATGACGTAGATGAATAGACAATTCAGCGAAGAAAATTTTCTTTTCAAACGTTATCATTTTCTTAAGCTGAACAATCATATATATATATATATATATATATATATATATATATATATATATATATATATATATATCACCAACATATAACAGTCTTGTATTTTTGAGATGAGTGGGGAGTCCCATACTAGGACGAAACAGCTGTCTAGTGCTCCCAGATTTTCAACGGTTCCTCCAGCTGATCTCAGTCCATGATGAATACTACTTCCAAATATAACAGTCTATTATTAAACAATAGCGCTTTATTGCATCTTTGACTTAGTGTTAAAAAGCCGAAATCAAGAATGGAAAGTAGCTGCGCAATAGTCTTTTAGACAGTGGAAATAATGAGGAAGGCAGGAAGTTTGACAGGCTGAAAAATGTTGGTAGATGGAAACTGCAAATATTGAATGCATACTTAACACACAGATATAAAGAATGTGAAACATGAGATAACAGTCACAATGGAGGTGATAATAATAAACTGACTAATTATTATGAAATGGAAAATTTGTGAGTGTCAAGACCATGGTAAGATAAGAGATTGAACACGCAGAGATTAGGCTTAAGATGATGAATTTCCGGTGCTTCTGCTGTTTACAGCTGTCTAAGGCGCACTGCTCTTGAACCATTCCCGTTGACTCTATAAATGATGCTAAAGGGCGACTCTAGCTGAGTTACGTATATCGATCTGACCAAATGTTCAAGAACTGGACTGCTGATTGATTTATACTCTCTCTATGACAACCATGCAGGATAGCGCTCAAAGATACGTCTTCAAAGAACGCAATTCGTGCACCCATATAACCAGTTCCACAGGAGCAAGTAAATTTGTAGACACGCGACAAGTTAGCCCAAAGCGGTAAGTTGTCCCTAGCAAACTCCGCAGAAGGAAGGTGATCTGTAGCTACACATAGATGAATGTCTTATTCAGCGATTTGGACAACCAATTCTTCAGGATCTCTGTTGCTGTATTGCCTATGAAACCAACGTTCATAAATATTCTTTGAAGTTGTGAGTACTTGCTCCGGATTCTATCTTAATTTCAAGTGCTTCTCAATCAATTATGTAAATGTTAATGTGTCCTACGTAATACTGTATTAACGAAATAAGTGAGCTATGATTTGAAGCAAGTGTTTATGAAAAACAATGAATCTTTTGGTGTTGATGAGTTTCGATTAAAGGTTAAAATGAGTTTCATCCTCTTCGACAACGAATTTCGTATAAATGAAGTATAGCGGAATTAATGCGGAAATATAGTAGTGTTTATATTCGAATGAACAAGTGGATCAGCAACAATAATCCAGTAAAAGCAATAGGTGAAGTGGAATAAATGTAGGGGGGAAATGAAGGAATTTGATGCAGAGGTGAAGGAAAACATAAAAGCGTTTTCAGTTTTCTACTTTAGTTAGAAAAATGTGTGCTAGTAATTCTTTGAAAATGTCCACTGGGATTCAAACATTTAGCACTTTTTCCTCCATCTGCTAACATATGTAGTTGACTTTTTTGGTTGGTAAGACATTCATGCGTAAACATTTCACTTCCGTTGGTGTCATAGTTTTATCTTTGATAGTAACGGCTTTGATTTTGTCTATCCATTCAATACTTCCACAGTGTACCTAATTATCTTTCCATAAAATGGTTTCAAAATAGTTACCAATAACTTGATTGCACCATGGTAAGGTGAACTTTACATTGGAGTTAACAGTATTTTTGTGAAAGTATTTCGGATAATTTTGATGTATTTGTACCTCAACGCCTGATATCATCATACAAAGTAGAAGGAATCGTTTGCTGCTTTAACCATTTCTTAAAACATGTGATCTATTCGTTTTCTGTTTTGCTGAGTCCTTTTGGTTTCCAAATGTTTGAAATTTTCATCTATCTTTCAGAATATCTCTCAGCTTGCCTACGTAGTTACGTTTGTCGGCGAGAAGTAGTCCTGTTCTTTATCAAGTTTGGTTATTATTAGGTTCTCATGCATTACAAGTTTATTGTTAGCCTCTCTACGGCTTTTTGCTAGAATGCTTCTACCACGTTAGACACATAGCTAACTAATAAGGTATATCAGTATATTGAACACTGATTACTGTCACGTAAAGCTGTCTCACATGTCTCCGGTTTTATTTTTATTTTGTTCTACATTTACTTTGTTTCACAGTTTTCTTATTAGCGTTTTCGTTTTTGATTATCGCACATAAAACACAAACTCAGTTTTAACCTGTCTTATTCGAATAATTTTACTTACTATTATCATGTTTCCCTAGAATTAACAAATAAAACTGACTTCCCTATATTCCCAATTTTATACTACCAACCGAATCACGTATTGATTTTTAAACACAACTCAGTATCATTATATGTTGTCGAAAACAAACATACACAAACCATGATTACAAAATAATATATAAATAAATATGATTGTACAGCTTTTGAAAATAAATTTGTTGAAAAGGATCTCTTTCGCTGAACTGTTATATATATATATATATATATATATATATATATATATATATATATATAATGAAAGCACCTGACCGGTTATCTCGGTGTGAAGACTTTCGTGGATTTATTTATTGATTTCAGTATGATATCCATCATCGACTCACATCAGATGCAGAAGCATTGTAGACCTAAGAGCACTGAACAGCTGCTTCATCCTAGTATGGACATCTTCAACGATGGGCACACGCGACTCCTCTACGGCTGGAACCCAGGACCGTCGGGTTCCTCGTCCAGTACTTTACCATTGAACCACTGAATTAGAACACAGTGTTCGACATTTCCTACTTCAGTCAGTTCATAATATAGCGCAACCTCCACCCAATGACGTTTCTGAGTTACTGTCCTCACGTCAGACTTGGTTGATCCTACTGGTCACGAATCCTCATCGGAACTTAGAAAATCTCATCTCGAAGCAAGTTACTGACAAGCAATTTATTGATTTCAGGTTGGTATTCATCATGGACTGATATCAGTATTTGTTAGCATAACTTTTAGAGCCACCCAATAATGTCCTCACTTTGCAACAATAGGATCTTGTAATTTAGAACCACGCAAATGAAACTAGACCTATAATTGGAATTTCATACAAACACAACTTTCTAAACTGAGATAAATGTATGGTGCCCGAGTCAAAAACGAATCTAGAGAACCGTGTCAAGTATAGAAAAACATAAATAGTAATGGAAATACAGTTTTAGTCATAATGGCATAAACCTGAATAGCCAACAGAATAATGATAATGTATTCGTGTTACATGTATCATACTGACGATTCAAGATAGATAGATAGACATGTCTCTTTGAATCATGTATCACACGTGCATCTTGTAATAAGTTACTAACTACCGAAATAATTGACTGGGTTTCTGTAATTTACCAGAGCACACCTTCATACAATATGGAACCTTAATTGGTTAGTTTAATAGTTGAAATGGTGGTCTTTTGAGCCACTCGGTAAGCAATCACCAAAATCTTTTTAGGCCGAGGCTGAACACGGTCAACTCATTATGTCGTGAGTATACATAGAAGTATATCATTTTCGCTTTTCAACATGCTAACAACAATACTAAATATTTAATGCACTGATTTTCCTAGTATGAACCCAATACAACCACCGATTATTATGATGGGTTTTCAAAACGAAAAATGTGTACACTTTTCTGCAGTAGCACACTTCTTTCTAAATCTGTTGTTGCTTATTTCTTATGACTATTGATTTCTGAAGGAACACTTATCCAAAGCTGCTTCACTTTCTGTTTTTTGCCAGTTGAGACGTTACATCATAATGAGCGCTGATTATTAATTGATAAGCACTTAGAAATCACTCTAATAATTTATTTCCCACCATTTCATGGAAAGCATTATGTTGAGAAATAAATAAAAATTATCTTCGGTTTATTTCTAACTCAATCTGCCTATGAGTACATAATAATGGTCAAGAAAAATGATTAAGAAATATACGAATATATACATTTATTTTAACTAACAATGAAAACACCATACCCGTATTTGAATGTTCGTAATCTACTGATATCCAACCAGCTAAAATGCACTGAAGTAAGTTCGTTAGACATGCATGTACTCGAGCATTGACCACTGTCTCACCAACTTCCTGATAATAGAAGCATATGTAACAAATTCAGTAGAGCACAAAGTACCGAAGTTTGTTAAAAAAAAACCAAGAATCAGCCACATGTAACGTAAGTATCACCGAAATATCGTGAGTTGACATATAAACACATGTATATCTATATATGCGCCACCTGGTAACTCCCTTACTTTGCTCAGAAATTTACTTCTTTAGTCTGACAAAACCTGTGATGGCAAGGCATCAGATCTTGGTGCTATAGATCGTTTCAGCTTTGAGATAGTCGCAAATTCTGGAAGAGTTGTAGGATAGATACCTACATTACATTCAGATTCTAGATAGATTCTGAGAAAGTGGAGTGATGCTATGGACCACGTCGCAACATCTCTTGGTCGACAATACTATTTGAAACCTTCAGGTCTAACCCTAGCCAGCAAGTATGCTTGTTTTCCAGAACCTGTTGAAGAGTGAAGATCTGACCGACTAACTGTTTTCAAGTCATAAAACTGAGTGGTTTTCTGGAGTTTGTTGTTTTGAGTTCCAGGTAGATGTCGGATAACTATGGGTCCTAAGTTCCCGGACAACAGACCAGTGAAACTGATTATCTGACGCTTTCATAAAAAAAGTCTCTCCCTTTACCTGAGATGGGATGATCAGCAAAGTTGATCGGACTGACAAGGATACACTACCTAATACCTCTCTCACTGCCGTAAGAAATGTAATTCCTACCTTATTAAAACCTACGACAGTAAGTCTCCGGATCCTAGTGCTGGGCATTGTTCCAGGTTTTAAATAGCCTTCTCAAACTGTAGAAGAGTTGTAGGATGGACATCTACAAAACATTCAGGTTCTTGCCGGATTCTAGAAAAGTGAAGTGATGCTATGGGTCAGCTGAAATGTGTTTTAAAGTACTCCACTCAACGTTATAGCCACTTACCCAAAGAGGTTATCAGAGATCACTCATCTTCGCTGACACTCTCACTAACCATCATCTTCTGCTTGACACTGCCATTGATAAAGCCGACCGACTGCTCAATACTACACAATACTGAGGTCTTCACCCATTTCGCTTTCATCACCCACTCTCCCACCTGCCGGCAACCATTTTAACTACTTTTAATCAATTTGCATCAAAAATGCTTTCAATCCCCATTATCGTTAGAGCCAGCACGAATGAGTCATCCTGCATCAATCAGCTTGAATGGAATGATGAAATTCCACTGATTTTCACCAGCCTCCGCATGTCGGTTGCCAACTGTTGCTACCACTCTCTTAGAAGCAGACTGAATATAATACCGAGCTTCATCAGGCAGATAACTACTGACATGTTGTGATGGGTGTTTAGCTGTCCCCTCCTTCCATACACACACACACACACACTGGATATTCTCATCTTCTAGTCGATCATTCAGTCACTTCACTGCTGTCCGTCTCCTGCACCAACTAAGGAGTAAGCATGCACGTGCTTTCCAAATGGTCGAAATACTCTATCATCAATCCCCTTCAACGATGGCTTATTCCTCTTTGATCTATTCGTGTCCTCCACTGGTTTCATGATGGTGAACGTCAAGTGAGACAGTGTGTCTCCATAGGCTTGAAGTTTATGTTGACTGGTAACAAATGTCTGATTGGACAGAATTAAAGAAGATCATCATAGTTATTGGTTCTTGGGTATGAGATCCCACAGATATCTCCTGGATGCCTTTCTGATTGATTCAGCTTCGCTACATGAGAGTTCAAATCGCCTATTATTCAGGATGCATCCTAACGTTTCGGTTTGTGTAGCGAGATTGACAGCTTTTGACAGAATTCACCACATTTATCATCTGAGCTGCCGTCAGCAGCATAGCATGAGACTATGAATTAGTGTCAACAAGTGTCATTATCTCTCCTAGTTCTCAGAGTTCCGTTCATTCATATAGCTAATAGTCAATTGATGACTGGTGTCCATTTGAGAATTGAGCCTTCTGTTCTACAACCTAATGCTGTTCTTATATGAGCAAATACATAAGAGCAAGATACTTAATTTTCAGACACTTGTAAATTGAAGTTTGCAGCTTCCCAACAATTAGCAGGTAAGCTCAAATTAATTAACATAGGTGGTTCCTGCAAATATATCTTAAAACCATAACCCACATTCATGCTTCACTATTCCGCAGTTTAGACAGGAGACGTCTATTGTCCGATTTTTCGTATAATTCAAAATTTGAAAGATGTGCTGTGAACCTGGCAGCATGGTTAAAGAGGGAACGAGAGATTTTTGGCTGGCTTGGATCGTTAGTGGTAGTTACACGGTGAGAAATCGTGGAAGTCTTAAGAGGCTTATGACTGATATCACGAAGCAAGTGCAAAGATGGGAAGAAAGGTTAGGAAGGTAAGTTCTGGTTAGTTGGATTTCTTATTTGAATAAAGTCGTACGAGTTGTTAACAATTATTGGTTTTGCACACTGTGAAAACTGTTTCTACATGGTAGCTGAAAGAGAAAGTGGTATCATTTTGTGTGACCACAGAGAAAATGGAAAGTCTTTTTGAGGCCAATTGCATATAGCTTTTTGAAAAGTTAAAGGCTTAGGTCTTTTTGTTTTGAATTGAGCTAGATAATGTATACTATCAGCGCCGGAATACCCCGGAGCAGAAAGGAGTCTTCTGTTTTTGCGATCGATTTTTCTCTGAACGTTTTGTCTTGACATACAGAAAGCTGTGTCAACTTCAACTGCTAGTCACCCTAAAGAAACACCCTACTGGTATCAGATGCCGTCTAGCCAGAAGTGCAAGTTCGCTCTCCGGCTCCCACCATAATGTAGTCTTTTATATCATGACGGTAATTAGTTTTCGTCTTACCATTATCCCATAGTTTTTCTGGTATATAATGACCCTGCGCAATGATTGTGTAAGCCAGCATACATTGTTGGGTCACTGTGATAAGCAATTTTGACCCTAGTGTCAAGTAAACAGTTAAAGATTAAAGTGCTTATCCATAATATGAGTGAATCTGAAACAAAAACCTTGTTTTGATGGTTAGTGAGTTCTGTACCGCCAACATCAGGAACGCTATTATGCCAAATAGTCCATAGTAAATCATTCGCGTGTTGCTTCGGATGATCTGCTAAACAGTTATCACCATAGTCCTCCACTTCATTCAAAATCTGATCAGATTCCAAACAAAATTTGACCAGATCTCTAGAAAGTATTAAGGGTTTCTAAAATATAAAAAAAATTGAGTAAAAATCTTTATTGATACTATTTTGTCAACTTGTAAGTCCTTATTTAAAACTGTATGGTTTATCCGGTGGGAAGAGTTGAGCTTACTGCTTTCTAACCGAATAGCCTATTCAAGTCTGCATTTAAAAATGAAAAATTCCTCATTTCTGCAATTAGAACTACATAAATAGGTGTAACTCAAGTGTGAAATGCCATCTTGGTTACTTCTAGAAATCAAATTTTTTAAATGAAATCATAAAGAACACCGAGAATTCCAGCAGAAGGATTCCATGATATGTAATACACTCGCTATAATTTCACATGTTATAAATCAGCTTCGCTAACTGGACAGTTATCAAGCAATTGAACAATCCAGCTATCTGGGACGAACCAGTTCACATATGATGCACATATACCTGACATCAAACGAGCAAAATACTGTCCACTGTTAGGATCACAGTGTGACTGACAAATATTCCTGGGGAGTCAAAACGGTTCCCATTTACGCATATATATTATTATTACTTCTCACTAGGCCTCATCTAATTTCTATCATGACTAATTGTTCTATCTTTTAGTACTGAAATCAGCTATCAGTCTTTGAAGTTAGTTTCTAAAATTTATGCACATAAAAAGAGTGGTAAAAGTCATTTTAGAAGCTGGAAAAATTACAGACAGCCTAAAAAATAAATGTGATATGCGTCAAAATCCATTGTGATAATTTCGGTGGATCGATCGCGATGTCATAATGTAACCGATTGTCAGAAATATTCCTCTCAGAAATAAACACTGTTTTGTGTAAACAGAGTCAATAGCTTTGTATTCACTTCCATATATGCATTACTTAAAAATTAAAAAGATAAACCGACAAAGCTAACACTAAACTGTCATTACTTAAACTATGTATAACAAATACTTTATTCAATATTTCCAGTGTAGTTTGCCTACTTTTTGATAGAAAAAAGAAATGACCCCAACCATAACAAATGCGTCTTAAAGTTGGTGAGTTACATCGAAAAGTGAATTGAAAAAGAATACTGATTTCTGAAACCAAATAAAAAAACGACTTCTACCTGTGCTTCAATCTTGCTTGAAGTCTTTCGGAGATACCAAACAATTTTCTAATGAACTCAACAGAATTACTTCGGTTGCTGCCATTGTTTTGAATCATAATATTGTTTTTGGCCTGTATAAAAATCCTAAGTATGTTAACCGTGCCTTCCTAAATTACACGCTTGCATCTGACTGTGAATGAATTTGCCATAGCAAATACTGAACCAAAGACCACAAATTGGGTGTAATATTATTTTTCCGAAAGAAAACAGTACAGTATGCATAAAAGAAAGTGATCAACTTCACTACTTATTGAAGCTACTGTGCTTCAAGGTGCGACACTCTATCCTTTTGTTTCCGTTCCTTTTTACATAAATTACCTCTTTCTGCTAAAGTTATTTTCGTTAAGTATGCTGATAACCTGACGGCTTTGTTCCTAAAGATTGTTTTAAAATAAATTGTTCCTATCTGAAATTAGTCATCAGTCTCCCATGAATGGTTTTAATACAAACCTTTTTAAAATATCGGACTATTATTCTTAGTCTCTGGTGTAAAGGAGATTTATTTGAGCTAATTTAGTCACATAACCCTTTTAATATTGATGGTACTGCTGTAAAAAAACAAACTGAGTGTCTCCTTGCTTGAATTCGGCTTTTCTGAAGATTTTTGTTGGCCATCCCATATTTTGACGACCTATCAGAGATCTTTTGCTTAACATAATTTATAATAAGGCTGGAATTCTCTGGTACGACTGACATAATTCAGCAGTTTATTAATTCCTGTATTTTACCTGTTCTTGTTTGTTTCCCCCAAATCTTTCCTGAACTTCTGAAAAAAGATTGTGTTACATAGCAGAAAGATTTGAAAGCTACCAGCAAGAATAGTGATATGTCCCTGGCTTAACTGATGGACACTATACTCAAGAGAGATATTTGTTGTGCAGGCGACTAACTACAACGACTTTATAAGACGCTGAATATCGTCTTTAGCAACGACTTTCTCCTTATATTTCCTCACGGACGACAAACCAATAAGACTAAGTTCGTTCAAATGGATACAAAAATTCGAAAATACCTTATCTAGCATGCATCCTATGTGAATAAAAAATATTAGATTAAAAGTTACCTATCAACTTTGAAACAGTAAATAATCAGTCATTTTAGTATTCGAACCATTTGCGTGATATTGTCTTCATTATTATCATTGGTATTATTGTTATTATCTTCGCAATTCAAAAGATATCGTTATTACTATTGCAAACTCTGGACCGATGCGAAGACCTAGAAGATTTGGATTTCACCACCGATGATGATTTATGTCTAATGTCTTGTCGCACAAATTTGAAGATCTACAGGCTAAAACTAACAAGTTGGCAGAACAGGCAGCGAAGACAGGACTTCAGGTGAACATAAAGAAGAAAGAGGTGATGAAGATACCTAACCAACAACAACAAGCACCAATCAACATCAACGGGAGAAATCTAAAGAAAGTTGTCTCTTTCACCTACCTACCTTGACAGCATCATCTCAACAGCAGGCGGCGTCATAGATGACGATGTCAAAGCAGCCAGGATCTAAAAGACAGAAAGACACACTCTCATTAGTCTGAAATAATCAGTATAGAGATGCACTCAACTCAACTCCACTGTAATACACTGCACTGCACTCGGCATAAAGCGTGAACAAGATCTGGATTTTCAACACCAGTATCAAATCAGTCCTTCTATACTGTTCAGCGGCGGCGCGTTATAAAAAGCATTTCCAACAAAATTCACACATACATCAACAGCTGCCGCCCATGCTTACTCGATGCTGACACTGAAGATCAGGTGGCCAGCATAAGAATAAGCAATAAAGAACTCTGGTCTGGCAACGAACCAACCAACAACCCATCGCCCAACAAATATTAAGAAGAAAGTCGAGATGAATTGGATTGCTCGTACACTGAGAAAAAGACAGTTTGGGGACGTTACCCGCCAGGTCAACCTCTCGAGTGGAATCCAAATGGGAAACGATGATTTGGGCGTCCGAGGCGAGAGTGACATGGAGAAGACTGTGTGAGGAATAAATGAAAGCTTCTGGACAATGGTGGAGTCAGGTTGAGGAGATTGCAGAGAAGAGAATGAAATGGAGGCGTGCTACTGAAGCTATGTGTTCCCCTAGGAAACCAAAGGACTAATAATAATATAATAAATCGAAAATGTTGTAAAGAAATTAGTTTTTTTTTCCAATATTTAAATGCTGAGAATTCCAAAGTGTATCCAGAGAAAGCTGCCTGTGAGTTGTTACTGTCACTATTACAACCCACTACTAGATACATTCAACAGGAAGATTAAATAAACTCCACACAGCTCAACAGGTGTTAGCTAATATTTGTTCATGGTAAACATGGTGTCTGAATTACAAACCATCAACATTAGGGTGAAGATTATGCAGTTTAGTAGTTCTTGATTTCCAGTTATTCACCTTATAAATATTTGTTTGACAAACATTTAACTACCCTGTCAAATGGTTGATTATGAACATGTCAATCCCTCTCGAATTCAAATTGAATATTTAACCTGGGAATAATCTAGAATGGTTCAAAAACAACTGAACAGGAGCAATACGTTCGTGTTCATGACACGGGGTTAACATGAGTACCACCAGCAGATTCTTCTTCTTCAGGTGAACTTTAAGGGGAACACATCAAAATTATTCATTAAATTTATTTCCTCAAATGAGCCTACATAGTGAGCATGAAAGGGATTTGAAAGACAATGAATAACTCAGAAAATTCTCATTCTCGGCCAGAATCATAAGTCGAGCATATTCAGTTGCTGTGTACATTACAAGCCAATGAAAATGCTGCTACTAGAATTTGATTGTCAGTTAGACTTTTCAGCTTATTTATATGAACAGTGCTAAAATAATAAAAATTTTTAAAAAAAGCAAGATCTTTGTTTTGATTGTAATGCAAGACTACAAATATTATTAGTTAGATACCTTCAACATGCCACTGTGATGAGTTGTTTCAAATAACCCATGTTTAATCACATCATTTCCATAGTTTTCTTTCATTTTATTCACTTTGTAATCATTAGAAATGCAGTTAACAGATTCTTTATTTGTAAGCCAGATATACATATTTTGACAACGTATGGAATCTAAAAACATCATATCAAGAGATAAGTGCTAGAATCTGGAAGAAACAATAACTCACATTTAGTAAATATCGGAGCTATAAAGTAATTAGTTTAATGTTTGTGCCTCTCGCAGATTTAGAATTATAGAATAATTATTAACTGACGAGAGTTATAAATCTGTGTAATCAATTATTTCAGAGTTATTTACCTTTTACCTGTTATAAGATATAAACTTTTAAACTCATATTCAATCATTTTAATTTACTTCTCAACCTAAATGGTCTTATAACATGAGTATGGTTAACTAACTATCCGAAAGTTAGACTAGCAAAGCATATAACACACGCCAAAAGAGCAACTCTATAAACCGTTTTCAACGTATAATCTTTGTTTCTGAATAATCTTTAATCCACATAGTTATGTTATTCCAACTTATGACTGAAGGAGGTTGTTTAAACGATAAATCATCGACATTGAATAAACAGTCTTGTGTCTGTATGCCACTTACATATTAATGACGGACAGTGTCTAGTAGCGGAGTCCAGGATGCGTGCTTCAGCCAATCTAGGACTCATCAGTTAGATGTACTGCCTCCCAGTGAGCGATATTGTTCCTAGTAAGACCCAAACCTAGGACCAGTCGCCTCAGAAGCCAGATTGTTATCCACTAGGCCACCGAGTCATGATAGTCACTTCTTGTGTAACGGGTATAACTTCTATATTGTTACTTGTGTTATCCCGTCTTTGAGTGAATCTAATTGATCGATCTGTATTGTCATATGGAATACTGTGTGGATGTTTCTATATTGTCTGTGTTTTTGCGAATTCCCTACTGAATATAACGACTGCATGAAGAGACAAGTTGCATAGTCCGTTACATTAAACATAAATTTATTATGCCATCGCTATTCATCTCAAAATATAAACCTTTAGTTCATCAAATTTATATTCTTTCGAAGTATTAATTCACAGAGAGTTAGATACTTCTGTTCCTGGATGTAATGGAACATACACAATATGTTATAAAGTCGATAACACTGAAAACCAGGCAACCATATTCTTATTCACCGAACTCTCAGACACCTGGCGCTATAGCAAAGCTAAATTAAAATGGAATTATTGAATAGATAACACAACCGAGCGATTATTGTATTTTATTGATGTTACCACAATAGATTTATTGATTTACGTGAGAGTCTTAAATCTCAACTTCAGAAACATTTTCAGTGTTTATGTCGTTGAAACAAACTTTCAAGTATTGAATATATAGATGTATATGTACACGGTTTATACTTTGCTACTTTGAACATTTCAAAAATATCATACATGGTTTGTTGTAAATTTAGTTGAAATTTCGCTGACAGAATCTACTTTTAAGCAATAAATAAACATATATTTAAAATTTGGACGGTGGCCGTATTCTGACCAGAGACCATGTGAATTCCTGATGCGTTACTATAGCTTGATTGCATTCACACTGGTTGCCTAGTTAGGAGTTCTCATTCCGATCCAAATCTACTTGAAATACAGAGGGGGGTATCATATTGATTATCATTCTATCTGAGATAGGCATGGTTTGGCAGACTGGTATTGATATTGGGTGATGATTAAAGGTAAAATGAAAACTTGGATCGCGTCCGGATTTGATCACACAGTATTATTACTAGTCTGCCAAACCATGGCTATCTCAGATAGTCAAAACTATAATTTATATATTTTAAAATACTCTAGCAGAAATTATCTGTGACATTTTAATTTCTAGAAGTTGGAGGATTAAGTTTTTAAAATGTATTTAGTTCTCACATGGTTATTTTCTCATATGATTTATCTTACATTTGATAAAAGATGTACGTATTATCAGATGCAATATTTGAAGTTATGTAGTCAGTGCACTCTCCTGTCACCCACTGTAAGTCATTCAAATATCCCACAAAAGGTTGAAAAAGTAATCTTATCAAGTAGTCTTCAAAATAATAAGTTATATGGTTATCTAAAAACTGATCAGTTTGAGAGATCAAAGAACCAAGGTTAACTACAAAGTTTATTGATCAAATTTTGAATATTTAACTAATTTCTGTGGAAAAAATAAACATTTTCTCAAGTGAAAAACTACAGGCATTTCATGTGGAATTTTCAACTGTGAGTGATCACCTATCTGCTGCCGTTTCTTTTTCTCAAGACGTAGAAGCTTTTACTTTCATAATTTTTGTATAGTTATTTTCTCATAACTCAATCACATGAATGGGGATAACTCGAAATTCTATAAATGGTTAACATTAAAGTGTATTTCAACACAATAATGCGAAAAGATCTTGACTTTATTAAATTTGATATTAGGTTTGTTGATTTGCTAAAGATTTGAAAAATAGCATTTCAAGCATTAAATTTTATTTGTACCGTTTCTATTCATCAACAACTTTTGAATATGGTGCCAAGTTATTCATCTTTAATATATGCGTATGTTACGAATCTTCACATTATGTATGGTCGAACTGAATACTTCAAAAACAAATGTTAATAGGCAATTTGAGTTGATTCTCCGCATAACCTGCCTTAGCATCGCTCATTTACCTCTAATAAAAAATTATTCCATCACTTCTTGGCAGAAAGATTTTTTTTTAATTTACACTGCTTGATTTACCATCAAGTCTAACATATCCTTATTAAAAACTAACTGGACAGAGATGTTTAACTATGTTATCCTAATAGATTTTGGAACAAGAGCATACTAAATGAACTAGTAGTAAAACAAAGTGGATAGATTCTAAAAGGATTTAAGGACCTACAATCTATAAAACAAATTACCTTGTATTAAATTTGTTAATGCTTCATCCATTTGGAAAATTGAATAACTGGTCCACTCTAAGATATCTTCCAGATAAAAAGTGTTTGACTGTTGAACAATATGTGGTACTATAAAAGTTAGACAAAATTACTATATAACAACTAGATTGAAGCCAGAGACAGTACAGTAACTTAAGCTTACTTAAAGTGTCTCAAAATAGGCAATATGAAGTTGAACGCTCTAGTACATAATTTTTAAGAACTGTTGACAAATTCTAGATAACCAGACTCACGCTAAAGTATGATTACATGCTAACAACACTTCACATACTATAGATTTCAAGCAAATTCTTTCATCACCCAGCAGTGATCATCTAGAATTTTGATACAAGTGTTAACGTTTCTTTACTATTTTTTCTGCACATTTCCAGATTAGTCAACCTCGGAAAACTAAACCGACACATTGGTTAACTCATAAGAAATCTTCGAATCCATTCATACTTGATATGGTGATCACATCGTATCTGAAAGTGATGAAAAATAATTCTTTTCTGCAGGATTCTACTTATGAAAGGTACACAGGTTTTGTCGTAATAATATCCAAGATAAGATTTAGATGCACGGAAAACCAGCCTATACTTTATGTCCTAAAAGTCAGCTTGACTATAACAGAAAGGTAACTGTGCAGAACAGTAGAACCTTTCATCGTCGTTTATAATGACATTTTTCTCTCAAACATTTTAAGACAATTAACAGAGCAGGATTACAACCGACCATGCTTTTTATATGAACATCAAAAGGTTTAATGTCTATCGGAAATAAGCAGGACGTCTTCATATATATTGTTTCTCGATTTAAACAATAAACTCCCCTATTAGGTTGTATTGTGTTATCTGAGTTGGGTTGTTTAGTCGTGGAGCCTGTTGACTCTTCCCCTGCTCCACCTCTGACCTTTCTGTCATGTATCATTTCTCTCATTGGTTGATAGATTGGGTCTATGTCTATACATCTGTTGATTGCTCACTCACTCACTGACTAACTGACTGACCTGAATGCCAAGCATCTAGGGATTCCCTGATATTCTCTTTGTGTTTCCTCTCTCCACAATTTCTACATTGTCAAAATTGAATTCATGTCCATAGTTGTTATCCACGTGCATTGGAATGAGTGATGAAATGTCGTGACGTTTGATAGCCAATTTGTGTTCATGTTGACGAAGGTGAAGAGGGCGACCACTTTATCCAATATAGTGTTGACTACAGTTGTTGCAGTTGATTTTGTAAATGATGTTCGGTTCATCTTCTTTGATTGTTGCATACTTTGGTCTGCATAATAGTGTTTGTAGGGAATTTGTTGGTTTATGATGTACACCAATTCCAAGTGGTCTCAGCAATCTTGTCGTGATTTCTGATATATTCTTTATGTATGGTAGGATGATGCGTTTATTGATTTCTGTTGATGACTTTTTAGTTGATGATATACAGGATAGGGAACTTCTGCTGCAGTTTCGTGGGTATCCGTTCTTCTTTAGGATGGACATCAGGTAATTTTCTTGGTTTCTCCGTAAAGTTGTTGTAGTGCAGTGTATTCCCTCTTTTTTGAATAGAGTGTGCACGCAACTGATCTTGTGAGTTGTTAGGTTTTTGCTACTGCAGTTGAGGACTTGGTGAACAGAGATCAATAAACGCATCACCCCACCATACATAAAGAATATATCAGAAATCACGACAAGATTGCTGAGACCACTTGGAATTGGTGTACATCATAAACCAACAAATTCCCTACAAACACTATTATGCAGACCAAAGTATGCAACAATCAAAGAAGATGAACCGAACATCATTTACAAAATCAACTGTAATAACTGTAGTCAATACCGCACTCGACAAAGTGGTCGCCCTCTTCACCTTCATCTACATGAACACCTATTGACTATTAAACATCACGACATTTCATCACTCATTTCAGTGCACGTGGTTAACAACTATGGACATGAATTCAATTTTGACAATGTAGAAATCGTGGAGAGAGGAAACACAAAGAGAATATCAGGGAATCCCTAGATGCTTGGCATTCAGGTCAGTCAGTTAGTCAGTGAGTGAGTGAGCAATCAACAGATGTATAGACATAGACCCAATCTATCAACCAATGAGAGAAATGATACATGACAGAAAGGTCAGAGGTGAGCAGGGGAAGAGTCAACAGGAAAGTCTACGCAGTCAGTCAATGACACAACAATCAAAGGGAAGAAACAATCACAGACCACGTCGTCAGAGCAAGCCACTAAATCACTGACGGAGAGATATTGACAGCTCATTTAATAATGAAGTTAGTGTTGACGATGTCGTCTAGGAAGACGATCGAGGCTCCACGACTAAACAACCCAGCTCAGATAACAAACTGCAATCAAAACCATTCACCTGAGCCACAAATATTCTTTACCATAACTCCCTCACTGTCAAAAAGATACGTATTTGTTGTGCATTTACTTGTAGAAATAAATGTTTCATTGAAATTAATTCCAAATATCACTTGTTCATATTTTCATCCGGAGATGTTATGAATATGAATATCGAATTATGTTTAGGACATTGTCCAGTAAATAATACTAGTTCACTATAAGAAACATTAATAAACAGAATAAAATGGAATTATTATCTTCCACAATGACTAAGTTTTATTTTCAGATCGTTAACTTACTATTTATTATGGGAGCTCCATTAAAGTAATTACTGAAACCTTGCAATGGCTGATAAGCTGTTTTTTTAACTGAGATATCATTTCGTGTCTCGATGAATGGTGATTTGACCTTATTGAAAGAAGAATAGGAACAACTGCTTTTGTTTGAGGATAATAAAACTGAACTGGGTTCGTAAACAAAATCGGACACAGAATGATTATCAGGTACATTGATTTCATTTTGATAATTTGTTGATAAAATTCCATTGTCACTTGTCAGGTCATACTGCGTACATGTGTGTTAGATGATAAAAGAAAATTGGAACTTGACTGTGAAACATCTAATATCACATCACGTTTTACTTCGTCTAACTTGGGTATATCAGTCTTCTCTAGAGCACTAACTACCAAAGGATTAGTATCTCCACTGATACAAATTTCTCTTTTAGTATCATTTGGTAGCTATTAAAAGAAGAATATTAAGAATATTAGTTCAATTCAACATTTTAAACATAGTCAATTAATTGCCTATAATTTCGCAGTATCAGAATTTGCCTCATTTTAAAGTAAACATTATGTGGGACAAAACAATAATAACTCCAAGAATTCTCCTTTGTTAATCTCTGCTAATATTCTATATCGTTTTGAACATAAATTCTGAACACAAAAATCTTTGAGGTAAATGGGGATGTTTCATTTATGAGTAGTATTCATCATGGACTGATATCAGTTAGGGAACCATTAAAAACCTGGGAGCACTGGACAGTGGCTGAATGGTTAACCCGTTTGCCCTGAAACCTAAAGGTCCTGAGTTCGATCCCTAGCCGAGTCGTGGGTACTTACTGATGAGTCCCATGCTAGGACGAAACAACTGTCCGGTGTTCCCAGATTCTCAATGATTCCGCAACTGATGTCCGTCCACGATGAATACTACCTGTAAATAAAAATCTTTATTTACAAGTTTGCTGAGATGGTCTGTTGAATTAATTAGCATGTCTTTCATTTTCTATCTTCGGTTGATTTTCAGAGGGAAAATCGGTTTCATTTATATACTGTTATCTAGCAATTATAAACAGATTTAGCTTTCTTTTTGCAAGGATTGCATCGATCTTAATTCTGAATAAAACTTATAACTTTTTAAAATGTGTATAAGGTAAATTTATGAATAGTGCAGAATCTTGAAAGCCTAATAATGATGACACTAGAAAAGGATGGTTGGTAAACTTTCTTAGGTTTCATTATAAAATACGTATCATTGAATATTCATTTTCTGATTAAAAAGAAAGTTTTTTAAAGATCGCATAATTTAATTTTTTTCACAGTCGTCAACTACAACTTTTGGATGATAAATATTCAGGGAGTAAATGGTAAAAATACAAAATACAAATACCCATCTACCGTCACCTCCAACTGTTTATATCATTTCACTTGGGCTTGTGGAAGCAAGTATATAGGACAGGCAGAAAGGCGGGTATCTATTCGATTTTATGGACATATTCAGAGAAATCAGTGTCTGAATAGTGGCAAGGTCTTCGCCACTTGATGGAAACACGACACAAATAGATGTTTCTCAATCCTTCTGGATAATCAGCAAACAATGGACACTATGCTTATGACTGTTTGTGGAAGCTTTCTAGATCAAACATTTTCAAACCGACTTATGTACTCAGGAGGAGACTGTAATTTACCTTTCTTCACCTTGATAACTGTATATAATATTTACATGTGTATGTGTATAGTCTTCTCGTTTTTTTCTGTCGAATTATCTCTTCGTTAACTAATTACTAACTGTTAATCACCTAACAATTTTCAAGTTTTTCATGTAACTACGTAACCAATTAGCCCTGCCCCACTCCACAGCTGCAGAATTTTATATCTCATCACATATAAATTCCCATTGATTTTGACTAAGATATGTAACTATTATTCCTGTTACTATTTATTGACATACTTGTTGTTCTCCGTTGTTTTGTTGGATCGAGGTATCCGCATACGAGCCCATATGCCAAAAGAGGTTGTACAAGGAGTGACTATTGTTCCTCCGTGGCATAGTGGCTAACGCCTTGGCGTTTGAAGCGATGGGCACGAGGTTTGAATCCCAGTGAGGACAACATCATTGGGGTGCAGGTACATTCAGCTGACGAGTCCCAAATAGAACGACACGCGCGTCCTGGATTCTCTTGCTAGCCACAACCAACCAATTCCTGTGTTTCATTGATTCACTACTTTATTGTTATTCCTGGATTTCAAATCTCCATTTATTTCTGTGTGTTTAAAGTATGTTATGTTGTTTTTACTACTAATAATTCATTTCAAATGTAGGCTGTTTACAGGTGATGAAAGGCGATGAAATAAAATGAGCTCATTTTACTCTGCAATTGTCTTTGTTCTTGCATTCTTCGGAAATATATTAATCAATAACTTTATGGACAAATAGACTCACTACATTCCTTTTTAAAATGAAGGAATAAATGTTACAGTAAAAACTGTTGTATTCAAGATATAAATGACTAGCTATCCACTTGTGCACTGTGAAGGTAGACGTTTTGTTCCACTTTGGTAAAAGGCTTTATAGACCAATTCTGTACTAAACTGGATGGAGTTTTACAGATGATAATGGTTTGAGAGGATACTGTTATCAATCTTTCAACTGTTCAGAAATGCTGTTTCTACATACAATTAGTATGTATCTTACCTAGAACACATGTGCCGTATACTTGATATCAGCTAAAAAGTTCAGTGGTGAGCACTGGAAAACATCTCTTTCACGTCGTGAATTCTGACAGAAAGACTACTGAGAATACAGTTTCGATATGTTTATTCATAGTTTGAAGATAATCAGCATAAGTGTGTATTATGTTAGGTTTTAGTCTCACATATCTCTCTGGCAATTCAATAGACTTACTAAGTCATATGGTAGCAAGACTCTTCCATACTTTCGTCATATTTAGGAGTAGACTAATCAAAACCTCGAACTACTTTAATTAGAAAAAGTAATCATTATATATATATATATATGTTGTTTTGTTTTGACTTCTCTATTTTCAGGCTTTCCAATCCTTGTTATCTACCCCAGTTATGCTGGTTTGATAGGCTTTACATTTTCGTGTCATGATTTTTTCGATAATCAGAATTGCCTGGTGGCGTTGCATTCATTTTGTCCAAAGAAGAAGCCGGAAAAGACCAGCCCTTACATTGCACACTTCATGGATTTCCAGTGGAAATAGCAAAGCTCACCTCTGAGTTCAGACTCAACATGCCCAAATTCTAATCCTTCAGCAATGGCATCAGCCATCAACCTTTGTGCTGCCTCTGTCTTTGACTCTGTGATCAGTCAGTCACATCAATGAAGCCATCGTCACCAACCGAACTCCTTTTCTGAATCCTGGGAAGGTGCATATTTCTGAAGCATCAAATACAACAACATGTCGGCAGTTATGTTCCTATGTGTATCGGAAGCACTCAGAATGAAAGTATTTTTGTGAACCTACTTAGTTAATTGAGACAGTAACGTAGACTAAACTGAACTGCATTCCTATGCACCAGTTATGGAAATTAGTTCAGCATCCTACAGTATTCCCTTCCTGATACATTTGTTCTTCTCGATGTATATAACTTACTCATTAGAGCCTTAGTAATTATCTGCACCTAACTTCAAGGACAGAGGAACCTGTTACTGTGTCGAAAGACTTTCTAATCAGTTTCCTTCCTTATATATGTCTGAAGGCAACATACAGTTCCACACTCTCTTCCCTATTTCGTACTGTTTTCATTTAAAATATATCAACATTAATATTTTGAAACTTAGTTCGCTATCTTCATAGTATTTCCCTGTTATTTGTTCACATGGTAGTTAGCTTAAGAAATATGTGTTCATTTACGTTTGTGACTTGTTGTTGGCTACTGGTCGATGAAGCAATAAAATATGAGATTCGGAGATATTTCCTTTCAGTGTAAATATGAAGATTCCTATTGATAGATTCTCGAATCTAAGGTGCGTCAACATCCATGGAAAAAGTCGTAAGATACCAGTATGCTAATTTTGGCTAACAGACATATAAAAATTGACAAAGATGAGTAAATTTCACATCTTTAAAAACCCAACTTACCTCAGCATGATTCATATCACTGAAGACTGAATCCCATGTCGAAACCGCCAAACTACTAGTTTCATAATTGTGTGGAGTTGCTGCTTGACTATGTTCCAGTCTAATATTCTTGTTGTACCAAGACTTGTAAGTGGATAAACGAGTATTTATTATGAGTAAAACTTTCAGATGTGGATATTGAGACAGAAGTGAAGGTAAAATTCCTAGCAAATTCCACATCCACCATTTGGACTGTTGGCATAACAGTTTTTCTCCCTCTTAACAAAACAGTAATCTTTCTGATCATTTGAATTTGTTGATACAAAACTTTCTGGTATTTCATCTTCTTCTACTTCATCCACAATGATATGTGTTGTCCCAACCATAAGTCGAGAATCAGCATATATTGTTCGTAGCAAAACCCCATGAGTACAGAAAGTTAAAAGAGTTCTTGGAGAGACTCTGTAAGAAATAACATCGATAAAAACCAAGCATAACTTGAGAAAAATGCCAATTTGGGATCAAAAATATTATTTCTGCATGGCATCACCTGAAGTAATGCCGAAAAACAACTGGTTACAATTTTCAGATCTTAGCTGACTACACTACAGGTATTACCGTTCACTTTGCTAGCTACTTTGACCCAAGAAAAATTTGAGTTTGTAAAGAATTATGGATTTCGGAGTAAATTTCATCATGGATTAATATCATGAGGTGAACCGTTGAAAACTTAGGAGAGATGGACAGCTTTTTCCCTACTGTTTGTAACTTACCAGAAACGCATCTCCATGATTAATTGAGAATCCTTTTTCAAAAACCTTTCGCAGTTTTAGCGACTAATTTGCCGTTCAGCCACCCGACTGAACTTCATTGGCTAATTTTCTGAAACTAACGATGCACTAAAGTGAATCTGCGGAATTCTCTTCACAAGTGTCCAAACATTCAGTGGCTAGATCTCGTGCATTCGCTAATGTAGGCATAGTATTAGATTGTGGAACAGAAGGCGCAATTCTAAAATGCATACCAGTTCACAGTCGACGATATGCTGTCCAAATGAACATATTTCCGAGAATCAGAAGCAAGAGGGACACTTCTTGATGCCTACTCATAGTCTCGTGCTATGCTGCTGACGGCAGCTCAGATGATAAATGTAGTGAATTCTATCAAGCTGTCAATCTCGCCACACAAACCGAAACGTTAGGATGCATCCTGAATAATAGGCGATTTGAACTCTCATGTGGCAAAGCTGAATCAATCAGAAAGGCATCCAGGAGATATCTGTGGGATCTCATACCCACTTACGAACAACTATGATGAACTTTTTAATTCTGTCCAGTCAGACATTTGTTACCAGTCAACATAAACTTCAAGCCTATGGAGACACACTGTCTCACTTGACGTTCACCATCATGAAACCAGTGGAGGACACGAATAGATCAAAGAGGAATAAGCCATCGTTGAAGGGGATTGATGATAGAGTATTTCGACCATTTGGAAAGCACGTGCATGCTTACACCTTAGTTGGTGCAGGAGACGGACAGCAGTGAAGTGACTGAATGATCGACTAGAAGATGAGAATATCCTGTGTGTGTGTGTGTGTGTGTGTGTGGAAGGAGGGGACAGCTAAACACCCATCACAACATGTCAGTAGTTATCTGCCTGATGAAGCTCGGTATTATATTCAGTCTGCTTCTAAGAGAGTGGTAGCAACAGTTGGCAACCGACATGCGGAGGCTGGTGAAAATCAGTGGAATTTCATCATTCCATTCAAGCTGATTGATGCAGGATGACTCATTCTTGCTGGCTCTAACGATAATGGGGATTGAAAGCATTTTTGATGCAAATTGATTAAAAGTGGTTAAAATGATTGCCGGCAGGTGGGAGAGTGGGTGATGAAAGCAAAATGGGTGAAGAAGACCTCAGTATTATGTAGTATTGAGCAGTCGGTCGGCTTTATCAATGGTAGTGTCAAGCAGAAGATGATGGTTAATGAGAGTGTCAGCGAAGATGAGTGATCTCTGATAACCTCTTTGGGTAAGTGGCTATAACGTTGAGTGGAGTACTTTAAAACACATTTCAGCTGACCCATAGCATCACTTCACTTTTCTAGAATCTGGCAAGAACCTGAATGTTTTGTAGATGTCCATCCTATAACTCTTCTACAGTTTGAGAAGGCTATTTAAAACCTGGAACAATGCCCAGCACTAGGATCCGGAGACTTACTGTCGTAGGTTTTAATATAAGCAGGAAGTACATTTCTTACGACAGTAAGAGAGGTATTAGGTAGTGTATCCTTGTCAGTCCGATCAACTTTGCTGATCATCCCATCTCAGGTAAAGGGAGAGACTTTTTTTATGAAAGCGTCAGATAAATCAGTTTCACTGGTCTGTTGTCCGGGAACTTAGGACCCATAGTTATCCGACATCTACCTGGAACTCAAAAACAACAAACTCCAGAAACCACCCAGTTTTATGACTTGAAAACAGTTAATCGGTCAGATCTTCACTCTTCAACAGGTTCTGGAAAACAAGCATACTTGCTGGCTAGGGTTAGACCTGAAGGTGTCAAATAGTATTGTCGACCAAGAGATGTTGCGACGTGGTTTGAAATTGTGTGGGGTTCCAAGAATGTATATGATATTAAGTAGTTAAGTCTGTCAACTCAAAACTATGCATCCATTTAAGGGCTCACTGCGAGGTCTCATCAGATGTAAAGACAACCACTTGTTCTAAGAAAGCCTGCTTATACCTTTCCTGTTTAAGTGCACTAGGCACGTGCTGGTTGACATAATTGTAGATGATTCAAAGTTTACATGAATCGACTGATATCAAGCAGGATGCATAGTTAACTCCAAGTGAGCAGACAATGTATTGACCATAAGCGAATAAAGTAGTGCTGGGAATCTGAGAAGGCAGATGGAATGGAACTGGACTCCCAAACTGTCAACTGGAGAGGAGTTAACAATCTAATCTACTCCAATATTGTCACCCAGACGACACGACACGACAACCACGAGCACGCGGATGGAGCGGCTATCATGGTGTCCACAACAGCATCGAACGTTCTCATGCAATCGGAACCAATCTACTCCTCCAGCATCAGGATCTTGACAGCAACACTCAAATCAAAAGGAAGGAAAGTCACAACTATACAATACCAATGCTAAGCTACGCTACACACCTACAAATAATGCAGATGAAGAGAAGAAGGAGGAATTCTACAGACAACTGCAACCAGTACTGGACAAGACACCACTCGAGTTGGTGACATCGAAATTCATTGTAATGGATGAAGTGGAGTGGGGAGGGGAGGTGTGGGGTGACATGAATGCCAAAGTGGGAGCAGACAACACAGGCAGAGAACTCATCATGGATCGACAGGCACTCGGTGAAATGATGACGGAGAATGCAGAACTGTTTTGCAGACTTCTGCACATTCGACGATTTGGTGGTTGGAGACACTGTGTACAAACACAAGGATGTTCACAAGGCAGCGAATGGATTTGATTTCACCAGACACCACACCAATACACACTATACTGAAAATCACATCGACTTCATCTCAATGTGAAGAAAGTGGAGATGGAGACACAGCCTACTGGACACATGACCAGATCGAGAAGAGGAGCAGATGTAGGTTCACACCACTCACACCACTATGCAGTGCAAGCAATCCACCTTGAAAATCCAGTTGGAAGCCTTCAATTGAAGGAAGCAGGTGACAGACCACAGTTGTAGTTGAACACGCAGAACAGAAACTGAATAGAAGGATGAAACTACAAAGGACATCTTCACGTCAGGCAGGAAACCTGTATGGAAGACGAGTGGAACTCTTTGGAAGCTATGTGGAAGGCAACTTGCATAACCGTATTAGGAAGGAAGAATAAACGAGGACATGAATGGAATGGATCTCGACAGACACATGGGAGCGGCTAGAGGAGGAAGATGAAGGTGGTGGTGGTGAAGCAGAAGATGGACCAGTGCAGTGTAGTGCAGTGGAGAGATGAACAACGAAAAGAGGAACTGAACACAACCTATAAAACACTACACTGTACAAGGGAAGAAGACTGGGTATGGAAGACAAAAGACACTTCTACGATACACTGGCAAGTGAAGCAGAACAGGCTGCAGGCTGGAGGTAGGAGAGACAGAGACCTGACAACACTATATCAAATAAGCAGGTTACTCTCTGGGAAGGAAGAGACCAACATAGATGAAGTTGATGAAAGACAGTGAAGGAAAGCTAGCTAGCGAAGAGTAGAAACAAGGAGGCGATGTGCTGACCACTTCAAAAAACTGTTGAATTGAACACCAAGACCTGTAACTCCTTCAGTAATACTACCAGCAGTCCAGCCACAGAACTATTTGAGAACACTAACACTCGGACAAAAGTAGAAGTGAAGTTCTGAATCCCATAAAGTTGTTGGAAGCCGGGAAAGCAGCAGGACAAGATGGAATTCCGCAGGCAGCACTGAAAACAGACACACAGATACCAGCGGACATGCTCAAAACACCATTTCAGATGGTCTAGAAGGAATGAAGGAAAGGTACCTGCAGACCGACTGGAAGAAGGGCTACCATGTTAAACTCCTAAAGACGGATGACCTAAGTCTTTTCAAGAACAAGAACTGGTGCGGAATCATGCTCCCGTCCAAATAAAGCTAAATATTAGGCTGCATCAATCTGGAGAAGCTAAAACATGAACTGGATTCAAAATTATTACCGGAACAGGCTAACTGGCTGGCTTTAGGAAGAATAAATCATGTGTGGACCAAATTGCAACGCTACGCTAAGCATCATCATAGAGTGGAGCATAGAATGCCAGTCAACTCAACTCAACCTCAACTTCATCCGCTTTGAAAAGGCCTTCGAAAGTGTCGACCTAGAAGTAATTGGACAGGCAGCTGCTTTAAAACTTCGGTCTTTGTGCCACAAACCTTTATCAACCTCATTCAACAGCTTCATGCTATGTGATGATGCTACATGTGAAGTGATTCACAATGGAAAGTTCAGTGACGCCTTTGAAGTGAAGACAGACAGGAGTAAAACAAGGTTGCCGCCTACTATCACCAAACATCTTCCTGTTTATGGTCGACCAGACTGGACTGGATCATGCAACAGATAACTGTGGGGAGATGGACATACGCTGGCTAGACCGATGAAAAGACCCTAGAAGATTTGGGTCTCGCCACCGATGATGATTTATGTCTAGTGTCTTATCGTGCAAAATCGAAGATCTACAGGCAAAAACTAACAAGTTGGCAGAACAGGCAGCGAAGACAGAACTTCAGGTGAACGTAGAAAAGACATAGGTGATGAAGATACCCAACCAACAAACAACAACAAGCACTAATCACCATCAACGGGAGATATCTAGAGGAAGTAGTCTCTACCTAGGCAGGGCAGCACCGTTTCAACTACAGGTGGAACAGATGATGACGTCAAAGCCAAGATGTGCCTTCATTAATCTGCGACAATCAGTGTGGAGATCTACTGCACTGCACTCAGCACAAAGGGTGAACAAGATCCGTATTTTCAACACTAATTCAGTCAAGTTAAGTCAGTGCTTCTATATGGTTCAGAAACCCGGCGCGTCACGAAAAGCATTTCCAACTAATTACAGACATTCCTCAACAGCTGCCACATACACCGGCTCGATACTGAAGATCAGATGGCCAGAGTAAGAAGAATAAGCAACAAGAAACTCTTGGAACGAACCAACCAACAACCATGTAGAAGAAAGTGGAGATGGATTGGGCATACACTCAGAAGACCCACTGGGGACATCACGCGCCAGGCCAGGCTCTCGAGTGGAACCCAAATGGGAAATGATGAGTTGGACGTCCGATGCAAGGGTGACATGGAGATCATGTGAGGAAGAAATGAAAGCTTGTGGGCAGTCGTGGTGCCATGCTGAAAACACTGCAGAGAACAGAGTGGAATGGCGACGTGCTACTGAAGCTGTGTGTTTCACCAGGAACCCAGAGGGCAAATAATAATAATAATAATATAAGCGGACACAGTAGCAACATACTGAGTCTGCTAGATGCCTCCGGCAGAAACTTGAGTATGCTTGACATGGATTTTTCGCGTTTCAAACACAAGATGACGCTTCAAAAGTTGTCTTCACTGACTCCTATTTTAAGTGTCGCGAATGAAATCTCAGCTTTAATACAATAGATAGGTTTTACTTGCACAATCTCTGGTGCCGGTGAGATTTTAGATCACATGTTGAGGGACGGGTACACTGCATCGTAGTCTGTTCTCTTCTGTTATACGGATGTCCGATATACATCGTTACGAAAGTTAGATATTTTTAGTCCACTCAAGGTGCCTGATAATATCATGCTCTCTATGACACTCAGTGCTCCACTAAAAAGTTGATTCACTTCGTCTAGCAGTTCGATAGTGGCAGAAAGGTGATGCACAGAATCTTCAGGTTTTCACTGGTGATTCGGTTCGTGTTTTTTCTACAATAAAATGCATATATAACTCGATGAACACTTTGAATACGTTGAAAGTTATTATTTGGACGTAAATTACCTTCATCATGATAGTGATTAAATACAGTTTTCAACCAACTTGAACTCTGGGGGTGAAACTGATCAACTTTTCTATGTGTGAGTGAATGTCATATATATGCGAAGTGTAAGTTGTTTGAATAACATGTAGCAGAATGCATGCATTAAATTATACTCGAAAAGCTTGGAGAAAAACTCCCTGAAATAAACTACCAAAGATCAAACTACTGAAATTTTCTCGGTATCTAATCATGATGAGGCTAAAATCCAACTGATTTGTTTTATTTTATTACAGGTGGCGATAGATAGATAGACAGATAGGTACGAAACTTGGAATATTCGAATGAGTGGGTGAGAAACAGTAATTTTAAGTGGTGATACACTTGTTAAACTATCTACTTTGTTCTCAACCGTGTTTATTGCTTGAGGTTGTAAATGCAGTAGTTTATTACAGATGTTAAATTATTTCGTATGAGGCGGTATAGATTTGTTTTTGTGGGATCATTAGTGGGCACTGCTGAGGAGTCGTATACCAGAAGGAAACAGCTGTCCAGTGGCCACAGGTTTCTAATGTTTCTCCAACTGATGTCAGTCCATGATGAAACCAACTTGAAAAAAACCACTGAATCCCCACAAACCACAAAATTCAATTGAACTAGTGCCCATTGATGATTAGCTTCGAGAGGTGATTCCAGAAGTTCTAATGAGAAGTCATGAACGATGAGGCAAACCTGATGGACGTGAGGGTAAATACTCAACGATGATATTGAGTGATGGTCACGCTATCTTGGACTGACAGAAGTAGGAAATATGGATCATTGGATTACGACCCAGTGGCTCAACAGTAACATGCTGGCCACGGAACCTGAAGGTTTGGGTTCCATTCCTGGCTGCGTCATGAGTACGCACTGCTAAGGAGTGCCATACTAGGATGAAACGGCTGTCTACTACTCCCAGGTTTCCAATGTTCTTCCAAATGATGTCAATATGTGATGAATACCAATTAAAACGTTTCTAAGTAATCATAATAATGAAACTTCAAACTTGAGGAGTTTAGAACATTAGAAATACTTTGACTCAAGTCGAATTTGATAACCAACTGTTTGGCCAACATTTTCGCCCCGTAAATTTGCTAGGCGTTCAGCATTGATGTGAGCATAGAGACGACGAGGCTGGGTACATATAAAACGACAGCGCTGACCATTAGCATGACATTCATTCAACAAAATCTGAAATGCAAAATTAACAAAAACTTATTAAACTTCCTTCCTATTAGTTATATTGTCTTCTAGTGATATATTTCCTCATCACTTATTGTCTTCAAGTGTTTTTTCTACTTTCATTTAGATTGTTTTTTTAAATCAGCTGTCAGGAAATTCACTACCGTTAACTTCTTTTTCGAAAATATGTTGCACCATACCATGTTGGTATATTCAACCTTATATTTCTTATTTACAATAATGAGCTTAGTTTTAACTCTACAGTATCATTCTTCATGCTTATTACCAATCTGATATCTATAACTGCTTTGATTTTGATACTGAATTTTTTTACGCCAGCTATTCAATAGAAATGCAATGCTAACAGTAAATGGTCACTAACTTTAGTTTAGCAGCAATACATGCAGAAGCAATTCCATAGTTATTTAATTTTTAACTCGATACCATATTCTGAAATACAGTAGTGGTTATGAACATCAAATATTAGCTGTGTTCAACAGCCTAGAACTAAAAGCTTCAGTAAAGTTTCTGAAACTTGTGAGAATCTTTGTCAGCAGACATACATCATCATAGATAAATCTGAAAAACTGAATGTTGTCCAAGGTTACACAGTATATTAGAAATGAAAAAATGATATCATTGATATCAGTGATGGATAAAATTAGGTGATGATTAAATTATGACAAGAATAAATGTGCAATGACTATTTACATCTAAACATTTTCCATTTAAAAGTAGTATTCATCATGGACTGACATCATTTGGGGAACCATTGAAAACCCGGGAGTACTGGACAGCTGTTTCGTCCTAGTATGGGACTCTTCAGCAGCAGGCACCCAAGACCCGGCTACGGATCGAACTCAGAACCTTCAGGTTTTACGGTGAACGCGTTAATATCGGGAAGCTCTAATGAAAAGCCGTGACCTGTGGGGTCAACCAGTCGGAAGTGAAGTGGATGCCAACTGAAGACCTTGGGTTATAGTAGCGCTATGTCGTGAATTGACAGAAGTTGGAAATTGTGAACCACTGGAAACTGACCCAGTGGCTGAATGATTAACGCGTTCACCGTGAAACCTGAAGGTCATGAGTTCGATCCCTGGCCGGGTCGTGAGTGCGTACTGCTGAGTCCCATACTAGTTGGACGAAACAGTTGTCCAGTGCTCCCAGATTTCCCATGGTTCCTTAACCGGTGTCAGTCCATGATGAATACTACTTCTAAACATTTTCCACTCAGCTGAAAAGATATCTGCGATAAAATAACGGAGTACAAAACTGTCATTTTAAGTTCTCTTTTTTTTAACAGCACAGTAACAGACAAGCCAGCAGAAGCCAAAAACATTATGAGGATTTCGAAGTGGATAGATGTGGATCAAATTAATGTCCAAGATTTACAGAAAGATGTGAGCAACTCAAACTTGAAGGATTACTATGCATTACATTTTGAGGTATAAAGAATGACCACGGAGATAACACTTGAAAAGTAAACCCGATTATAAACTAAAATGTAGATGATATATTGATGTAATAATTAATAAGTGAATTTCTATTTCAAATTTTACAGACATTATGTTACATAAATGAAATAACTACTCAGAGTATGGACTTTTATGTACCTGTGGTAAAAAGTGGTTTTCCGCAACCAGGAGGTCCTGAGATTATTATAACTTGACTGGAGTTTAGGTAGTGAATAATCTGTGGACGGTAATTTTTGATCATCTGTTTCGTAGAATCTCCTAACTCTCTATTCATTTGGACAGAAGAAGATGGTGGAATTTGAGGAACAGCGCCCATAAGTCGTCCAGTTGTGCTTCTTTGTCGTTCTTCTCTAGTTCCTACGAAGTATTTTTAGACATAACAAAAGGAATATCTGCGTCGGCATAATTTAATGCAAGAAATTTGAAGATCAGCAGTTAGGAAAATGCAACAAAAAAAGACAGGCTAATAGAACATATCTTAGAATGCGTCTTCTAAATTTCCCACTTTAAATGATTTGAGTATTGTCAAAACACCGCAGTTCAACAGAAGTATATGTTTATGATCAACTGATGAAATCAACGTGGAACCTCGTGCACTGGAGCATCGATTCAAGCTGCCATACTTCGCAGTATTACACGAACATCAGGTGGGTAGAAAAAGAGTAAAATAAAGGTTGACAAATTTGTGTGACATAATAAACAAACTGAGAATAAAGGTTGGCGTGAATATTCAAGCCTTAGGAGGTGTTAAGTAGTAAATACGTCTGTGCCATCGTGACCGATTTTCAGTCATACTATTAAAATTCTTCAACCACTGATTCCTTTCGTCTCGTGAATCCTAACCAAGCAGTTACGTCTACCCAAGTGGATCAAACCAACACTAAGAGACTTCATTCACCGGTGGCACATCTTCTTCTGGCTATCCTAAACCATGTTACAACCTAATCCAACTTCCTCTAATGTTGTACGCCGAGGCAGGCGGTGGCTTGGCTGGTGCAGTACCTGTTCTAGCCATCTCAATAAATGTTCACAACCTCATCAATTGAATGCTTTTCTTGCCTACTACCCTTCGCCTTATCTCAACATTGCTCACACAGTGACTCAACCGTACGCGAGCAATGCTACGAAGACACCTATGATCAAAATCCTATAATCGTTTCATGTCGTCTACTTTCAGTAGCCACGTGTCACATCTGTATAGCAGGAGAGAACGAACTTCAGAGCAGTACACTCGTCCTCTGATACATAGTCAGATATCTCAACAACCGTGACCATAGATGAAGTCAGGTTGGCAAGTACCGAATCCACCTTCCGTAGCCAAGCCAAGATTTCGTCAGTATCCATCTCATTCGGGCTGATGCAATTCCCCAAATAAGTGAAGTGATCGACACATTCCACCAACTCATTCCGTATCATTAAACTAGAAGTAGTTGCACACCAGTTCTAAAGCATCATCTCATAATTGACAGGCACAAGACGCTTACCAAACATACTCAGATTTCCACTCAATGCATCCAGAGGAGTCTGCATCTAATCAGAGTCTTCACACAGTAGAACAACATTATCTGTGTACTCCAAGTCAACTAGATGACCTCCAGAGAGTAGATCAATCCCTTTGAAGTCAGACGTACTTAAGACTATGTCCATTAACTTATGATGAATAAAACAAAAATAGGAATGTTCCTTTACCTTTATCAAGTCCTGAAACTCCTTCAACCCTTGGATACAACTGGAGTCTTTCTTTTGGTGTTAGTGGATTGGTTTGTAGTAGCTGAATTACTGTATTTCTGCTATTCCAAGTCAAACAGAACTCCGTCGTTGAATTCAAGAATGTTGTTTGAGCCACTGGTGAACATTCTCGCCTAATGGTTAGAACTCTTTCACCATTAACCCTGAAAGTAAATTAATTCTAACTCATTAATCAATATCTCAGAAAATTATCTGGTTTGATGTGTACATAAGACTTTGTACCTTGCCTATTTAATATTTTAAACAGTATCAATCAGTCAATTATTGATAAAACGTGCACCAGCACATTTATTGCATACATCAAGCCAATTGGAAAATAAGTTACTCTCCAAATTTAAATCGGAGTGTTTCTGAGACTTTTAGGTTTTTCGCTTCAGATTTCACACATGATCGCAAATAATTTTAGAAGTTATTGAAATTGATACAGTGGAAACATTTACTAACGGTACCACTAGTATATTTTATTGGAATTGACAAAGCAAGAGTAGTAATTTACTGCGCTACAAACGTTTAAGAAACTATAACTTTCAGTCAAATTGATCAGATAAATATCCACTTATCGTTACATTTGATACAATTGCTTTACATATGTGTAGGTAATGATGAGTGTATCTCAGCTGCAAAAATTCAGAGTTGAATTCATCTGACAAGCTTACGTCCACCTATCAACAAGAAAATAAACACTGAGCTTATTTTAAGTAGGTGATACGACTAAAACTACCAAGTATTTGCCAAAAATAAAGATGTTAAAACTAATTACATGACAATGCAGTTTACTGAGAATCATAGGTACGTATTAGAACTTGGTAATAACTGCATAATACTCAAACTTCTCATTGGTATGATTTAATCCCCTACGTAATATACAATTCATCATGGTAATGGAGTTCTTGTCATTAAAACACTTTAAGGAATGCTGATTACAATGGCTTAGCTTAAAAGAAGCTAAGATCTGTTTATCACTTTAAAGTTATGTTGTGAGTATTTTCCGTGTTAAAATGAGTGGCATTACAGTGAGCTTCTTTTTTTTAAATACACCACTGCTTTGCGAAAATAATAAAAATCGGTAATGTAAATATATAATGGGGAAATGTTTATGAAAGTTTGCCCATAAATTTATCTCTTCATCTGACGTTCATCTACAGACATTCATCCACAGCTGCCACATACGCTCACCCGATACTGAAGATCAGATGGCCAGAATAGGAAGAATAAGCAACAAGGAACTCTTGGAACAAACCAACCAACAACCTATCATCCAACAAATATGCAGAGGAAAATGGAGATCGATTGGACTGGGAAAACACTGAGAAGGCCGACTAAGGACATCATGCGCCAGGCCCTCGAGTGAAATCCGAATGGGAAACGAGTTGGGCGTCCAAGGCAAGGGTGACATGGAGGAGATCATGTGAGGAAGAAATGAAAGCTTGTGGGCAGTCGTAGTGCCAGGTTCAAAAGACTGCAGAGAACAGAGTGGAATGGAGACGTGCTACTGAAGCCTAATGTTCCACTAGGAGCTCAAGGGACAAATAATGATAATAATAATCTGTCGTTCATGAAAAAAAAGTGAAAATTTTTGGCCATAAGATTATTTGGACAGAAAACTATGAGCTTTATTGTTGATTTCAAACTTACCCAACTTCTGCATTCTTTATAAGAGTAATTAACAAGCCCCTGAGTAAAAATGCAATTCATTACACTTAGTTAGCCATCACATTTATTTTCATAATTTGACGTAACAAAAAGACTTTTATGTGCTTCAGGCATTACTCATGAATACTTTTTTAGTTCAAAGTCATAAATATACTCTTCGCGGCAGGTAATATCGTTCAATTAGTTTGCTAAACATATTTTCGACCATTATATAGTTGTTTATAAGTATAGACGCTTTTATTAACTGAAACACTCAACTTTATTGTACCTGTCTGAAATATTTTTAATTTTCGATGTCTTATTTTAGGTCGAAAGATTACTTTAACCATCAGAATCTTATATGTTCACTTTCTTTCTATAAATGTTCCTTATAACAAAGTATAAACTTATTGTGCTTTTTAAGCCTCCTTGTTACTTTATCTCATTAACTTCAGTCTAGATTCGCAAATGTAAAGAGTACTTTTAGATGCTTAGTACTGTTGATACGATTCTAATTTCTCAAGACTTCGTCATCTTTACTATGCTTTGTTTAGAAATTAGGGAGGCTTTATCACACCAAAGCTTTTAACTTATTTTCAGACTAAATCACTACGCAGTTGAAGCACTTTTCTGTCCGTTGCATTTCTGTGAATACACAAAACAACTGTGTGAAGACTGTTTTAGGTATGAGCCTAGGTTTTTCATGATAAAATAAATCCTTTTCAAATAGCTTTAATTTAAGGGTATGTCTTACAACTAATAGGTGTTCACCTCATTAGGTGCTAAGATACCTTCAAACGTACAAACAAATAAGTGGGTTTTGGTTATCAGATACATCTAGACGTCTACAATCTTTATCTCCAAATACAGTTTTTTAAATGATTTCATGATATCTTGTTTGTGTGGTGCACTTGCAGCATATATCTATAAGATAGGATTTAAGAATGAAGGTTCCTATTTCTTACTATGATTGCCTGATGATTTCATAGAACAGACAAATGTCTGTAGGCATTTTGAGGTTAAGTGGAGTCATTTCTATTATTATTTGTAAACCATACTCCAAATACTTATTCCAATACATTCAAGGGTTGCACACAAGTCAAGTCTAATATATCTATTCAACGTAAATAATTTCTTTCAAAAACAGTTTATATTATTATTATAATTTATTATTTCTCCCTTGGGTTCCTAGTGGAACATAGGGATTCAGTAGCACATCTACACTCCACTCTTTTCCCCGCAATCTTTTGAACCCTTCTCCATGACAGCCCAGAAGCTCTCATTTATTCCTCGCACGATCTCCTTCATGTCACGCTTGCCCCCGACACCCAACTCGCCGTTTCCCATCTAAGTTCCACTCGAGGGCATGGTGCGTGATGCCCCCCAGTTGGCCTTCTCAGTGCATGCCCAATCCATCTCCACTTTTTTCTGCATGTTAGTTGGGCGATAGCTTCTTGGTTGGTTCGTTGCCAGAGTTCCTTGTTGCTTATTCTTTCTGGCAATCCATATGAGCTTCAGTAACGAGCCAGCGTAGGCAGGTGTTGAATGTCTGTAGTTTGTTGGAAATGCTTCCCGTAAACGCACCAAGTCTCTGAGTCATACAGAAGCACTGACGTGACTGAATTGGTATTGAAAATTCGGATGTTGTTCCCGCTTTATGCTGAGTGCAGAAGATCTCCACACTGGTTCCAGGTTAATGAGGGAAGGCCTATCTTGCTGTATTTCCGATCCTGGCTGCTTTGACATCCTCGTCTGTGCCGCCTGTAGTTGAGACAGTGCTGCCTAGATAGAAAAACAGTTTATAATTATCATATTTATTTACAACACAGGATTTCAAAGAAAAGCGTTTCGTCACAGTAGTGGTATCTGCTGCTGTTATTTATAAACCGAACTAAATTTGAATGCCTATTGTCAAGAAGTGACTTCGTTAAAGTACTATATAAGTCCAGCCGCAAAGATTTAATGAAAGTTAAATTTTTCTCATAAAAAATATGCATGAGTTATATTTGGTCTTGGAAGTTTTTTGAAACATTACTATTCACATTGTTGGTGGAAGCTAATATACTCATCATGTGTGACACAATATAGTGAATTCCACTTAGTAACAAGGAAGAAATAGGAAAAGAAAACATAAATGTGACTGACATTTTTGGGAAGTTCAGAAAAGTAGAACAGCAGACATAAATGGGATAGTGTACACAAGACCATAATTATGCATATCTGCTTTAAAGAAATAATATTAAGGCTAAAGAATACCATCTTTGACGACTGTCTTCTAAAGTCATAAGGAAGCGACTCAGATAGATTACTTTCTCATTTGGATTTGCTAAATGGTTTTGAGATTTGTGAACTCCTATTAATGAGGAAAGGATTATTCCTAGTCATCTGCTGACCTATGCTAGGGTTGTTGTTAATGGTAGTTCGCTAATCAGGGAGCTCAGTTTATTTTTTAGTCTGACTGACTGACTGACTGAAAAATCCAAAACCGAAGGTGAATCCCAAGACTGTTAATTTATCACCAAGCAGTTAGCATTCGAAAGCTATCATATAAAAGAAAGTTTTGCTGACTGACCAAAAAAACAAAGAAACTAAATCCGTTGGCAAAGGTTGCTATATTTCATCTTAACAATCTTCCATCCATATAATGAGGCGTGAAATAATCTGGTTATCATAATTTGAGATTCTTAGTATATTAAAATAGTCAAAATAAACATTGCTCGAAGAAATCCTTAATGTGCATTCCAGTTTTGTTTCTTACTGGTGGTACACAGCTAACCATTCACTAATAGAATGATAATATCGATGTCAATAATAGTGATTATTTTAACACTTTTTTAACATAGCTCGGGGCTATGTGAGGCGAATGTAAGATCACTTATTAAACTTCGAACAAAATGATGCTAACACGAGTTAAAATGCTGGGCTGGAACTTATTTGTTTCTCCATTTCAAGCTACTTACACTTTGTCAGTAGCTTAAAAATTAAACACACAACGAAGGTGGAAAAACCGGGCTACTTGGTATCGGAGTATTTCTTGCAGTCATATAATTTTCACTACCTACTTTTGAAATAATAGTCTTTTACTTCCTAAAGTGACCTCGCCTGGTTAACTAGTTCACTAGTTACTAGCCGGTCCTAAGCCCGGGTAAAGAGGGAAGGATGGGCATTGGGCTAGCAACCCTACCCCAGAAAACCAATCCAGCCGCTATAGAAACTTCAAAGCACAAACAAAATATGAAAAATGAAGACAATATTATTCCTCGCTGGAGTCGGAGAGACTAAAGGATGCCAGTTGGCAAAAGCCTTCGGGAAGCCAACTGGCCGATGTGTCTTCTCTCCCTAGATGAAAGCGAAAGTAAACGTGGGGACATGGAATGTCCGCACTATGTATGAACCTAGCAAGGCTGCCCAGACTGCAAAGGAGATGATAAGGTATAGCATTGAAGTGTTAGGAACTTGCAAAAGCAGATGGAACGGGAATGGACTCTTCAAACTATCAACTGGAGAGTCAATAATCTACTCCAATATTGTCATCCAGACGACAACCACGAGCACACTGAGTTCTCGAGTGGCCATCATGATGTCCCCAACAGCATCGAAGGCTCTCATGCAGTTGGAACCAATCTCCCCTTTGCAGGATCATAACAGCAAGGTTCAACTCAAAGTGAAGGGAGGTCACAATCGTACAATGATACGCTACGCACCTACAAATAATGCAGAGCAAGAGAAGAAGGAGGAATTCTACAGACAACTTCAATCAACACTGGACAATGCACCACTTCAGTTGACGACATCAAAAATTCTAATGGGCGACATGAATGCCAAACTGGGAGGGGACAACACAGGAAGAGAACTAACCATGGATCGAGTAGCGCTTGGTGAAATGAATGAGAATGGACAACTGTTGGCAGAATTCTGTGCATTCAACGATTTGGTGATTGGAGGCACTGTGCTCAGGCACAAGGATATCCACAAAGCGACGTGGATTTCGCCAGACACCAGGACACACTAAAAATCCGACCGACTTTATCTCAATCTGGAGAAAGTGGAGATGCAGTCTACTTGACACAAGGTCAAGAAGAGGAGCAGATGTAGGTTCGGACAACTATCTAGTCGAAGCAATCCACCTCCCAAATCAAGTTGCAAGCTTTCAAGGAAGTTGGTGATAGACGACAGTTCAAGTTGAACATTCAGAAACTGAAGGACGAAACAACAAGGGACATATACACGTCAGTCATCAAAACGCAATAAGAGGCATTAAGCAACATCCCCGAAGGAACCTGTGTGGAAGAACACTGGGAGTCTTTGAAAGAGATGTGGAAGGAAACCTGCATAACCATATTAGGAAGCAAGAGGAAAGAAGATAAGGAATGGATCCCGATGGATACGTGGAAGCTGATAGAGGAAAGGGGGATGGTGAAGCAGAAGATAAACCAGTGCAAGGATGCTCAACGACAAGAGGAACTGAGCACAATGTATAAGACACTGGACAAAGAAGTGAAGAAGAGTGCACGCAAAGACAAAAGACAATTCCACGACACACTGGCAAGTGAAGCAGAACAGGCTGCAGGTGAGAGAGACCCGACAACATTGTATCAAATGACCAAGTTACTAGCTATCTGGGAAGAGATCAACACAGATGAAACCAATAAAAGATTAAGAAGGAAATTTAATTGCCAAAGAAGAGAAACAAAGGAAACGATGGGCTTATCACTTCAAGAAGCTCTTGAATCGACCACCACCTGCACTTCGTCCAGAAATACCACCAGCAGCCGCAGAACTACCACTGAACACAAGCCCTCGAAGTCCTGAACGCCATAAAGACACTGAAATGTGGGAAAGCAGCAAGACCAGATGGAGTCGCTTCAGAATCACTGACAGCGGAGGCAGAGGCAACAGCGGACATGCTCACACCACTATTGCAGAAGGTTTGGAAGGGAGGGAAGGTGCCTGGCGATTGGAAGAAGGGCTACCTTGTCAAACTCCCGGATAAGGGCGACCTATATCTTTGCAAAGACTGGCGCGGATTCACGCCCTGCCCACCCAGAGCAAGCAAAATATTATGCCGCATCATCCTGGAGACGCTAAAGGATGCGCTGGATTCGAAACTACGACCGGAATAGGCTGGTTGGCTGGATTCAGAAAGTACAAATCATGTGCGGACCAAATTGTAACGCTTCGCATCTTCATAGAACAGAGTATAGAGATTTGGATGTCGCCTATGACTTATGTCTAATGTCGCACAAACTTGAAGATCTACAGGCCAAAACTAACAAGTTGACAGAAGAGGCAGGGGGCAAAGAAAGGACTTCTAGTGAATGTAGAGAAGACAGAGGTGATGAAGATACTCAACCAACGACAACAGCAACGACAAGCTCCAATCATCATCAACGGGAGGAACTTAAAGGAAGTAGCCTCCTTCACCTATCTAGGCAGCACTGTCTCAACTACAGGCGGCACAGACGAGGATGTCAAAGCAGCCAGGATCGGAAATACAGCAAGATAGGCCTTCCCTCATTAACCTGGAACCAGTGTGGAGATCTTCTGCACTCAGCATAAAGCGGGAACAACATCCGAATTTTCAATACCAATTCAGTCACGTCAGTGCTTCTGTATGACTCAGAGACTTGGTGCGTTTACGAGGAGCATTTCCAACAAACTACAGACATTCAACACCTGCCTACGCTGGCTCGTTACTGAAGCTCATATGGATTGCCAGAAAGAATAAGCAACAAGGAACTCTGGCAACGAACCAACCAAGAAGCTATCGCCCAACTAACATGCAGAAAAAGTGGAGATGGATTGGGCATGCACTGAGAAGGCCAATGGGGGGCATCACGCACCATGCCCTCGAGTGGAACTTAGATGGGAAACGGCGAGTTGGGTGTCGGGGGCAAGCGTGACATGAAGGAGATCGTGCGAGGAATAAATGAGAGCTTCTGGGCTGTCATGGAGAAGGGTTCAAAAGATTGAGGGGAAAAGAGTGGAGTGTAGATGTGCTACTGAATCCCTATGTTCCACTAGGAACCCAAGGGACAAATAATAAATTATAGTAAATACTTCCTAAATTAATGTAGCACTGACCATGGAAGTTATGAATGTTCAGTGTATCGTCACTCCAAATCTCTAGATTTAAGGTAAATCGGATAGGAATGTTGCCTCGAAACTTCAATGCTTCTTCAGAATTTAACAAATAAACAAATAAATGGATCTAGTGTAGAATTCAGATATAAATCTAATCATAAGAGGATTTTGATGATGGTCTCTGATTGTGAAATGATTCTGAATCATTCCTAAAGAAATTAAGTGATACGATTGTAGCTACCGACGTACCAGGCATATCCGTTAGTAGTGTTATATATATATATATATATATATATATATATATATATATATATATATATATGTAATAGTGCTCCTTTAACATGACCTACTTGCACATGTGCGCACATATATACAAATCGATTATTATTGCGATGTATGTAGACGATATATTCTAGACACATCTGACCTGTGTCAGTCGTTTACAGGTTTGTTTCAGATTAGGTTAGGACACACTAGGTGATAAGATCACTGTAACTTCAGCCTACTTTAGGGACGGACATTAGAAACATGCAACAAGCTTGATGACTTTACAGTTGTATTTTCCTCAACTTTCCCTTTTTCCACTAAAATCTTCCTTAAGATATTGAGAGTGAAAAGAACTAGCGGTTTTTATCTATGCTTCATTATTTTGTTAGGTTTATATGAGGTGTATAAAGTTACATAAGTCAAATAATGAGTAAATGTGCACCTTGTAACGATAAGGGCTGTAGACAAAATGAATCAAACGAAGGGCAAACAGAAAAGATAATCAACAAGGAAGGGTAAAACTGTGCGAAGCCCTTAACAGTGCCTATTTCCGCCCAGTTTAGATGAAATGTTTTCTTAGTTTGTCACTCAAATATGTTGCAGTAGGTTTAAATGTTAAGTCAATTGACTGGGAAAGTTTACATATGTGGCATATTTAGATGGTAGTCATTCATCAATCTCTAGCTGTATAACATCGTTTTTCAATGATATGTTATATACATCATGCCTAGCTTCAATAATAACTCAGATCAAGATTTCGAAATAAGCTGAAAATGGTTAAGATACTTTACCTCTTTGATTCAGAATGCAGTCCAACCAACCTAGCTATTACGTGAGTGAAAGCTCTTTCTTTGGCCGTCAGTGAAGATGGCAGCTGTAAAACTTTCAGTTCCTGTCTTATCAAGTTTTCCATGGCCAAGAGCAATGCAAAACGAAGTTCCTGAGCTATTTCATAAAAACCTTCACCGTTAATAAGGGTCGACAGCGCAGATGAGACTTCCTTTCTGATGTAAAAGTCTTCAGCAGTTTTGGCCCAGAAAATACCTTGCGAATTTTCCGTACCTTTGTTCATCGCTACTTGCACGATAGCGTAGTAACAAGCTGAAAAACGCGCGTCTGGTTCAGTCTCACTTTTGTTTTTTTCAAGGCGGAAGTCCCTACATATTTCTTTCAGTTTTTACCAAGCACTTTTCAGACCCAGTCAGCTAAACATGTCAACATCCTTTCAAGCGCTGTCTGAAAAGAGGAGTAACTTTCACATTCAGCTAGATACTTACCATGTTTTGTGTTCAAGCATCAAAGGCTGTTGTATTTTTGCTCTAATCGGAATATCAGTTGAATAAAGTGAGGCAAAAACTTCCATTGGGTGAATTTCCGTATTTTCTGCTACGTGGTGGGCCAAAAGCGTCGTAAGATTGCTTGTGATATGGCCGGGTGCCACTTCACATTGGCTTTGGTATGCAGTGTAACGAATGTAAGAGTCGGTTCCACGATAACTGCACAAGCCCCACACTCCCAGCACACGAGAGATACAGCAACGCAGGAAGTGTCTGGCTTTGTGCGACGTGCCGCTTGGGTATTCACACTCTGGTAGAAGAAGCAAAGACACTTCTAAATACGATAACTAAGAAACTGTCGTCGAAAGTCAAAGCCAACAACTGTGACATCGATAACAACAGAGCATCCATCGACACACAGATTGTTGTGAAAAATTTTAAGAACGTCCCATGGCAGACTGTAGGTCGGACGCGTAGACTGCCTACTACGTTTGCTGACAGCGACTTGGACAAAATTACACCAAGCAAGATGAAGCAAGTATCTTCTGTATCTCTCATTCCCAGGCCTGGTGGACCCAGTCTGAAAACTGATGACCGTAAAACGAGGTCTACTTTAGATGAAAGAGACAAGAGTAAAGTGCTCTCATTTCCAACGACAGAACCATGAAGGCCGCAGGTTATACCCAGTTCGGTGGCCCGATCATTGACGAAAATCACGCAGAGTGGGATGCAAGTCCGTTCTGGGACTCTAGTGTCAAGGTCACTGGACTAGGCTTTAGGAAACTTTGCATACCCAACTCTGAGAAATAGCAAGTGACTAAGCCCAAACGGCAGACTGAGAAGCCAATAACGGTAACCGAGCCAGCGATCATCACTCCACACAGCAAAGACAGTGTACAAATCTTTGACAGGTCCGTAATTTTCCACAGAGTGGAAGAAAGTAGGGACCCAGAGCCACGAAAGCGTTTTAAACATGACCTCGGCAATGTACAAGGTTCGACAAACCAGCTTTCATGTGAAAACATTTCAGGAGTCACCCTAATCAAGATATATAGAGTAGGAAAGCAGGAGACAGACATTACTGAAAACGAGTTTCGGCTGCTTAAAGTCTTGTTCAAGTCAGCAGATGAGGGGAATCAGGTTCTGAAGAATGCTCACAGGCTTCGAGGATCTGGAGTGTCCGTGCGAAAGGATCTGGCCCTTGCTGATCGAATCAAAAAACAGGAAGCTGAAGCAGAACCAAAATCCGGATTAGCAGCTGGAGAGCAATATCTGAAAGTGGTGGGTTTTTGTGCTGTGAGGTTTCGGCAATAAACGATGCCGAAGTGACCCAACCGTTCATCCCGTGGACTATTCCAAGAAGATGGAAACACTGTCCTCCGTGGACAAGACATGAAATCCGAATCTTGTTACTAAGTAAGAAAAAGTGTTGGAGTCTTACCACTCACCGCGGCACACGCGAAGTGGTGAAGCACTACAAAGAAGCCCGCAATAAACGTATCGCTGCCATCCGCCCAGTCTCGGATATCCTTTGAAACGCGTCTTGCCTGGGCTGCATCGCGACATCTGAAAAGGTTATTTTCCTACATGAACTATAGAAATAAGATGTGTTGTGGTATGCCTGTCCTAATCAGTCGGGCAGAAAACGACCGTTTGGTTGAGGATGATATAGAAAAAGCGGAAGCCGTGGCTGGATAATTTGCTGAGGTTTTCATGCAAAAATCTTTTTAGACACTTATCCAGCAGTAGTGCTGATATTCAATGGAATAAACTATGTGGATGCCGATCGTAATGGTGTATTTCGGACATAAAGTACTCTGTATATGGGAAGACCAACGGGACCGGATGAGCTGCGCCCAAGGCTGCTCAGAGAGCTTGCACTCTATGTAGCCGGCCCATTGACCAGCATATTCAGGCTGTCTCTCAGTGAAGGCACACTCCCTATGAATCGAAGGATGTCATAGCAACGATGCGGGTTCTAGGCAGTTCCCATAAAATTATAGACCGATAGGTTTGACTAGCGCTGTAGTGAAAATCCACTAAAGAGCAATCAGGAAAGCCATCACAGTCCACCTACAGAACAACACTGTATTATCTCGTTCATTGTACGGTTTTCGTAGGAATTTTTCCTGCTTGACGAACCTTCCTACAACCGGAGAAAGTTGGGTTACGTCTAAGGATGATAGGATACCCGTAGATGTCGTTTTCAGAGTACCTCATTCCAGGATGCTCAGAATACTGGGAAGTTTTGGAGTCGCTGGCAGTCTGCTCGCACGGATAAGAGACTTTCCTGTTGGTGGGAGAAAAAGCGTTAGAGTCGATCCCCAACTCTCCACTTGGAAGTCGGTGGAGAGTGGAGCATCACAAGGTACGGTCCTGGGCTTTTAGCTGTTTCTCCCACACGCTACTGAGCTGACAAATATCACGAAATCCCTTATGGTTCTCTGTGCTGATGATGTAAAAACCTGGCGGAAGATTAGGAATGATGACGATATACGTTTGCTCCGGGCAGACCTTAATAGCTTGTCAACTGGTCAGAGAAGTGTATGATGCCTGTCAATGCAGGTAAATGTGTGGGCATGCACTTGGGGCACACCCGCAGCAACACCTACTGTATTGGTGGGACTCCACCGTCAGTACCGCCCCGTACTGACCTAGGAGTCACGGCGAGTTATGACTTGAAAACTGCGGCTCACTGTCGATCGGTAGCACCTCGGAGTTTAAGGACTCTCTGGGCATCACGTAGAAGGTTTACGAAAATAAGTGGTGACATGTTCACCATCTTATACACATTCTTAGTCAGGTCTAAATTGAAAAGTCATGCGCAGGTGGCTAATCCTAGTCTGAAAGGTGACGCAGACCTTCTGAAAAGAGCACAGAGGGCAACCCCTCATGTAATCCTGCGATGGCTGGCCTCGTCTATGAAGGCCGACTTAGGGAGCAGAACTTCTTCACTTTGTCCTATCTCAGACAGATGGGAGACCTAATCGTGCTAATGAGGACTCTAAGAAATGACTCCAGACCTGATCAATCTTCTCTTTTCCTTCCTACTAGGTCGGAACACCTCAGAGGAAATAGTGGGAGACCACAAAAGCAAGGAACGAACATAAACTCCGCAGTGTACGGGTTCTCGCGTCGATTAATGAACGCCTGGAGCCGAATCCCAGAAGAAGTGGTGTCCACATCATCAACTGACTTATTCAAAATTGGATTGGACAAGCACAAAATCTACTGAAAAAGGATTGATATAGGCTCGCAGCCACCTATCCTCAGACGTCAAATCTGAAACCTAAGTCTGTTTCGGGTCACGGTCAATCAGTACGCGAATTGGTGCCTAGAAGTGATATAGCTGTCATTTGGCCGTGCTGAACTCTTTGCAAGCTTCTCCACATTCAACGGCTTGGTGATTGGAGACACTGTGTACAAACACAAGGATGTTCACAAGGCAGCGACATGGATTTGATTTCACCAGACACCACACCAGGACACACCATACTGAAAATCACATCGACTTCATCTCGATGTGAAGAGAGTGGAGATGGAGACACAGCCTACTGGACACATGACCAGATTGAGAAGAGGATCAGATGTAGGTTCACACCACTCACACCACTACCTAGTGCAAGCTCCACCTCAAAATCCAGTTGGAAGCCTTCAATTGAAGGAAGCAGGTGACAGACCACAGTTGAAGTTGAAGGTGCAGAACGTAAACTGAACAGAAGGATGAAAGTACAAAGGACATATTGACGTCAGGCAGTCATCAGGGAAAAATGGGAGATATTGAGCAAAATGACTGAGGAAACAAGTCTATTGCCTCCGGGTGCTGGAGTCGGAAAAGTGGAGATATTTGGCTTTCAGTCATAATATTCATCAGGATTATGAATCTTTGTCGTGGAATGGTATGACATGCATGAATTATACAGCCCTGGAGGCACCAACGAAGTACAGTATGTAAACAATCCGTGCATGCATCCCTTCATAAACTCTTCACCATAATCTAAAGCGAAAAGTACAAACTGTTACAATGGAAGTGTTAGCTTCAAGCTTTATTTTTATCCAGGTAATACTCGTAATGTCTAGATACAAACCTGGTCTTTTTGTTGATGCGGAAACAATACTTCCGCTTGTCCAACTTGTAAATTTTCTGCATACTTATTCTGCTGGGATGTTCCATTATATGAACATGCAGCACCTATATCTTTTAGTGGCAACAAGTGGGGCTTGAGATTACCTTCCATGAAGATACAGGTAATTTATATATAAACTTGTTCGTACCTGTAAAAATGGTGTGCCTGCATATTTAGCAATAAATACTATTAGTATTGTGCAAACCTGCGTAGAAGAAGAGTGGAACTCCTTGAAAGCTATGCGGAAGGCAACCTGAATAACTGTATTAGAAGGAAGAATAAAAGAGAGTGGATCTCAACGTACACATGGAAACTGAAGCAGGAGGGAGATGAAGGTGGTGGTGGTGGTGAAGCAGAGGGCGGACAAGTGCAGTGCAGCGGGGGATGAACAACGAAAAGAAGAATTAAAATACAACGTATATGACGCTACAGTGGACGAAGAAGTAAGGAAGAGTGGGTATGGAAGACAAAAAACACTTCTATGGGCAAGTTTAGCCTCTTTTGTATAGAATCCAGGTGGCCATTTCTGACTCTACTCAAAAATATCACTTAAATCTGCCTGAGCTGCTGCCAGACCCTCAGTAATTGCACCGCACTGGAAGCTGTTATCAGCGTAAACTTACGGTTTTCCATGTCTAACCACTTTGCATATATCACTAACATACATGAGAAAGAGAAGTGTACCAGGAACACTTCCCTGTACCACACCACTTGC